GGTGAAGTGACCAATGATGTTACTGCTGTCATTGACCATCCACATGCCAACGATCCAGCCCAAATCTGTAGAGACAAGACCATACTTGTCGTATCCGAGTTGCAGCATAAGAGCATCGAATGCCCCTCCCATTTCCCGTGGCCCCATGCCAGACTTGGTTGGAGCAGGGCTAAATCCGAATCCTGGAAGATCAACGGCCACCACGTCATAGCCCTTTTGCGTCAAGGGCTCAATAACCTTAGCCCATTCCAGATGTGTAGAAGGCCAGCCATGCACCAGGAGAAGAGGGATGGCATTACTCGCATCGGATCGGTGATGAATGAAATGAAGCGGGATGGGCTCCTGATAGTCTCTATTGCCAGGGACTGTCACGGCGTAATGGGTGAAGTTGTCGTTGATCTCCTTTTGGGTGGCTTTCCAGTCATAGTGATCCGCCCAGAAGCTTGAGAGACCCGAGATAATGCCCTCGGATGGCCCTTCATCGGACCAGCCCTCGTCAAATCCCTTTGATGGTCGGTAGCTGCGTACTTTTTGGATCATTTGGTTGATGAGATTGTCGTCGAATTTGACTTCGATGGGCTCGGGAGTAACACTCGACGGAAATTCATAGACCGGGTTTTTGATATCCCGAGGCATACTCAATGCCAGAGCACTCGAGGCAAAGAGCGCGGAAGAAAGATTGAGAATCATCGTGATGCTTGATGCGAGTTAGATGAAACGAAGATCTAGAATTTGTTATTGTATGGTATGAATCAACATTCTAGAACTCGTGTTTTCACATCTTTATATCCTTTCAACGCTATCCCCCCTTGCGTTGTAGCATTTGCATGGCCCATAGTCAAAATTACCCCTTTGTCAGCCAGTTTCGTTGATTGCTCCGATTTTGCCGATGATGGCCGGACCTTAACTGTCACGGCATTTATCAGCAATGCATTTCTAAGCACTGTGAATATTGTGATACTGCAATGCGAAATTAATGACCCGCAATATACACGATTAAATATTCATCTTTACATGATTTGAAATCAATGGTGACTGTCAAGCTGTGGCTGGGAGGACGAGGCAAAGATTTTCAGCCTGTAGATGAAGGTATACAGGCTAGAAACACCAACTAATCCCTATTTTCCATGTACTACAAGCCCCAAGCTCCTGTGGTAATCCAGTTTTGATCTACGCGGTTTATCCGACTGCGTTGAGTGTATCCTCGAACGGTCATCTCCTCAAGCGGTCATCTGGAAAAGACTGAGACATGTGCACCGAAGGGTGTACTCCAGTTTTCCTTAATAAGCATTATGAGGACGTCTTCAAGCTGCTTTCGTGACAAAGTTGCACATATTTCAATACGTCTTCCTAGCATGTAGTTCTTGAATACGGACCTTTGCGTGTCTAAAGACCGTTGCGATTCGTGCCATTGTTAGTCCATTTGCCCACATATGACGCCGAGGCCAGTCTCGCCTCTAACATACATCACTCTCATCGTGTAAATTTCAGGATTCCGAAATATGTCCACAATGTTCCTAGTCCTAGTAGGAGCCACCGGCCTTGTTTTGATCAAAATTGCCGTAAGATGAAGCTGTCAACAACTTCTTGAGGTTCCTGAGTAGTAAGCATGTTAATCACCTGCTCAGTACCATGTCCAACGTAAGAAACTGTAAGCAAATTATCCCCATGAGAGATTTACTATTACTTTCCGCTCCGATTAACTCGGTGACTGTGGGTGAATTGTCTGATTTGATCTCAGATGAACCTTTCTACTACAAGAAGCTCTCCTTGTCATGTTACATTTCATGTTGGCTAGGTCTCCCTACACCATAGAAATTAAGCTCGATCACTAGTTACATCTATCTTCTAAGGAAACCACATGGTATCTGAAAGACTTGTCATCATGAGTGCATCTTTGTTTTCTGTTTCCTGAATTAAATTTGATTCAACTAATTGAAATGCTCATTACTGAAGTAGCGGTGTCTCGCTTCCATGGGACACTTTTTTATCAAATCTGACCTCAGATGCGGGGTAAAGAGTTAAAATTTCCTTCTTAGCAATTCAGTCCCCTGGCAACGAACGGTTAACTGAGAAGTGCGCTCATTATACCTGATAAACACTGCTTCAGAGTTTTAATGACTTTGGGAAATTCGTCTTCTTGATGTCTAGCCAAACGAGCAACCCGCTGACGATTAGCGGCGACAACTGCGGCAAATGCCGCCGAGCCATCGTGGACGCTTACTCTCTTGCCACGGACCAACCGCCAGGCTATGGGGACTGGGTAAATGTCTTTGCTAGTTTTGAACAACTAGAAGCCTCAGCCCGGAAATGTAACCTTTGTCGCATCATTCGCCAGGAGATTGTCTACAACCTAGCGAACCTTGAGGACCTCGACAACTGCCCTCAACCAGTGGAGGTGTGCTGGCAACTATCAGATACCGAGTCCTCGCTGAGTACGCTTAAATTCCAAGTCGGGCTGCCCCACGGGGAGGTATGCCAGGCAAACCTAGTGACGCCCCATCAGCTTGAGGCTCTAGGACAAATAATTCGTACGTCTTTACTCGTGTGGCTAGGAGTTTTCGTTTCTTGTGATAACTACCTTGGGTGACTTTGAGATCGTCAATGCTGATGCTGTTCCTCTCATAAGCGAGTTTCAACGAAGATTCACATTTCAACTCGATTACCAGTACAATCCACTGGTGGCTGCAGAATTGCAACAAAAGCCATGTTTCCTGTCGGCGTTCTAATGCTACGGACGGCGAGAGCGGGCCTTGCCTACCTACACATGTAATCGACGTGAATCCGACGAGTGGCCAGCATCGAGATGTTGAAAACAAGCTACGGGGGTTCTATATTCGACTCGTGAATGGAGAACGCCGTCGAGAACAATATGTGACGTTGAGCTATTGCTGGGGCACATCCGGCAAGAATTACAAAACCACAAGCTCCAATCTAGCCCAACACCTCTTGGAGATTCCCTGGGATAAACTCCCGCAAACAATTCAGGATGCTATCACGGTCACCCGCAAACTTGGCATTCGGTACCTCTGGGTCGACGCTCTATGCATTATCCAGGCAAGGCATAGCGACGATAGTACATCGGATTGGCCAGTCGAAGCGACCAAGATGGGCCAGTACTATGAGAATGCTACATGCACACTGGCAGCTAGCAGCTCACACGATTGTGCTGACGGAATGCTTCTTGAACGCCCAGCGCTTCGGTTTGGTCCTGCAGAAGATGTCATCATTGATTTCGACGATGTATACCTTGGCAAGATGACACGGATGCATCTCGTAGGGTTACGTGGTCCACCCATCGAAGCCGCCATGGAGGAGTCCCATCTGCTCTCTAGGGGCTGGTGCGTCCAAGAACGTGCCCTATCTCCTCGCATATTGTACTTCGCCCGGGATGCACTGTTCTGGGAGTGCAATGAGCTCCGCGCTGGTGAACACAGTCCCAGTAAAAACCTGGAATTCATTCCGAGACCCAAAACGCACGGCATGCTGTACAGCCAGTCATGGCGCAATGTCATCGGCGACTGGGACCTACTCGGCGCGGGGCTCAGGAAGCTTGTCCGAGATAACGAAGACTCTAGTGAAGGACTGTCAGTCTCGGATGTCGAGCTGATACTAGGTCCCTCGTGGATGGGTTTGATTGAGAGATACAGTTCTTGCAAGTTCACGAACTACTCGGACAGACTGGTGGCTCTCTCATCCCTCACGGAGAAGCTACGCAGGATAACAGGGGCGATCAATATTGCTGGCCACTGGCGGGAGACGCTTGGCCGTAGCCTTTCCTGGACGGCCATTTCTCCTACCAGTACGAGAGAAATATGCGGTGATCGTAGTTGTCCGTCATGGGCGTGGGCATCAACTGACTTGGGTGTCACATTTGAGGGCCTCGACGGGGTGTGGCATGAAAGTATGGTGGTGGCAGATGTCTGGGAAGAGCCTACAGGCCCCACAAACAGGCGCTCTAGACACATACTGAGAATGAGTGGCACATTCTGCGAAATGTCTCTAGCTCATTGGGGCCTACGAGAACCTCGCACAGGCAACGCAACGTACAGGACTTCATCCTATGTCGAGTCCGTGGCATGGGATCATTTGCCGCCCACCTTCGATGAGACGAGACTCCTGGCATGTATATTGATTGGCTGTGTGCGCGAGAGCGATTATGTGTCAGATACTGTTGGGCTTGTCATCGAACGAACAGGCAGATTCAATGGCGGCCAAGTTGAAGAGTTCGAACGGGTTGGTTTGCTGAGGTTTGAGAATCTTTCAAGTGAAAGGTTGTTAGGGAAAGTGTGGAGAACGATAGATATTGCTTGACTAACAGAAGAATCAACAATGTTGGACTTTTAGTCGTGTAAAGGCGAACATGCTGCGAGGCTGTGTAATGAAGTTGATCACATGATAGGATTGGGGATCGTCAATGAGCCACTCCTCCCCGCCCCGTCTTTTTCAGGGCGGTTGCCTGCGGGCGGTGAATATACGAGCCCCTGAAAGAGATGCATGAGTAATGGTAAAAGCAAGGGATAGGACGAACTTCAATCCGTTATGCGCCGAAGATGGCAGTATGATAATGACTCTCCCCTACTTGCCCGCTTCCTCGCCCAGTTACATTGCAAAAAGTAGAAAAGGACCTTGATTGCCCCTGCCAGGGTAGCGCCCATTCTTATTGAGCGCGTGAAGCCGAAGTACCCTGCTATTTTAAATTGATAGCGCGCAACTCGTAGAAGACTCCAAGTCGCCCGTCTTACCTGTGCTTACCGCGGAATGCTCTCAGCCTATCAGGCCCTCTCCTAACTTTGACGCGCATTTCAGTGATTGGTTCTGGTCCACACCAACATACGCATAGCTTACATCCGAAGTGCCAGAGTTGGCCCAACACCCCTCTCACCCCATGCCAGCTGAAACTGAGGACGCCTATAGAGAATATTGGTCCCCTCAAAACAGCTCCGTACGAATGCATGAATGTTGTTACATATTATCCTGCTTGTCAACACTTCTCCAAAATGAGCGACCGCAGCATGTATCTTGCCAAGTACCGCAACACTAACACTCAGCGGGCTCACTTTGCTATCTTCATCCCTGATGCAGAGTATGATCGCGCCGGCCTTAGCCAGGACTATCGATCATCTCCGTGTAAGGGAACTAAAATTCATGTTGTTGGCGAGCCGATGCTGGTTGGCTTCCAGCTTGAGATCAAGCACGATTACGAATGCGACACCTCTCCGGACCTGAAGGAATTGGTACATATCGGCTACATAAACTCTGACCATGTCCGCACTCCATCTTCTTCCGAGCTTCGTCAGGGAGACAATTGTCGCGGGAGACTTGAGAGGGAGGCGCTCAAGGTCCCACCACCCCCTAATGGACAAAACATTCGTGCCCCAATTAACGGGGTAAGCGTTCCCCGACCTTCAACACAGTATTATCACTAATGATTATCGAAGGCCACTACTAGAAGGTGTCAGGAATGGACCATGGAGTATCTGTCTCACCTCGTGGCGAAGGGGTTGGTACATCCCAGCACTCTTTCCAAGGTACAAGAAGAGCGGGACGCACCAAATTTCGGGATTTTCGGTCAATGATCCGGTAATCGAGTAGGCAACAGGGATATTGCTGGACCATGTTTGCCATACGAGCGAAATTAAGTGATAATTAGCATTGAATTGTAGCCATTGAGCTGATAAAGAGCTAGCGTGTTAGAGTATCCTATGATTCCTTTATTTCTTGTCGAGAGAATGTGGTAGAACGTATCCACTCATTAAAATGTGTTTCATCGGGATAAAGGAAACTTATATATCACTATGCGTTGACTCTCATCATATAAGCTGTCTTGAGCGTTTGATTGCCCATGCTTGTAATGTGGTATAGGGTAGGGAAACCTGCCTACCAGACCCGGGGCGGTAATTGCGAGGACTATGGACTGCGCTTCGATGTTTATTCTCATGAAACCCCAACATTATACTTATTTTTAAATTAGGTTGGGAGTTGCATATTTTTTACACGGTGTACATTATCAAAGAGCGAATGCCGTGTGTCGTCATAGAACATACAAGAATGGAACCCTATTCCGAGAATCGCGACAGCAATCGTATCATTCGTGTCGAGAACTTTCTTGTCCAATCACCTCTGGGGACATGACCCACTCTCGTGAAGTTCGTATTGATTCTCCTTATACGAGCACAAACCCGACTCAATGTCACGATCTGAGGAACATCACACTAACCATGTAGCACCGTTATAATGCGGGAATGTACCTCCATGTGGTCGATGTCATACCGCAGAAACGTTGAGTAATTAGATCACTCTCATTCGCTCTTTCAGTTGCCTCGTGTTTACTAAAAAGGGGTCATTTCCCAAATTGTGAGCTTCTTTTGATGATCCCTTACACATCATACAACATATAACTTGCCAAGAAAGTTGGAGGCTGTCATTGGCTGCTCAATTGTAACCATAAGGTTTCACCGGGCACCCTAGGAGGTACGTTCATGCTTTCAAATTGCCATTTGTCCTGCAGGACGCGAATAAGGGCAATTGATCTGCTCAATCGCTTTCTGCTTCGCTTTCGGTAGGTCGCACACGGGCCATGGAGAGCGAAGCATAATCATAACAGATGAAACCTTCTAATTTCGAAACTAGGTGGGTTATGAACAGCCGAGTTACTTACCAATTCAAGAGAACGCTGGGGGCGACGACGATATATATAAATGGCTCTTTCCCACCACAGTCGAAATACAAAGAGACAATTGACTTGGATTAGCATCATTTCAAGTCTACTTTTGATATTGATTATTTTTAACAAATCTACAGTCACCATGAAGTTTTCAACATGCTTAGTTACTCTTACAACAGCTTGGGGCACGGCTGCCCAGAACCCTCATCTAGAGGAGGGCAAGTGGAAGGCCCCGGGCGCAAACGATTGTGCGTAAACAGGATGACCAAAGGTAGATTTTGACTAATCGAATGCAGTTCGCGGGTCAGAAATTACATTTTCACCAATATCACCCGACAATCTCCCATCTGGAAGCTAATGTTATGCAGACCCTGTCCTATGATGAACACACTGGCCAACCATGGATATATTCCCCGCGATGGAAGAAATATTACGAGACCCAACATTATTTCAGGCTTAGCAGCGGGGCTCAACTTCAAGGAGCCTCTCGCAAGTCTAATGTTCGACATGGCGATCGTTGCGAACCCCGAGCCGAACGCCACGTACTTTACACTGTAGGGCTGTACGCATAATATCTGTACCGATGGCTTTCTAATTCGAGGTTTCCTAGTGACCATCTTAACCAGCATAACGTCCTTGAGCACGACGCGAGCCTCAGGTTAGTCATTACGACAAGTGTTCACTTGCCGCCAGGCACCTTGCTGACATTTGCTAGCCGCACTGATGCCTATTTCGGGAGCAACCATATTTTCAATGCGACCATCTACGAAAAGTCAAAGGCTTACTGGACTGAACCTACCATTACTGCTCAGATGCTGGCCAACAGCAAACTCGCCCGCCAAGTTGAATCTAGAGCCTTCAACCCGACGTACAGATTCACTGCCGATACGGAAAACTTTAGTCTTGGCGAGATTGCTGCACCCATCATCGCATTTGGGGACATGGCTCTGGGAGAAGTCAACCGTACCCTCGTAGATTACTTCTTCGGTGTGTTCCCGTCTAACATTCCCCATGTAATCAATTTGCTGATATCTCACTAGTCAATGAACGACTGCCCGCCGAGTTAGGATGGCACAAGAAGGACGTGGCCATTGGTATTGAGGATATTCTTAAAGTATCTGACATAATTAAGGCCGCGACAAGTCTTATCACTGGCCCTGATCAATCTAACCCTGGGAACAAACGGGATTTGCACGCTGGAATGCACACCTAGGGAAGACTCTACGCTATCTAGGGGTCGTCGCTTCTCTTCAACTAAGAGGTCGAATATATCTGTCTTCAGTCACCAGTGATGTCATGGCTTCATTTGATTTACAGATTTCTTCTTTTTCTTTGAGAACAAAATATCAACACGGCACGTTGCCAATGGCGAGATAGGCCAGAAAGAGAGAGATCTTGGTAGTTAGCTTAAGTAATGTCATCATTGTGCGTTCCCTCTGCTGGCTAATCTGCTCTGGGCCTATTGTTCAATAAGATCACCACCTTTCTAAACACCAAACTAACCTAGTCAAGCATTGATGATGCGAAATTGACAAATGTATTTTCATTACGTGCATTGATATACCTTGATGCTGCCTGAACATGCCTTTCTACTTGATCGACCGTATTTGTCGGCTCTAACGAACGATAGACGAAAAGGCTCTGCAAAAAGGTATGCGCCTTTGTATGATATCAATCAATTCCCTTAGGCACGGAAACTTGAAAAAGTAGTGTCTCACTTGAATTTTATTGAATGCCTGCCCCGGAATATGGATGACACGTGAAACTGTCTATGGCCAATATACAAGCCCTTAAGTTACTGCTGGACTACCTTCCTCACAATCTCAGCAACCTGCTCCTCGGTCAGACCCTTGATGCCAAGCAACTCATTATCGGTCTTCTCAAAGTTGCCGCCGTAGGCTGGGTCGGTAATAGCACGGAAAAGATATGGGATAAACGTTTGGGCATCGAAAAGACCTTGAGCAAGGCGAGCATCGGCCTGGGCAGTAAGATCATCGACCTTTAGTTGAATGGGCTCCCAGGTCTTATTGGGAGTGGCCTCACGCGCAATCTTCAAAAGCTGATTTTGCGTAATCTTAGCGTCTTCGACATAGACAGCGCGATTTTTGGTCTCCTCAGGATGAGAGAGGATACCGACGACGGCATCGCCGATAGTAGCAAGCGTAGTAGCGGAGAACACACGGTCGCCGCCATCTAGAATCTTCGGCTTGCCATCCTCGTGCGAGAGGAGGAAACCATGATCGAGACCCCAGTCAAGGAAGGCAGAGTTGTAGACCAGAGAGTACGTAATAGAGTTAGCCTTGGCCTTCTCGATCAGGTACTCCTGGATTTCAATTTTCTTGGCAAAAACAGGCAACTTTCGAGTTTTGGGATTATCCAGGTTTGAACCGAAGTCGGAAGGAATAAATCGCTTTACGCCAGCCGCGATGGCGGCGTCAATAAGAGCTTTTTGTCCAGGAATCTGAAGGGTCCCAACAACAGAGACAAAGGCGTCCTGGCCCTTCAAGGCAGCAGTAAGATCATCGACAGAAGTAAGATCAATGTCGACAACTTTGACATTATCGGGGAATGTCGCAGAAGACCCATTACGGCGGAAAACAGTGACATTGAACTTGTTGGAGGCGTTGAGGCGATCAAGAATGAACTTGCCGAGGTTGCCGGAGGCACCGGTAATGACGACGTTCTTAATGACAGACATTTTTGTATGTGAAATTGATGGAGTGTGAATATATCTTTGGTGAACGGTTGAAAGAAATAGCCGAGATATGAAGGTGAGCTTGATGATGTTGATATGGCCCAAGAAACCTCGGGGGGGATAGCAGCTTAAATATAATGAGAGCAGGGTCCATAACCTGCCGCTCTTTCATAAACTCAAAATCATCTTCTAGCTGTTGAGTGATTATTGAGCCAATATCAAGAAAGTCTCCGGCATTAGTCCGTCTCATCATTGCAGGCAAGATGGCGAGATTCATAATTTCGTTTGTCATCTAAGTGGGTGATAATGACGGAGAGGTACTTATTCTTAGCGTAGATAATAGTGTGAGAGCAAGTACCTCTTTGCCTTGCCTTTTGCGTACATCATCCCACCCATCCCTCCGACCAAAGCCGACATCCAGCTCCCACCCCCACTCCGAGTTTGGATTACCACCCACATAAGCAGAGTAAAGATCATGGTGGGTTAATGGAGGGCACTTGCAAATCACAGACAGGTTTCTTGCAATGCCATCCTAGGAGACTGCGTCAATTTTGTAGTTCTCCCTTCCTTCGCATAGGGGGTGATGCAAATAGCATAATCATAATTCTTCATATGTCTAACATAATATTAAGAAGTATCCCTTGCCGCAACGGGAATAGCCGGTCAATCTGCAGAACCAACCTCTGCTTACCTCACTCTGAGATTCTTTCTCTTCTCTCACCTCTGACCTGCGAGACAGAGCAAAGTATGGAGCGCGGACATTCTGAATGAGTAAATCTACTATTCAACTTTCGCTTATTCCTTGCTCCTACTATTCCTCTCCATGGATGCCGATCGTACGCGACATACCTGCCACTGCGGCAAGAGTTTCTTTCGTAGAGAGCACCTGCGAAGACACCAGGCCACGCACGGCGAGCGTCAACATGTCTGCTCGATCTGCCAACGCCCCTTTACTCGAAGGTTTGTCAATCATCTCACCCGTTCAAGCGCTTTATATTAGTAAAATGAACTCGTCTCACGCAGTATTCCATCCAGCGACTTGTTAAAACGCCATATCGCCACGCACACTGCTTCGGAGCAGGGCCCATCAAGGACGGTACAAGCTTGTGATGCCTGCTACGAAAACAAAACGAAATGCGATGGTGGGGCACGATGTTCCCTTTGCACCAAACGCGGCATCACATGTATCATTTCGCGCGGCAGACCCTCAAACCAGAAGGCGGGACCTATAGAAGAGGAGGACGCCATTGTTTCAGAGGATGTAGGCGGTATTCATGAGATCAACTATATTCAAGCGCGTCAAGATACATCCGTGGAACAGAGCTCTTTTTTTGACGAAGAAAGTTTTCACCTCAGCAGCAATGGCCTAGCACGGGCTGGAATGAGCCAAGTTCTCGATCTTTTACGGGCAGCTTCTGCAGGCAAAGACACCCCCACGCTATCTGTCTCTAACATTGCCAAACAGTGGGTTTCATCGTGTACCGAGACGTACTTTGGTCCATTTCACGATCGATGGCCTCTTATCCACGCTCCTCTATTTGATGAGACAGAAGACGACTTATTCATCGTTTCTACCGTTGTCATGATCGGATCAATCTTGCGTCATGAAGATTCGGACGTTCGCGATTTAGCCCTAGAGGTTCACAGTCATTTACATGACTACTGCATGAAATCTCTTGTAGCCATCCTCAAAGAACCCATCACCCTCTATGTTGGATCCACAATCTAACACTCTGTAGATTGCACCGCAAGACGAGGATCTAAAGAACTCTATCTGGCCTTATGAGACTTATCAGCTAGCTCTCCTCAATGTCATCGCAGCACTGGAATTTGGGGTAAGTTTCTTCGTCTCGTGCCTCTTTTCACCCACATTGACTAAGTGCTCACGTGGTCAATTTAGAAACCAAGCGCTATTAGGAATGCAAACAGACTTCTAAGTTCCATCACAATATCTATGCGAGAGAATAACATATTTAGTGCTAAATCTGTCGAACTTCATCAATCTAAGCATTTCCCTGGAACTTTTAGCCCTTGGATATACATGGGGCGTGACCGATGGAGATGGTTAGTGAATCCTTTGGCCCTTGAATAAGACCAGAAACAAGACGCATATATCTGACTCGGTTTCTGGTGTGCAGGCAAGCCTCGGTTATTCTTCAACTAGATGCGTACATGTCGCTATTTACCTCCCACCCTCCGTTTCTGCGGCTCAAGGAGCTTGATCTCGGTTTGCTCGCCACATACACTCTTCGTAACTCACACGGACTCGATCTGTTTTTCCAACGCGTACCTTATGAGCCAAAGGACAGGCAACAGATAAAAATCTCAGCTGTGGCACAAACCCCACGGGGACTACCCACCTCAGGAGCCTTGGTAGAAGATATCCAAACAGGCTTGTCCGGGGTTGTAACAAGGCTTTGGGTGTGGAGGCAAAACGTGCAACTTTCATCCAACCCCTCACCTGCCGAGGTTGGAGAGAGAGTTCAAATTGAAAATGAGCTCAACGAGTGGGAAAGTAAGATATGCCAACTATTTGAGTTATTGCAAGCCCCGGAGACCAACCCACAGGGAGTTTCGTTCCTCCTCCACGCCTATACTGGTAACGAGGATCCAGCAAAAGACGGCTGGGAAAGACCAGTTGTGGCCAGAATATCTGATCTTTTATTCGACATCTCCATGCTTTATTACTGTATCAGTCTACATCTCTTTGCTGCTGAAGTTCCACTCATACACCATGTCAGCGCCAGTTCAGCGGAAGATGAAGACACGCGGACTCTTTTCCTACATTGGACGTCTTCAAATTCGGCGAGGCAAGCTATATGTTTTGCCGTGCGGGCGCTCCAAACATGCGAGAGGACTTTTTCACAGAATCCCCAGACCAGCTTGGTCCTCAACCCGATGACGAAGCTTTGTTTAACTACTGCATGCGTCATATTCCACGCCTGGGTCACGGGTCCTCATCGCACTTGCACATGCCACCTCGGCCAAGGCGCCACTTTGCCAAACGTCGACCTCAATGACCAAGAGGCTCGCCAGCAATGGATTTTGATGGGAGGTTCAATATCGGTGGAAGGTACCTCGTTATGTAGTTGTGCATCTAGCGTATGGATGGCTCGATTTACTTCAGTTTTGGCCCGTGATCCGCGCATTTGGGAATTCGGTATTGAAGCATTGCATAAGATAGGTTCATAAAATATCACAGCCTAGTAAGACAGTATCTCGTTGCTATGCTAGCTAAGCCAACTGTAGGCTACTAAAACTGTCCTTATTTAGCTTGACATCGGGACCACATTCGCAAAAGCCCTCTACTCCAGGACTTGGTCATCATATCGAAGAGACCTTCAGCATGAACCGCAGTCCCGAACTGTTATCTCAGCTGATCCGGAGCTGTGATAGCCCTCAACAGCTACAATTTGGTAATCGTGACTGCCCATCGCCAATCCAGCTTTGCTCCAAGCGTCAAAATGACACCCGGTTTGAACAGTGCCGCCAGTGCGCTTGCTCTTCCGGACCGACCAGTACTGCGGAAAGGTCTTGGTTCCCTCGATACTCGGCGCGTTGTATCGCATACTCTTCGCCAAAGTATACTCAGCGCCGTCGCAAGTCACTGTTCCAATGACTGTGGCCCCCGAAGATGGATCATAAGTACCAAAGTTTTCAACAATGTAATACTCAACGAGTGGGTTGCGCATCCAGCCATAAACCGCAAGGTAGCTATTCCCATTCGGACTGTAGGTTCCCGAGTACCCAATACCTCTATAGAAACATTAGGACCCTTCGCAAGAAAGAATAATTATCGATGACATACCTCGCAGACCTGCCGGGATTCCAGCCCTTGCCGCCTACAGAATTGCCGTTTCCAGACCAGGAAACTCTATACTTTCCTGCGGCGAGATTCTCATAAGATGACGAGCCTCCGCCATCAGTCCACCAGGAATAATAAAAGCCATCTGCCATGACCCGTCAGTTTGATTTTTTCCCCTCTTGCTCCAAGTTTTTTTTTTAGAACATACCATGAGTTCCGGCACTGTTTGGGGTGTTTGCACGCTTGTCAATGCCATTGGCTTCTTGGACCTCCGTAGTGGGAGCTGCATGAGCACATACAGCGGCAATTGCGGCCACAGCAAGACAAGTCAGGGACTTCATCCTTTCTTAAACTAGCGTTGGAATGGTGCAGGTGAATTTTATGATTTGAAGATCTTTCTTGCAGAAAGCGATGCTATTTCCATACTTAGAAAGGATCAGACTGGTGAGATATGGATGGGGAGTTTATTTAAGCATAATTAACTCGGCTGATTACAGGAATACATGTTCGGCTGTTCGGGCACCCATGGTCCGCATAATGATTTTAAACAAGGGATCTGGGTAAATGCTGGCTCACTGCTCGTATTCGCAGCATGTCTTCCGTTCCTAAAGTAGTATAAGCAGAAGCGATGTTGCAATAGTATGTCAAAGATTCTGTCTAAATATTTGTGGCTATGCCGCTGCTACCCGTCTCGAACTCCATTAATTTAGGACAAAAAGGATTCTATACTACCTTACTTATTGAAAGTCCAATATTTCAGTGCCGAGGCGGCTATAGCGCCGCATTATAGGCTGTGTGATCCTAGAATAGATCCTGATGTCACCTAATTTCCTTTCTCCGCATTAGCTCCAGAGATTATTTCTGTCGAGAAGTCTATTGCCGAAAGATATCTCATCTTCTACACTGTCGGCGTGTTAAAATATCTGGGTCTATTTTGAGTTTCAAGAGTGTGAAACAAATCCAGCTCAAATAGTTCTATCCCTACCCTCAAAGGAGAGAGGAACAGACTCTCCTAAGCTCCTCAAGAAGAATGGTACAAGATTCTATGCTTAAGATGTAGGAGGTCATGGCCAAACACTATTCAGCCTAATTGGCAAAGCCTTTTCTTGTAGCATACCGTCAAATGGGGTCATAAATTTGGAATGGGAGCTGAATATTATTGATTCTCTTGTTAAGTCCCATCTTCACCTTACACGACATTGTCTTAATACAACTTTGCCATGACATTGGCGGCTATTACCAGTTACTGATTTAGGCTATTATACACTCAGGTGGTGGTACTATGTTCACGTGCTTGCCATAAGGTATGGCACCCAACTTCTGATGTATTGGCCCACCATGTTCGACAAGCGATTCTCAGCCTAGCTAGCAGGACGCTTGATGTTGGCCTCTAATGAGTCGATAATGCTACTATATCGTACGACATACGCCTATACTATATCCACACACTTCTAGCAAATACGCCATACGCTTTTTCATGCTATTACAGAGTGGAAAGGGCTGGTCGCAATCTCAACATTCAACTCAAGGGCCTTAGAGGGAAATAACAAATAATGGAAACAATGGTGTTATCAAAGTATCATTCTAAACGAGCTTTTACCACGGCCTTCAACTTAATAACGTCGGTAGAAAGTCTTACCTTTTATCACAATATGGCTTCCAATAATCTAAGCTCAGTCAACATGATGTCTTTTGAGATCCATAATGCTTTTCTCTGATAGAACGAGGAACTCACCATGGCATAATGTCTACTAGATGAGTTAAGTGAGGATAACAACCATAAAGTCCGAAATTTGGATAGAACCATGCCTCTCCCAATGGTTTTTGTCTAGAGAAAGAAAGGACTCGTGCCTATCAAGAGTTCAGTAAGAGACACGCATATATCACCTATGTTTCTAAAAGCAGTATTATTTAACATGTGCCTAATAGGTGCGATAGAATTCTGGTAATGTAAAAACCCTATATTCACTGATTGATTCTCTGGAAAAGTTCCTGGTGGCGGGCCCCTTCTGCATCAGCCACTTCGGAGAAATCTCTACTGCTGTAATGCGGATGATAAGGATAAGGGCTGAAAATGTGTTAACAACCATGTTAGCCTGGGCTAGGAACACGCCAACCGTGTTGAACTCACCCCCATTCTGGAACAAAAGTAATGGTCGAATCTTTGCCATCACGTAGGACCTGTGCCCGAATAGCGGCTTTCCATATATTCTCGAAGCTTTTCACTTCAGCCTCGTATACCGGATCTAAAGGATCCGGGCACTGCGAGGCTTGCGTTGTGCCGATCCTGGAATGGATGTGATAAACCTAGATATTAAAACCAATCAGAGGTGTTCAGATACAAATAAAAACGAAAAGACTCTCACGTGGGGATAGATTCTCTCCAGAAGCTCAATATCCTCTTCGGCTACATCCAATAACCTTTCGCACCCGACAACCCAGTGTGAAAAGTCTGCAGTGATTCGAAGTCTATTTAGGGGTATGGTTAGCATTTATTGCTCTTACATTGGTTTGACCATGTCTTAAACACACTCTGGGACTCTTTTGAGAACAAAGTCCGCTGCATATGGGCTAAACAGCGATCGGTTCCTGTGAGTTTCATGGTAGACTCTTCCGCTAAGGCCCAACTCGGCGTCAATTGTGAGAGTGCCTTGAAAGAATTCAACAGACTGCTCGTAAGTGAAAACGTCGCTAAGGGCTATTAACTTTGGTTCCAGAGGCTGGCTTTTTTCTTTCCCACCTTCCCGACTGAGCGTTGACCTTTGAGGGGTTGAAGGCTTTAGCTCGGATCAATTGTTCCTTATATGCGACCAAGTGTTCTTGGACCGTCAGGCGAGGTCGGGGCCCTCTATACCTTGGCCACGCGGAGAATATGCTAGTTTTACAATGTCAGACGTAACGAATATCAGGAAGTATCAACGGACAAAAAATCAGGCTCCACAATACTGGACTTGCAGCACGTTTATCTCCAGGTTGTTTTCATCGCAAATGCTCTTCAACAATTCCGGATTGTCAATGGTGTGTAGATTGACCTCCACTCCAGCTAAGAAGTTGGCAGAAGACGTTAGTATCTGAATCTAGCGACAGAAAATTCTATCTCAAGCCCGGGGACAGTACGCACCATAGCCTTGCATCTTCAGTTTCGGGAACCATTCTCGATAGTTGGCATAGTCTGGTGTAGGGTCGATGCCCCAATTGGATCGGAATCGTTTAACAACCACCATGCTGGGTTATTTTTTAACAGGCTCGGAGTTGGTAACAATAGAAGAAAGAATCGGAAATCTTGAGTTTCAAACATATTTAGGCGTGCAGATATAGGGAATTGAGGGGTTAAGTGGGATCCAAGAATCCCGGGGAACACAGCGCAATTACCAAATCAGGTAAAGTACCCTTTCTCGAGAAGTCTACCAAGTGATGGTTTTCTAGTGGGCACTGGTTAATATATTCTTACTCTAGTGATGTACTAAAATTTGGTAGAGCTTCAGCGTAAGAGAAAAGAGAATAAAGTTCCAGAGCCCGACAACTCAACACAATGAATAAGCAGACCTTCAGCAATGCGCCAATTACGGACATGGAATGTTAATCACACCACCATGAATGAGTTTAAGGGAGTCAAGTGTCCTCGAAGAGAAAATAAAGGTGACATCAGGCTATATCTTAATAAAAATCAACTAGTAAATCAGTATTTCGTAACCAGCGTCCAACTCGACTGTTCCGTTCAGTTTCTTTCAATATGCCACCATTTTATCCAGCCCACTCAACTCTCGATCCCAAGACCTATGCTGGCTTATGGCATAGAAGAACTTTTCCACGAAACCCTTTGCGTTTTTGGCAATAGTAAAAGCACCTTGAACGCTTTCAGGCTGGCAATTGCGGAGTGTGACGACGCCATAACTCTCCTGAGCTTCCTCGTTAGATGACAAATGAATCTGGGGAAGCTGAATTGCTTTCTCAACAAGATCCACAGCTTCACCGGTTGCAGCAATGGGCTTGAGATGACCAAAGGCTTCCCTGATATAGTGTAGCGCTCGACCACTCTTGGATAGGGTCAGAATAGAGTTTTTCCCCCCTGGGATCACAAGAGCGTCAAACATCGTACTTCTCTGACCTTCAAGGTGATGATCAGGAATCACCCCTTGGCTCTCTGAACGATCGTCTCCATCCGCAAAGATGGCAGACCTGCGAACACCCAGAACCATGGGGATGGCCGATGCGAGCTTCAAACCTGTTGACAAGGCCTTGAAAGCGACTGAGTCGTAGCCGTCTGCAATGATGATACCGACCCGGCGTGAGGCGATTGTGGGGGTTTCTGGAATGTAACCCAACTGACTCAGCCCAGGGGCCTTTCTCCCATGGTTAAGCTTCCCGGGCTCCTCAGGTTTCGGACCTCCAACCATCTGGGCAACAGCCTGCGCAAGACCAAGGTCAATATCGGCCAGACGTTGGGTCAGTCGCTCATACACTATAGCCTCGTCACAGTGGTCTAACTCGAACGATAATGCTGATCTTACGTGAGTTTTCTCAACGTCAGAAAGAGAGTTGAAGAAAAGCTGGGCTTGGGATGTATGGTCCAAGAATTTGGCACTCTTCGACCTTTCTTTAATCCCTGCAACTTTTTGGGGATAGTCGATATAGCCACCCTCTTCTTTGCTTGCTGGGGGCTGAACATCAAAGCGGTTGGGCCAATAGTTGACCTTGCCTCTCGAGATTTTATGGCGCATGGCGCCATCGCGATTGAAGTTCATGACAGGACATACTGGCTTGTTGATAGGAAGCTCTTGCCAGTTCACGCCTAGCCGGCTCAGTTGGGTATCGAAATATGAAAAATTGCGACCTTGAAGGAGAGGGTCATCTGAAAATCCGATCCCTGGAACGATGTGACCAGTGCAGAAAGCCACTTGTTCTGTCTGGGTGAAATATTCGTCGACATTGCGGTTGAGCTCCAATTGCCCAATATACCGAATGGGAATTTGATCTTCAGGCCACACTTTGGTCGCATCAAGAATATCAAAATCAAATTTGTGCTCTTCAGACTCAGGGATTGTCTGGATGCCAAACTTCCAACGTGGGTATGCGCCGTTTTCGATGGCTTCCATCAAGTCCTTGCGGTGAAAGTCAGGGTCCTGGCCGGCCAGTTTCAAGGCCTCATCCCAAACCAAGGAATGAACACCTAGCTCGGGTGTAAAGTGGAATTTGACAAAGTGGCGATCTCCTTTGGCGTTGATCAAAGTGAATGTGTTGACACCGAATCCCTGCATCATGCGGTATGAGCGAGGGATAGTACGATCAGACATGGCCCACATGAACATGTGAGTGGCCTCTGAATGCATGTACATGAAATCCCAGAAGTTGTTGTGGGCACTTTGAGCTTGGGGAACCTCATTATGAGGTTCGGGCTTCCCTGCATGGATAATATCAGGGAACTTCATGGCATCCTGAATGAAGAAGACGGGTATGTTGTTTCCAACAATATCCCAGTTGCCCTCATCTGTGTAAAACTTGACAGCGAAACCTCGCACGTCTCTCACGGTATCCGCAGACCCACGACTGCCAAGGACAGTTGAAAACCGCACAAAGACAGGAGTCTCACGCGATGTGTCGGTCAGGATACCGGCGTGGGACACATCCTGGGCCGATTCAAAAAGTCTGAAAGTGCCGAATGCTCCCGCCCCGCGTGCATGCACTACGCGTTCCGGGATTCTTTCATGGTCAAACCGATGGATCTACGGCCTATTAGCGAGGTAATACTTATGCATCAGCGTGTAATTCTCACCTTTTCGCGGGCAAACCCATCCTCCAACAGCATCGGCCCAGTCTGATTACCATCATTTACACGGAGCCAGTCATCCGTATTGGATTGTTTTGTGCCAAAGTCGGTAGTAATTCTTGTTTTCGAGGAGGGCCGGACCACGTCAGCGTTAAGCTGGCTGCCCTTGGCATCATTGGTTGCCATAACGTATGCTTGTTTTATAGATTCGGGGATCGCCTGAGCCATTCTTTTTGCAAACGAAACTAATGCGCCTAGAAAGCGTGATAAACTCAGATGTTTCGAGACACAGAGACAGAAAAAGATCAAGCGAAGGTTAGCTGGAGAAATGGTCTCTTTATCGTTATGGGCGCTCAGTATTTCACAATGATAGTGTCTGTCGTCAGGATGGCATCAACATTGGCAACGTTGTATTATCCAATAATAACCAACTGCTCGTGACGCCATGGGTTTTGAGTTGGCCAATTATATGCGAATAATAACAACACATCGGCGATGGCTATTGAGTATGTTGAGTAACAGTGGGCTACTCGCCAGGACCCTGTCGTCATGGAATTAGAAATCTCGACTGCCTGATAGGTGGTTTATAATATCTACTCACCAACTCCTCCTTTAAGATGCCGTGCTCGTAAATGTGCACGGTTGAAATGGTCCGAGCGATGCATGGTCATTACAATATGCTCCCCGAGGTATCTGATGCCGCCTATTACTACTTTACATCATGATCGGCATATAAGCGGCGACAATTAAGTAAAGGTAACAGCTAAGCTAATTAAATTTGAATAATTCACTAACTGAGCGTAAAGTATAATTTATTCCCGACTGCACCCGTTCGCCAACATGCACAAAGCTCAAGCTGCGGCAGTATCTGACAAAATACCTCGCTCAATGCCATGATGGATGTTCTTAATATAATGCCCGCTTCCACCTAGGCCGGCTGCAGCATTGCAAGGCCAGACGTACTTGTTCTTTACTGCAATCTTCTTCAGGAAAGGCACCAACTTCTCCAAGACATTGAGACTGCCACCAAGTATTATAGATGGACCTGATCTAGCGGTCTAGTAACGCTCCGACACGCCGGCAGCCGAAGAGACAAACGCCATCTCCGTTGAGCTATTTCTGGCGCCGTTCCGTGTTATGGTACGGCTCATTAGCGGCGTCAACCATACAGCTACATTCATCACCAAGCTGAAGATCCCGGCCATCCATAGTTTCGCGTATACCCAAGCCTATACTATCTATGGGTTTACTTTGATGAATCCCAGATCCCATGTTGAGAAGTTGATTTTCGAATAATGCGTGTGATATAATTCTCTTAGCGGCCCCAGCTGACTATAACCTGTGCTGCACAGTAGTCAGCCTGCACGATATCGAATGATGAGGCCAGCCTGCGGAGAGTGATCCAGCCGCTCATACCAGGTACTGTATAGTGATTTACTGTATAACGGAGATTTCATCATGACGTCTACCAAGCACCCTTGCCTAGCCCCCGTCTGACGTCAAAGATATATCACAATCTACAAAGGAAGTACTACCCACATTTTCTCCCCTTGAAGCGTTATCGGATCGAGTGCATCACTTCCAGCCGTGGCTCCGAGTCACGACACGATATATATATCGAGCTGATTCTGTCCCGGCTTCTAGATTTTAAATGTAAATATTAGAATCTTCATCATCCCTATCCTGATCGAGATGGCGTCGACGCCCCGTATTTTCCAGCTCCTTGGCACCTGCAACAACTATGACTGGGGGAAGAAGGGCCGCAATTCTCTTGCAGCGCGCATGTGCGAGAAAGCAACACCCGCTGGTTTTGAAATAAAAGATGACGAACCCTATTCGGAGATGTGGTTTGGCGACTATCCCGACTTTCCCGGCCGAGTTGCAGAAACAGGCGAGCCATTGGCCGGCCATCTTGGCAAGCATAAAGAGGAACTCCTTGGACTCAAAGTAGTGGAAAATTTCGATGCGCAGCTTCCGTTCCTACCAAAGGTATACATTTATTCCTGGTACTCGTGGTCTAGACTTTTCCTCACACTACCTCTAGATCCTGTCCATAGCGAAGGCACTCCCTCTACAAATTCACCCGAACAAGCAGCTGTCGGAAAGACTGCATCAGGAGCAGCCGGATAAGTTCACCGACCCCAATCACAAGCCAGAGATCGCGGTCGCTCTCTCGAAGTTTGAGGTCTTTGCTGGCTGGAAGTCCGTTTCCCAGATCTCACCACTGTTCATGACCCCGGTTTTGGCTCAGTTTGTCCCTTCGGCCACCAAGGAATGGACTAATGACACACTCAGACACGTGGTTTGTAAACTCTTGAAGGCCGACGAGGAGACGGTCAGGGCGGTTGAGAATGAGATTGCAAAGCTTTCCAAGGAAGACCTCCGAAAGACCATCGGCGAGGACTACATGGCGGACTTGATACCCCGGCTACAGATGGACTATGGGAGTACCGATCCCGGCACGCTTGTCGCGCTCCTGTGCATGAACTTCCTGGTTCTCGAGCCGGGGGAAGCTCTGTATATTCCGGCGGATGGAATTCACGCCTACCTATCTGGGGACATTGTTGAGTGCATGGCTCGCTCAAACAACGTGCTCAACGTGGGATTCTGTCCGCATGCAGACCGCGATAACGCTGACCTTTTCACGGAGACACTCAGTTTCGGCCCGAATACCAAAGGTGATGTTACACTTCCGAGACAGAAGAGCAACGCTGGCGTCAAAGGGCGGACCTCCGTTTACCGACCCCCGATCCGCGAATTCGACATGCTCAGAATCGATCTAGGCCCGGACGAGGATGAAGAAATCCAGGCGCTGGAGGGTCCAGGCATCGCCATAGTGACGCATGGGACAGGGACCTTGCATGGGGACCACGAGGAGATAGCGGTTAAGGAAGCTGACATCCTCTATGTTGCACCCCAGGTCCAAACAAGATGGAGAACCAGCTCGGAATTGCAGGTACATATGGCGGTTGTCGGGCTGCCATAAGAGTGTACGCCGTTATACATCGATGATTTGGCTTGAGAGACGTCAGCCGTATGGAATTCAAGTACTGGGGGTAGATGCACGGGGCGAAAATACCGCTTAGGCCTTTAGGTGGATTTTCGTGGCAATGGACCAACAAATGGGCCGGGACACAAAAGCCGTAGAATATGACTTAATTGATGACGCGCGCATTTGTCGAAAGCTCTGGGTTTATACGGCTCACTTTTGCATCATTGATCCATCATGGACTCCGCCATAATAAACGGGGAAGATTGCTAGTGGTGGGGTGCTGCTCCTACACACTGTATCAAATATAATGAAACGATTATCCTCCAAGCTCATAGGAATTCAGTAGCTCGAGATCTAATACTTCCCTTTCTAGGCTTGTTGTCACAATAACTAAAAAGATATTATCGGCAAATCATGTCGGGCGAGCAGTTCCAGCAGGGTACGTAGCTCATCTAATGGCAATTTTAGAGACTCGTCACTGAATGCATGTGTAGGCCACCGCGTCCCAGTGACGCAGCAGGACTTCCCTGGCACCGAGGGCGAGATGCCTAACCCCAATCCGCAGTTTCAGAACATCCCAACAGAAGAAGGCCAATATCAGAAATACAGGGCCGCCGGGAAGCTCAAGGGCCAGAAGGCACTCATCACAGGGGGAGACTCCGGTATAGGACGAGCGACGGCTGTCTTGTTTGCTATGGAGGGAGCGGATTCCTTCATTACTCACTTGCCGGGTGAGAAAGAGGATGCGCAGAAAACCAAGGAGATGGTTGAAGAGCACGGCCGAAAATGCCACCTCTACGAAGTCGACTTATCGGAACTGAAGAACTGCAAAGATGTAGTGAATGAGGCGGTATCGAGGCTCGGCGGCATCGATATACTGTTCAACAACGCTGCTTACCAAATGATGGTCGAGTCTATCAGTGACCTCCCCGAGTGAGATTATGATGTTTCACCAATGAACCAAAGAAATGTTTCTAACAGTCGCATAGTGACCAATGGATTCATACATTCAACACCAACATCCATTCGTTCTTTTACATCTCCAAATACGCGCTTCCACACCTAAAGGCTGGAGCTAGCATTATCAACAACGCCAGTATCAACGCCTACATCGGTCGTCCAGACCTTCTGGACTACACATCGGCAAAGGGCGCCATCATCTCCTTCACACGCGGGCTGAGCAATCAGTTGGTTGGAAAGGGTATTCGCGTGAATGCTGTCGCGCCTGGCCCAGTTTGGACCCCGCTCATCCCTGCAACGATGAGCGAAAAGGCCATCAAGGAGTTTACGAGCCCAATGGGGCGTCCAGGGCAGCCTTCCGAGATAGCGACGTGTGTGGTCTTCTTGGCTTCGACAGATAGTTCCTTCATTAGCGGCCAGACTATTCACTGTAACGGTGGCGTTGTGGTAAATGGTTGAGATGAAACATTAAATTCTAAGGCCGAAAGCTTTTTGCAGCACACACCGCAGCCTTGACAAAATTTAACACTGATCAACTGATATCTCTTTCTTAACCCTGATGTTGTTTGGTGGCAATGGCTCCAGTCCATATTCTGCTCCGTGAGATTTGTCGCTTCCCGCTGAGATTTGTGTCGCATATTTTCCCTGCAATTCTGCCGAGTCAACCCAAGGACCATCCGCTGCTCGACTCGTATTTTCTGTAATCCTATACGCAGATGTGTGGCCCGTTCTACTGCGAAAAGAATTATACTCGCTGCTTCTTGGGTAAGAGCTAAGCTTCTTCTTGTGCTTCAAGAGGGCGCTGAGCAATGGCAAGCAGCTACAGACGATAGCCAATCCAAGTTGCATGCAGGACCAGAAGAACATCCCAGCATGGTCACCTTCAATAAGCCGGATTAGTTTAACTTTTATCTCTATAATGGAGCTCTAGAGCGGAAAGAAAGATGCTGCTCACTTTTCGTAATACCAACGATACGCGCAACGCTGGCCACGCAGACTCTATTCAGGCCTGGTTAGCATATCTGGAACTGGTTCCTTTGTAGGTCCAGAACTTTCAGATCAAAGGGAAGCAGATGTACTTACGAAACTCCGACTAAGAATATTCCAATAACTGATACCTTCTTTTTCGTGGAGAGGTTGAGTTTCCCGATAGTGAAGACGGGAACACATAGAACTAGAATATCCAGCACCAAGTTGGTTGACTCCAGTGGGAGAAAAATATCGGGAGCTGGGGTACAACTGCCGGGAGGGGCTGCCGGTTTCCATGCGTTGGTCGGTGGGCGACACCTGAAGGCGGCCAGAAAGGTGAATATAATCCACCACAGAATGCATGCTGTTGTGATGGATAAGATGGTAACTTTCATCTTTTTTTCGACTCCAAAGAGGCTCCAATAAAACGACAAGATGCTGAGCTTCACTATCGAAATACTGAATGTGAAGAGGACCTGCTCCACGTACAATATCTGGAAAAGAGGTCGTCAGTTACTAAAGAGACTACCATCCCAATCTGTCCCAGTTGTCTATATTATAACAGACATAGGCTCGAAGGACGTGTGGGAGTAAGTACCTTAAGAAACTCGATGAGCTTCGGAGGTCCCTTGGGCATAAAAGGATCCGTTCCCGCAATGTCGAAAACATCTACGAAAAGAAATTAATATCTCTTCACAGATATACAGGGCTATATACGCCCTTTTCTCCATGAATTTCATGAACACGTATCGGGAACGTGAAGAAGACTCTTACAGTGAACCATCACCCCTGCATAGGCGCAGAACAGGAGGAAAGAAATAAAGCACAGGCCATCGGAAAGGTATGAGAATTGTCGGGCCTTTACACGAGCGACGATTCGCAATGTAATCACTGTAGATGTCAAAACGATGAATACAACAGCCGTAACGAAGACTCGATGCGTTGAGGAATGTAACTCAATCATCGTCACCTGAAAGCCTATTCACATGGCGTAACAATAAAGGCTTGGTGAAGATGATTGGGATAAACTTCATGATGAAAAGGGACGTTGTGCTCTTCGGACCACAACGGGGGATTGCCGAGTTTTAGTGCCATCCCTGGTGGCAATCCTACTATCGGCAGGCCGTTATCCGTAGTAATAGTCTCGGTTCCAGAAAGGAGCCATGGCCATCCGTCGCGATCATGTGAGCAGGGGAGGAGATCCTACATCAATTAGGTGACCACTGCATGGCCAAGACGCCACTATTGGATATTCATACTGGTGGTTGCCGGTTTTTAGCCTATGACGGCGCTCTACCCTACCAGGAGCAAAGATGAATAGGATCCAGCCCACTTCCGTCTGGCCCCCTTCATTTTCTCGCTCATCCTACTGTGACATCAGCTTCTCACGGTTACAGTACGCCCCCACAGGTCGTCGTTGGGAAGCACTCCCATTATCGTATGTCTCGCAAAAGAGATGGTCATCCTTGTGTGTCCTGTTATTGATCTGTTCTTACGGCAGGGCTTTTACAGATTGATGTTAACTCGCTTTGTAAGCACCTTGATGGCTTGCCTGCTCGAAAAGCATCAGCCAGCATGGCATTTGCAAGAGAGAACTTGGACTGTGCACCAAATCACGTAAGACACGTCAGAATGAGGAAGCCAGCTGCCAGGTAGGGTCAAGCTAGACCTTGTTATGGTAAGTGCCACGGGTGTAAGACAGGGATTTCCTCCCTAAAATACCACCTTGGCGACATTCCGTCCCGGCCGTTATCTTTCACTATAGAGATACCTAAGCAGACCGTTCATTGTTCCCGGAGTTCCCGAAATCTATATAAAAATTATATTAGCATCTTACAGTGGACTGGTAACTCTCTCCTGTAACTCCTCCCTAGCCGGCCACGTTATAAAGCGACAGCGATTCGAGCCGTGGATAGGAGATGCTGCCTGATCCTATTGACATGACACTTTCTAAGCACACTTGATACTATTAAATTCGTCGCTTAGCTTAAGATTAAGTGATTCCATGCCATTACCAAGCGATTGTAATGATGCTGTACGTCCTAGGATCCGGTATATAATCACGTGTGACAGGTGAGTAAGATGTTCTAAGGCTTTAGATTCATCAGTCTCCATGATGGAAGATAAATTCTGTTGTGCGATAATGTCGCGTCATTCATAGTGAATAACTACCGTCACTATTCGTTGAAGTATATCTATTGCAGTCGCCTCACTACCATGGCTTGATATCCCCTAACTCTAACCGTAGTATACATGCATATATTTTTACTGGATATTTCAATTATCTTCACTTCTGTCTTAATTAATATGAAAGATCTCAGCCTTGGCCATCATTAATGCTCTACTACTGATACTCTAGAATGATTCTAGCAGATATTAGCTCATAACCTTGACTTACAAATGCTCTTCGCATAGGCTTCGTTGGCCCCGAACATACAATAAGTGCCGAAGTTGCTGCATCATTCATTCTTCTCTAACTTAGAGATTGAGGCACTGCATTACCATCATAACCGGTGATATTAGTATTTCCATCAGATGAATCACTTCACCATGCGGTTCCCATATTGGCCAACAGTATGGTCTTTCCCCCTACAAATCATGTTTAAGGCCCTTTCTCACTGAGATTGACTTCCAATTTTACTCACTTATCATCGCCAGGTCAGTTGGATGGGATAATTTGAGGGTGCTAATAGCTACAGCACGTCAGGGCAAACGGAAAATTGATTTCTTGCACTGATCCCTTGAGCAACTTCGAGCTAGAAGTATCCTTCAATATTAAGATCCTGTAAGTTTTAACTTTGTGGCCTTAGGCCGCTATAAGTCTAGAAAACATCAACATCAAAAGTTTTCATTTGGACTTTACCAGGCTAACATAGCTCGCCACCTCCCCATAGCCGAGTTACTTGGGTCTGGGCAAGATATGCAACCGTCAAGAGTCTGCATTTTTCGGGGAAAGTTGTTCTACGAAAACCCAAAGACCACTGTTCATGATTACGGCCATATTAGAATAAAATCAAACTAATATTTGTCCACATCATATCCACCAACATGGATTTTGTTTCCGTTAACCTCCTGTCTTTTTTATCAAAGCGTGCTGATTGCGAATTGGTTACCACAGGGCTCGTTATAGCATGGGCCATAATTTGTTCTCACACTGATGTCTTTATCTACGTGTCTATCACCGGATGGTCTACATCAACCAGGTACATTGTTGCTGTCTAATTTTAGCAACAATACTGTACTCGGGGATCGTCACAATGGCTGCCGTGGGAATCCCACAGTATAATGTTATCAATGGGTTATCATTAATATATTAAATGTGTTAATATCCACCGGTTCTCTAGGTAGAGAATGAGTACCAAGTCCTTTCAAAGGAGAATCAAACGCTAGGCTAATACAATGCAAAATGCAGACTGAGACCATAAGGTATCTTCAGATTGAACACCTTCCACATCCACCTCAGGAGAACTTGTCCATTTTTATTTCTTGTGCAACAGTCCAGGACGTCCCGTCTAGCCGAGCCTCCATGACAACGCCACCTTTCAGGAAGAAGCAACTGTTGAGGTCCGACACTGACTCGAGGAGCCTCTCGCCAAGTTCGGGTATGGTCGGCCAAGTCCAAGTAGGAGTCGTCGCGCAGGATATGCTAGTCCCTTTGTCGGCGCCTTTGAATGCATCTGGTGTAGACTCCTGCCATTCGTTCTTCTCGCCGTCTCTGAATATTTGCTGAATCGTACCGGAAGCATCCTGGTAGAGAATGTATGCGTTGACTTCTTTTTTGGCTGCGTCAGATGAAGCAGCCACTGAGAAGGCAGCGATCGAAGCCAGTTCGTTTGTGACAATATTTGGAAAAGCTAAGAACATTAGCACGGCTTGATAACGGTGTCAAAAGCTTGATATTGAATATATCGCACTCAACTTACATGAGTTCCACGACTTCGAACTGTCATCTTGGTCAGAGTAAGTTTTCAGTGCCCCCTGATTTGCGGGATCCTCGAGTGTTGTAATCTTGCCATCTTCATTCTGATACACCAAGGCCCACCGGCCAGAATTCTGGATTTCTGTGTAGTTTCTTGATGTTGGGATCAAAGCAAGTCTCGTTTCCCGCTTGGCCCGAATCTTGAGATCCTTAATCTTCCATGGATAGATGATAAGCTGAAGAACACTGTCGATTGATTGGTAGGCAACATATGGCCAGTAGGCAGCCAGATCGCTCCCATCAATGGCATTCTTAAATGTCTCGTTGTTGACGCCATCCGGGTTGAAGCCATTCGAGCGGACCCAGTTGATACCGTTGACTCCAGAGCTTTCGTTGAGATAAAACATCTCGACTTGAACCTATGTGTGAGAGGAAAGAAATGAGCATATGCACCTCAAGTTGTCAAGATTGTACTACTAACAGTTGGGTCGCTGACAATCATGGGAAGAAGCGACACGGCTATTCCTGTATTGTTCTTCACCGAGTATTCTGGTGTGAGCTTGCTTGGGTTTTCCCACGCAGCTTTATCGACCGAGTCCGAGCCGGCAGCGAGGGATTGTCGAAGTGTCCCATTCGAGTCTTGGTAGAAGAGAAATCGAGTAAAACTTCCTTCATTCTGCCATGCGACCGCGGCAAGATGAGATTTGGGGGCAATCGCTACTTGTGACGGGGCGGTCGTGGGCGAACTCGATGCGGTAGATGCAGTTGAGGTCGAGGATCGTTGGTCTGAACTGCTGTTGGATGAACTGTTGTCGGATGAACTCTTGTTTGACTGCGCAGCCCTTGAACCAAGAACACCACCCAAGACTGCCGCTAGGATAACGACGATAGCCACCAATACTCCGATGATGATGTACATTCGTCGATGGGACTTGGGGCTGGGTTCTTCTCGTACTGCTTCTGGCGCGGCTGCTGGATCAAAGGATGCGGCCCTACCGTCTATGGTCCTGCCATCGGCGGTGATGGTTCTCCCATCACTCGGAAATGTGCTCCCTTCGCTGGGTAACTTCGCGGTATTCGGCCCATAGAATCCGTACAATATTTTACCCTCGTCAGGCCGCACTTCGGGTGCCGTCGAGTCATGAACGACCTGCAGCCCTGAACTGTCCGGATACTGGTGACTCGAAGGCGCAGAGTATTGTGACATGATGCCAACTTCACGCGGTCGCGCTAGCGGTTCTGGCACAGTGTGGAAGTTCCCACAGGGCTGAAAGGAATAGTAAAAGAGAGAAAAACAAATGGAGAAGGTGAGAATTGAGGGGAAAAGATAGAGCCGGGAATTGCAACGCCCCCCCCCCCTGACGGCTGCCTCGGGGGCATCAGGCCTTCAATCCTTCAATCCCTTCCAGGCCATCTAATTACAGGTGGTCGATCCTAAAAGCGGACTGGGCGCCTACAAACAGCCTCAATTGGGCTATAGCACTGGTAATGTAGCAGCACATCCTTCAGTCCCAAACACTTATTGGGGGTCGGGAAACTGCAACGTGCAATCTGAATGGCTTAGCCAGTATTTCGCCGCTGATTTCGGGGCGACTAATGTATGGACGTTTTTGTCTTTGTTTTCAGCATAGAGTCTCCCTTTGAAAATGGCTGCGGCTTCCAAGGCCAAGGTTACATGTACACTCAAAGTGGTACCGTGAAATTGGTGATAACATTGCAGTACCTTGTAGCACAGAAGCCAACAAATCAGGTGCTCGAAATCAGCCATTTCCCATACCTATTAAGTTAGCTGCTCTTGATTATGTCAGAATAGTCTGGCCGGCTCATGATCCCCCGTGAAGCCCTACTCGGTTCAGCCAAGCCCCATTGCCAAGCTGTTTCACCAGCTGTCAGCCCTGCCAAATGTGGATACCACCGCCGTAAGGCATTTGCTTAACCATCGCTTCCGCTGGTGGTTCGCAAAAACTCACTCGGATGTGCAAATGACAATCGATAATATCCAGTAGAGTTTCAAGGCTGCATCATTAATGTCAGCAATGTATCAAGAAACTTAAAAATATGATAATAATTCACTTTCTTACTTGATACTTTACACAAGGCACTAAAGGCACCACACACTTATTATATAACAAAAGAAGTAAATGACACCATCTACCTACCTGGAGCATACAAATAGTAGCCAGTTCGGTGTCCCCTACTGAATGCGGATCAACAAAAGTCGGATTATCTTTCCTGTTCCATCTTTGCCTTCTTGTTTGCATTCCATTTAGCTATCTTCTTGCCTTTATCCATGGATAGTTATTATGGGATGGTGATGCAGCTTCCATATTCTTTCTTCAAAGTGCTATAGGGTAGGTCATTGTATCAACGTGAATCCTGATGGTGATAGGTTATTGAGATTACCCTCGATGGATAAGAAGAACCGGGAAGACTGCTTGATCAGAGGAAATCCATGGCTGCTATACGTGTGACAATGATGCATGTCGGCTTGTATCATACCTTGATCATCATGCATGTTCACGTCCGTTGCTTTGTCACCGGAATCCATCCACGTGACCATCAATCCAACGTAGAGCGGACCTTTTCCAAATTGGGTAATACTCCGACGGCTTTCAACATCAGTTCTCCTCCTACAGACATCAACCATTCAAACGCAGACTTGCCCACAATGGATGAGCAAGGTACCCGGCGGACAAGATCTGTGTTTAAAAAGGGTGGCCCTTTTCACATTTGGACTGCTGATGATTTTGTCTCCGAGCAACAAGTGTCAGCGAAACGGAGGGCCTGGCATTCAACCGCGTGCCAAAGATGCCGTTACCGCAAGGCCAAATGCATTGTGAGCACGACACCATCACAACTGCCTACCACGGTGGCTCGACCTCCATGCCAACTATGTCAGCGGATGAATGTTGAGTGTGTGTGGGACACAACTGATAAACGGAGGCGGAAGCGTAACCAACATCCCCCTAAAGAAAGCGCCGCTGCCCAAACCAAATGCGTGCCAAATGACGGGGAAGCGTATCACAGAAAGGATCAGGTTGTCGTATCCGAAAAACCTTCCTCTCAACTACACATTCATGATCAAAATGGAGCTCAGCCTGACAATCACCCCGGCCATCAACCCAACATGGGTGAGTCGAGCGACGTGCCGTGGTGGGATGATGGGAGCCTTGATCTGGGGAGTATTTGCATCCCTCAGGAATTTGTGGAAAACGCCAGTTCTGAGTACAGCTTTGAGTTGCCGCGTAATTGGCCCTCGGATGTGCAGGATTTCACTCTAGGGCTAGATTTTATTGATCCATCTCTTGTTGGGCGCTCCCCGGATCCAGCTTTGCAGAACTTTGAAGCTCAAGCCATGGGAGGAGACAATTCGGTCGCCAAGTCTCGAATACTCCGTTTGCGATGTTACAGACGACTGGGGCCTACTGCAGCCGCGCCTGGTGTACGGAGGCTCTTTGTAGCAGTTCAGCCATTTCCAACTTTGCCAGTAGGTCAAGGGAGAGATGACTCAAGAACAGAATCATCCCCCGGTGGGCTTTCTACATCTACACCACGATCTACCTGGTCAGAATATAATGACCTCTTTGATTCACAAGCTCAGAGACCGCATTCGCTCATTCTTCCCATCATTCTCGACGTCTTCTTCGATCATTTCGGTGGACATTTCCCTTTTCTTCAAAAGCGTGTTCTCAATTACCACGTGAAGACGGGGGAAGCCTCCAGCTTTCTGTTGAATGCAATCTCGGCTTTGACCGCACGCTTTTGTCCCCTAGATGGCCCGTTAGCAATTCTCAAGGATAGGTTCAAGAGCAAATGGCGACAGGGAGCCCCTTTCTTAGCGAAAGCAAAGGACCAACTGGCTTCGCTTCTTAGCATTCCAGCCTCTGATGTTGTGGCTGGATTGGTCATTATGGCCTGGGTTGAATTTGGAGACAACAACGAAGCAGGTTAGTATAAGACCATGCAACGATGGGAAAACTCTTCTATCTTGGTATTTAATCTCACCTTTGATCATAGGAATGTGGATGTATTCGGGGATGGCAATTAGAATGGCACAGGATCTTGGTCATCATCGTCGACTCGAGGCAGTCGCTGACCCTGCTCAAGTATTTCGCGACTTTTCGAACACAACTGGCGATCTCAACTTGACAGATGAACAGGCGGCACTTCACCAACACAAGGCCTCATTAGTCTTGTTCTGGACTGCGTTCAGCTTGGATGTCTATGTGTCACTTGTCACTGGTCGACCCACCACTCTTCAGAGAAATGAAATCGACGCTCCAATTCCATCGGCAGAAGATATGAATGTGACACAACTTGAATGGAGCAACTCGGATCCAATGAGAAACAGGATATTCCCCGAGGTTGTTGCATTCATGCTGCATTTTTCGGAGTCTCTTAAAATATTGAACCGAATGACGACCATGAGCACTGCGAGCTTGGACGGCGACGAAAATCTTCCCTATTCCTCATTGAGGGAATTCTCTCAAGTTAGATCGAATCTTTTGGCACGTTACAAATCACTCCCTCGTCAGCTCACCTTCGGGGCGGACACATACAAGAAGTCATTAGCCAGCAACCAAAGTGGGCTATTCATCACTCTTCACCTCTTCTTCTACACCTTCATCATACTGCTGTCACGCAAAGATCCATGCAGCACTAGACGGGTATTGCATGATCCTTCTGATGAGTCGTTTCAGCCATCCTGGAACCAAGACCAAACGGATATGAGTACGTTGCAGGGAGCACAACTAGAGGAGCAGCAAAATTTGGAAATATCTAGAATGGCTTGCCAAAAAATGTCACATATTTTGACAGTTGCAGACGTCGTTCAGAAAACTGGCTACTTGGCGTCGCCTTTCACGAACCATTGCTTCTTTGTCGCAGCATCATCAATTTTGCATGATGAATCGAAGCTGGGCCAGGTGGGATTCCGAGATAGTTTTATGTCGTCAACTACGGAGAATGACTTTGATCTGTTCAACGACAAGCTTAGGGAGCAGAGTGAGTATTTTCGAGCTATTGGGTCCGTGCTCTCAACTCTGATGCAGCGGAAGAATCTTTCGGCAGGTGAAGACGATGGTGGACAGTCAACGGGTGATGAGGACGGTGATAACACTTTGGGGAGGGTTGTGGAGGATCCTGGAATTGTGACGCGGTATTCTATACGGTGAAGCTGAGAAATATTGGTGAAGCTGATCAAGGCATACAGGTGGCTTCTTGATTGACTATATCTTGAGAAAGTAGCGTGGTTACTGGTATTCCAAATGGAGCAAGCATCCGAAACTCAACGCTCACATAGGAAAGGCTCACATGGGAAAGAGACCTACCTGAGCTGAGATATGTCTGGATCATTTAGACTTTTTATGAGAAGGGAAATTCTATATTGGTATTTCTGATTACCCCATAGGTAAAGGTTGTTGATATTATTGTTGAGAGGATGATATTATGTCTCACAAAGTAACCACTTCCATCCCGACATTGGCGCCCATTCCTCTTCCGCCTTTGTCTGTGACCACAATTGCCTCCAAATCCTGGCGAGATTCGTCGTATCGCTTTTCGATATCCTCCAAGCTGTGACCTTTTGTCTCTGTCATGTATAGCGCAATGACGATGGTGCCTGAAAGCGTGAAAGCCGCATACAGAAAATAAGCGCCGTATGAAGATTTTGATAGAAGAATCGGCGTCACAAGTGCAACTACGTAGTTTGAAATCTAGAGGTTTGAGATGATCAGTACTGAAATGGAACAACAAGAGATACAGAAAGAGAAAGAGAAATGTACCCAGTTGCAGCTCTGTGCAAGACTTGACGCACTGCTGCGAGTTTCCTTTGGTAGGCTCTCCACTAGAGAAGAACGCAAACAGACAGCCCATGTTGCGTTGTAAACGCCCGCGAATAGGTAGATGGACACGATTACTATCCACCTTCCTGGGCCTGAGTCCTCATGCACCGACTTGGCGGCATACAGTGAACCCATAAGGATCATGAGTATCGAGATGAGAACGCCACCGAGAATGCTTGCAGTTCTCCTACCCCAGTGGTCTGCGAAGATAGCAGCCGGGATAGAGACAATGAGAATCACTAGTGCAGAACATCCGGATGCTAAAAAAGATGCACTCTCACCACGTAGTCCAGCTTGTGCGAAGAGGGTAGGGGCGTAGTAAAGAACGCCGTCAATTCCAGATAGCTGTTGCAATGCCATGAGAAAACAACCGAAAAGAGTTCTTCCTCTAAAAGGGGCCTGGAATGCTTGTTTGAACTCTTGCTGTGTGTGATGCACGACTTGGAGGAAAAAGGAGTTGCTCGTTTCCACCTGGGCAGTTGTATTCTCGAACTGTGAAAACATGCCTTCCTGTTCCTTCTCGTCAAGACCAAGTTTAATAGCAATCAAGCGAGCCTCTTGAAGCCGCCCCTTCGATAGTAGCCAACGTGGTGAAGGTGGAAGTACCCAATAGGACGCAGATAGCAACACTCCGAGCCCACATCCAAGGGCAGGGGGAATCCTCCAAGCTGCGGGAGATTGCAGACGAGCTGTCCCATAGCAGGTGAAGAATCCTAAAACAATTCCAAAACCCACAAAAGCTAGCGGCAAGGCATTCATGATGCCTCGAGTGTGATAGGGAGATGTCTCGGAGATCTGGACCCATACATTGCTCAAGAACAAACCGATACCTACACCTTTAATAAGGCGGCCGAAGATAAAGCCTCCTAGGCTCGGTGTACCGCACTCAATGGCGAAACCGACACCAGAGATGAAGGAGCCAATGGCAATGATCCTGACATGCCCGAAGCTTTGGGCTAGTGGTCCAGCAGCAAGGGATGTTATTGCACCAGGGATGAGAACAGAGGAGACGATAACACCGTGGACTGTCGCGCTGAATGTGCCGAAGCTGGATGAGAAGGCCGGCATAGTTGTCACCGGGCCGATCATACCGGTGTCAAATCTAGCCAGTATCAATACCTTTAGGATCTCTTAACTCAGGAGGAAAAGGTCGGATTGCCCCATTTGACTTACCCGAACAGCATCGCAATAAGTGATGCTATTACGCCGACTTTAACGTAATATGGTATGTTTAGTGACAACATGTTGGGTTACTTCGATTAGGAGGCTAAAGGGAGAAATTCTTTCTTTTCAAGGATTTTTTGTAACTTCAAAATACCACATATCCAGTAATATTGGATCAGACGATAATTAAATACGACTGGTGCATGTTCTTCCGGTTGATCAATAGGGCAAACCTCCGGTCCCATATTTCCTCTCCTGGTCTCCCATTTTGACCCAAATCGAGAACTTATTTCCCATTAATAAGCATCAAGGAAGACTGCTTATGAGTTCTTCTCTAGGAAATGCCGGTGAGAGGGTTTGTGGACACTTGCAGCTTATGCGAGAAGTACCGAACCGCAGCTCACCCTCCATTGCCATCCTCGTAGGAGGTCTCGTGTCTGTGTCTGGTCGTGAAATTAATGATGGACAAACTTGATACATGTTGCTAGTCAACACAGTCTCGCCACTTATAACTTTGCTTTGTCTATTGGCGCATAGTGTTTCTATAGATCGGTCTATTCTTCGCATCCATAGCTACAAAATTCAGACGATTCAGCCCTCCTCACAGTCTGAATGGATATAAACAGTCAAAGACCGTAAAACTGCAATAGGCTAAAACAATGTTTGTCCACCGTCTATGACAATATCTGCCCCCGTAATATACCTTCCGGCGGAGCTGGCCAGAAGGATCACTGCACCGCACAATTCTTCAGGAGATCCCATGCGCCCATTGGGATTCCTTTCATTCCAAGTATTTCTCGCGGCTTGCAACCCATCTCCCTCATTCAAAATGGTATCCATGTATCCAGGACTGATGCTATTGACGCGAATGCCATGCACAGCCCACTCAGCAGCAAGTGACTTGGTCATTGCCAAAACGGCAGCCTTGGATGCGTTGTACGCGACTTGAGGCTGTGGGAAGTTGACACGATGGGCCGAGATGGAGGCGACATGGACGATGGAACCGCCTCTTCCCAGTTTAACCATGACGTTGGCGGCGGCTTTGGCGCAAAGAAACGATCCCGTGGTATTGATATCAAAAGTGCGGCGCCATTCCTTCGCGGGCATGTCTTTTGCGTGATCGCAGCTGACCACGCCCGCAAAGGTCAGGAGGATATCAATGCCGTCGAACCTCTCTAAGGCCTCTTGTGAGACTCTGGTAACTTGCACCTCGTCCGTGACGTCTACTTCGAAAAGTATGATTCGAGCCGAAGGAAACTTGGACTTCAGAGTCTCAATCTTTTCATTCGAGGCGGGCCCCCCCAAGTCCCAGACAAGGAGCGTGTCCAGGCCATGTTCAAGCAGGGCCTCGCAAGCGACACTGCCGAGATCGCCGGTTCCTCCAGTAACGACTGCGGTGCCCGAGATCAGGAAGCGAGCGGCTGCTCTTTCTGCTGGAGATAGGTTTGTAGGCAATGGAACTGGCTGGTTTAGCTTTGACTGAGCTGATCCTAGCGTCATCTCCGGGAGGAGCCGAGACGTGAGCTCTGAGCGATCCATGGCGAATTGTGTAGGTAGGATTTGACTTGGACGAGAATGGATGGAGTTTAGAAGACAATGTTAATCGTTCGGGCTAAGAGACGCGGGCGATCTTCTTATAGTCTCTTCCAAAGTATGCTCAACTTCTTAAGAGTGAATGGGAGGACAAGAGGTGAACCGTGAGGGGAATAACCACGTTGGGAAAGTCCGAGGCCTTGTGCCCAACGGATGTCCAAGAAGGTGGTGCGGGGAAGCTCGTCAAGGCACTTCATTCATCGTTAACATGTAAGAAACAATCCGCTTGAACTTGCACACGAATTCAGAAGACATGCTGGGGAACATTCAACAATGCTCGAATAATAAACAGGGACGGCAGCCAGAAGTTGCAACGCGTTTTCTCGACGACTTCCATCATCGCAATCCCAACCGATGGCTTCGGAACGGGCCGCTAGGCGCATCGCTTATCGCCATGTTGGGAACCGCATGGACAAAGCTCTGAGGCGCGCGCCACATCAGATAAGCTTTAGGTTTATAAAATCCGGCCGTGGTCTGATTGCGTGTGTGATGGAGTTGGAAGCAAAAATAAACAAAAGTGATCGACGCGTTCGGCTGAGATGTGACCTACCCTACACATAGCATGAGACATCAACTTTGCGGGAAGATATGAAGCCCATATGACACATGCTCTGCATTTTTTATTAGAGGTAACCGGTAATCTTTAGATGAAGCTACCGGGTGGTTCTTTGGGACAATGGTGTCAGGTCTTTCTGTCTTGGCTGTTGCAATGGTTCCTTTGCATCGACATGATGATGGAGATTCTAGAGTAAACTAGCTGAGTTTCAAAGATTGGTTATGGGGGGCTTTCCGGAATTAGACAGCAGCCCGCTTCGTATTGATAGCCCGTATCTGGCCTCTGCTAGATATTTAGATACCTGTCGAGCTTTCCTGTTGACCAGCTCTGCGTAACTTGTGACACGATTTCAGGGAGCATTTACGGCCAGGAATTTTAGCAATCTCTCTGTGTGGCCATGGAGTGGGGATTTGTTGTCTCTGGCTAGAACTGGCGATTTCCCCACAAATCTCCCAGAACACTGAGGCCTTGACTGCGAGTTTGTTCCGGGCATGGGATCGGCTGGCAACACGAACCTTGTGGGTTCTAGCTAGCAGCGGGCATTTGTGGCTAGACCACCTGGGAGATATTTTTGGGAAGATTTCCATGTGGGTGGGAAGTCGTGGCAGAGAGACTAGATCTGTCTACGCGCATCGTTTCGGAGTCTCCGCAGCTGGTATGTAATGGATACGAGGGTCTAGAACGCCAGCTATTGCTTAGTGGCTGGCTAGATGCTAAGCACGAAAAGGGCTGGACACTGCCCCTAGCTGGCTGTAACTAATGAAAAGGAGGAGCTTGCTGCCCCTTCTGTCCCGCCCTGGATTTGTTGTTGTTGGCCCAGCACTTCTCCGAGAAACCATCCCTTTAAACAGCGACCTAAAATCACCCCCTTATCACCCGAGGCAGCCACACCAAATTTCTCTCTTCTTTTCCCATTGTTTGCCACCAAACCTTATTATCCGCTTTAGCTGAAATGAAGGTTACAATTGCCGTGCTTGGCGCCTTTGCCGGTCTCGCGCTCGCCTGCGGGGAGGCGGGCTTGCACGTCCGCTCAACCATGGATGCCGAAGCCAGCGCCGCCTGTGAGGGCAGCAACCCACCAATTTGGTGTCCTATGAAGTGCCAAAATTGCGGGGGACAATATTGCATTGATGGTTTCAAAGCCTGGCAATGTAACTCAGATCCGCACCACGGCGATCTGTGCCCAGGTGGCTGCGATGACTGTTCACCGCACCGGCAATATGATGCACCCAAGGGATGTGTGGGTGGACCCACGGGATTGAATGGTGTGGTAAGTGCAGTTCTTCTCTTGCTACTGTTTAAGTAGTTTATTTGCTAACGATGTGACCAATGTAGGAATGCGTAAGTCCAACTGATCTCCCCACCAAAAGCATCTCCCCTCGCGCCCTGGAAATAAGTTAACATGAATGTTCTCCCAGCCACGATGTTGAAGCGACTATACATAAAGAAAATCTGGGCCCCCGTGCCTGGATGCTACGCTGGATAAGAAGTTTGTTTGATGGCGAGGAATAATAAAGGATCTGTCAACAGGAATTATCGCTTAAAACCTCACATCCGATCGCGCTCATTGTGGGCGCTGCGTACGAGCTAAAAGACTTGGAATCTCAAGCTGGAGTTATAAGAGCAGTTTTGTTTTACTTGGTTGGCTTGCGTATTCAGCTACTACCCCACGGGCACATGGGATAGGAACCCGTGTTCAAGTTTCGGTTTTATGATTTATGACTGGCGATGGAGAGTAGATCAAAACAAATACAAAGTCATGTTATATTTTCATAATTCGTGCCGTCTCGCTTATGGAACTCCTGAGATTTTAAACCACTCACCAAATGACTTAAAATTTTCGTACTTTTCTCTTCTAACCCCGGGTTTAAGATGGTATTTCTTGGAGATGAATTTGTTTTCTAGACGGATTCGGATATCGAGCGGGAAAAGATCTCATGTCTGACCCTTCTCTTATGTCATTAAGCCTTTCACGCCTACTCTTAAGCTTGCACGCCTGCAGTTTTTGCTACAAGAGGAGGGATAAATAATTAGTCATGCATAAGTGTGTGCATATTTTGGCTCCTTGGTAGACCTCGCATAATGAGTGGAACCAATTGGGAACTAGCTAACGTGACCTGCAGTAGCCAATGTGTTCTTGGCTAGAAGAATGAACTGAGATCGTAAGACCTGCACACATGGGCTGGTGTATCTAGGCAGTTTTCAGATCTAGTTGCGAGATTTGTTCCCTAAAAAGATACGGCTCCTCACTACTGTGGGGGTTCGTTAGGCAGCCATTCATGCATTCATTCACGTACATCGTGAAAAAGCAGTTTGTGAATTGGTCTATAGAAGACCACGATTATTTTTCCATTGAATACCATCCTTTTTCGGCTTAATTTTTCAAATTCTGCGGGTAAAATCAAACTTCCGCGATAATCTAGCTCCTACCCGACTCCATTGCCTCGATGAGTATACTCACTCTCTGAAAATACGTTCACTGTTGGGATCAATCCTCCGTTTCCTCTAATATGGCGTCGCGAAAGACGGAAGGGGACAGAGAAGTTTCCGAGAGGCCCGGGCAGAATAACCCATCTGATCATGTCTTCCCAGAAAGATGGGAAGAAGCTGTTCTTGATGTCGAAAAATGTGAGTTCAATTCTTGAAGGGCATGTATTATTTAGGACTAATGGGAGTGACTAGGCCTCCTGCATATAAAATCCAAGCTTTCAAAGAAGAAGGTCGAAGATAAAGACGGTGCGGAGACCAAGGCAGAAGAACATACTGAGGGAAGGAACCGTACTCCCGCGAAAGAGATCAAGGAACCACTATGGAGAGATTGGCCAGTGGATACAATCTTGAGCATCGAACTTTCCGATAAAGTGAAAAGGCGTCTCCGGAGGTCCATACATACCAAAGACCTGTACGCCGCTTTCAGATCGGGGAATTTAACCGTCGTCAAGCTCTTTGGCATGGTCAACGCCAACCTCGACATGGCCAATAAGAATGGGTGGACGCCTATTATCCATCTTTCAGGCACTAATAGTACTGATATTGTAGAATATCTCCTGGAAAGGGGAGTATCAGTCAACTCATCCAGCCATGCAGGAGTCACGGCTCTCAATAATGCAGCTGACACCGGCCAGCTTGCGATGGTCAAGCTTTTTTGCAAATGGGAGGCTTCGTTGGAAGCCGCATATAATGGGCAAACGCCTCTGTGGTCGGCCTCGGTGAGCGGGCATCTGGAAGTTGTCAAGTTTTTGTCTGATCAGGGTGCATCTACGGGAGTCACCGATGGCAATGGGTGGACGCCTCTTCACGCTGCCGCCAGAAATGGTCATCTTGAAGTGGCAAAGTTTCTTCTTGGGAAGGGGGTCCGGATCAATGCCTAATCTATCACTGGAGCTACGGCGCTTTGCCTTGCCGCAAACGAGGGCCATACCGATATTGCGGAATTTCTTATTTCTGAAGGAGCTTCTAAAACCGCTGCTACTAATGATGGATGGGGGCCTCTTGCACTTGCCGCTGACACTGGCCAACTCGATGTCGTGAAGTTGATGATTGAAAAGGGGGTTCCTGTTGACAGTGAGACAATCGAGGGCTTCACTCCATTCCATGCAGCAGCACGTCACGGGCACTTGGATGTCGTTAAATATCTAGTGGAACGCCGTACGGCGATCAACCAGAAAAACAAGCCGGGATTTACAGCTCTTTGTCTGGCTACGAGCGGGGGTCATTTCGAGATCGTCAAATACCTGGTTGATGAAGGTGCCTCTATCGAGGAGGCAAGTGAATATGGCTGGACAGCAATCAACCTTGCCGCTTCTTCCGGACATTTCGATATCGTGAAGTTGCTTTCGGAGCATGGCGCGACCGTCAATACACAGAATCACTGCGGTTGGACACCCCTTCACAATGCTGCGGTTAATGGAAACACCGAGCTTGTGCGATTTCTCTGCAAGAAGAAGGCTTCGATCAACGCAGTAGAAAATACTGGGCTGACGCCGCTGTTGGCAGCAACGGAAAATTCTGCCACTGACATCGTGAAGATTCTGGTTGAAAATGGCGCTGATCTCTCGGCAAAAGGGAAGCAGGGTCTCACGGCGCTCCATGTCGCGAGCTTGAATAACATGCCGGGGATTGTGAACGTCTTGTTGGCTGGAGGTGCTGACTTCAACTTGAAGTCAGACTTGGACTGGACGCCTTTGTTCACCGCGGCCAGTGCCGGTAGCTTGGATTGTGTCAAGATCCTCGTTGAACAAATCACTGATATTAATTGCACCGCTTCGAAAGACAACACGTTGCTGCATCTCGCCTCTGTTCAAGGGCATACTCAAGTAGTCCGCTACTTGGCTACAAAGGGGGCCGATTTGGAGAAGCAGACGAGGGGTGGCTATACATCGCTCGCGTTGGCCGCCGATAAAGGCCATCTGGAAGTGACAAGGGTACTGATTGAGTTGGGTGCCTCTCCAAATGCTATGAATAACAGCGGTTGCACGCCTCTCATCCTGGCTGCCGGATCTGGGCACCTTGGGATTGTCAGGTTGCTGGCTAGCAAGGGAGGAGATGTCACGCTTGGGGATGGCACTAAGCGAACTGCCCTTCATTTTGCCTGTGAGAAGGGCCACCTCGATATAGTAAGGTTTTTGGTTGGGGAAGGGGCTTGTGCTTTCTTAGAAGACACCGCTGGGAAGACGGCTCTTCGTTACGCTTCCGCTAATGAACACCAAGATGTGGTGCAATTCTTCACTGACGGCACTTGTCAGTCTCCAGAGGATCTGCAGATGACTCCATGACGATTGTTCACTGATCAAAAACTTCAAGCACCTTTGTTGATGTGGTCCAATGAGAAGAATGATCACGTGCCAGTGGAACAGACTGAAGAGTTCTCAGAGCTCTGCTATGCCAGTCTCCTGAATCAATTTGAAAGTTGGGAAGAAAATAAGACTGCTGAATTCGACAACAGGGTCGCCACAGAAAGCACAAAGTAGTCCGGCTAAAAGTTCTCTTAACACACGTATATCAAGTCTCCAGAATTATACTTTCTGCTAAAGGATACAGCGAGTAAAAGATTCAAGTTATCTTATGTGAAGAGCCGGAATTGACTACGGTAATACGCACCCGGTGTCATATTCTCCCAGTGTAATTCATTGTGTTAAGATATCGGGTTCTGGGACCTTTCATTGTTCCGTTTTTTTCGAGTGTGCCGCCCAGAATCTTTTGATTTTGTATCAGCCGTGAATGATCATCATTGGGACACTTGTGGTCAACGCTGGGAACAGGGATGGAACAAGCTGGAGTTCATTGTCTACGGTAACGAAAGGCCTGGAGCCATGGAGACAACAATGATTGAATACAACTAGCTGTTAGGCTGATCGGCCATACAGGGAGATCCCTAAGAGAAGGGATGAGCACGTGTGAGATAGCATTTCTGAACTCGTTCTCTGGGCTCAGTGATTACGATCTGCTGGAAGAGGTAAAAAAGGCATCCCTACAATTGGTGTATCTTGGCTTAAACGATTTCAAATCCTCAAATCCTCGGATCTATCGAAAGATGGCGATTCTACGTGTGCTGTACGATCCTATTTGAATCCTAGAATGGAACTCAACTGTCCGGGTAAAGTGATGGTTAGCGATGTAGCATCGGATACAGGGCGTCTAGAGTTATGGTAGTATTTATTAACTTGGGAATGATCCCATTGCAACCAAGTCAGGCACTTTTGAACAACGGCCCCCAGGTTACAGTGAAGGCTGAAGATAGAGAATGGGTGCAAATGGTAAACTGTTACAGGCCTCGGAATGGATCTTACGGCGCAACTGGTTTGGCGGGGGTAAAGATCTACGCACAAGCGTTTCATTATTCCTGCCTTTCTGACTGCCTCCACCTGACAATGTTACTGTGTTCGTATATCAATGGCCCTCAGCTGCGGGGACTGATGGATACACCTATGATGAGCAGCGCACATGTGTAGTAGACCCTACTGGATAATGTCTTATATCCCTAAAAGACCCCAACCATCAACTCGCCACAGTTAATGCGACCAGGATACAGCCAATACATAACTAAGGCCCGCCTTGTCCACTTTATCTTTCGTAAAACTTGCTCGTTGCTTTGGATCCTTATTAAAAACATTTGTTATTCGAAATAAACTAGCGGCATGGAGCCTTCAAAGCCATACAAATACATCATACACCCGCCTAGGGGCAACCAGATAGCACAACTATGGAACTCCTGGCCTTGGGCTTTTGAAGCTGTAGCTCTGATCCTATCGGCTTTGCAATTCATGGGCATAGTTGGTGTATTGGCTTATTTCAATGGTCGAATGGCTGAAACATCAGCCATCATTACACCTAATACCATCGTTTCCGTTCTTTCCACAGGGTCCAAAGCATCACTCCTCTCTGCTGCTGCGGGCTGTATTAGCCAATCGAACTGGGTGCTCTTTGCAGATCAGCCTCGGCGCTTGTTAGACTTCGAGATGGTTGCTGATGCGAGTCGGGGACCGCTTGGAAGTATCCGGCTCCTCTTCAGTCAACACTTTCGGGGAGGGTGAGTGAGTCCTATCGCTCTATGACTATCTTCCAATTGCTGAAAGTGATAATTTTACAGTCTACTTGTGCGACTAGGTGCTTTGATTACCCTTTTTACCATTGCCTTAGACCCCTTCGCACAGCAACTGGTTAAACTTCAGAATATACAGATATCAAGACCCGGGGGACAAATATCCCAAGCTTCACGATACTCCCTTGGAAAAGCGATCAACTTGCAGGCGATGTTTTATTGTAAGTATTTCTTCTTTTTTACCACGGATAGTAGAATATCATTGACCACAAGGGGAAGCGGATGATGATGGGCATTTGCGCGCAGACCGTTTTATCGCAGACGCTGATGTTGCGATGAAAGCAGCTGGTATGTTTGGCTTAGCAGCCGATACTCAAAGTGTCATGCAACAGACCACCCTAGATTGCCCTGGAGAAGCCTGCAAATTTTCCAAAGTAGCTTCACTGGCGATCTGTAGCAGATGCAATAATATCACATCGCTCCTGGAGCGAACAGAGGAAGAAGGGCCGCCCCTTTATAGCAAAATCACATCTGACAGGTCAAACAATCACAAACGTGACACCTTGCGGACGAGGCCCCGGACTCAGTACTCTTTGCCGAATGGACTTTACTTGGATAATGATGATGGGAGTCCTCACTATTTTGGCCTGTACATGACTACTTTGGGGACGGTCAACCGTACTAAAACTTTGACCATGGCTGATATTGATACTTTGATATGGTCACAAAACATAATCAAGGTAGTAAATGATACATCGGCAACTGAGGAAATTCCGTGGCCTAACTATGAAGTTCATGCTTCTGAGTGTGCGTTGTACTACTGCGCCAAAGAGTACAACTTTACAGTTCACAATAGCACGAAGACAGAAACTTCTAGCTCAGAAATCACGGATTGGAAACGAAATCTTGAATCTTGGCAAACGGACCCTTGGTTTAAGGAAAAGCTCGAGCTCACACCAGACGTTATCGATTCAGTGGCATACCACCCGAACAATTCTTTTCTACCACGAACTGACCTTCAACTGTATGTTGATGTTGAAAATGGGTTGGCAAGAAGCTGGAACCTCTCAAAAGATGCCGTGACGGGCATCAGCTATTTTGTCCAAACCCTATTTTCCATGTGTATGAGCCAGAATTGCTCTGACGCCCCGGATGAGTGGGTGGCCCCTACGGGATATTATTATCACAACTTGCAAGGTTATACAGAGTATGAACCTGCGCCATCCAAGATATTATGGGAAGCGAAACACATCAATACTACTTTCGCCAATATTGCAAGGAGTATGAGCAATGCGTTACAGGCTGGCGATGATACCAAAGACAGTCAAATAGGGACGGTCATCCAATCTGTTACCACTTATCGCATTGAATGGGGTTGGATTGCTCTACACTGTACCACTGCCGTGGCTATGTTATCATTCTTCATCTTAACGCTCTTGTCTAGGGCTCCATCTGGCGCAAGGGTCCCTGTGTGGAAAACGAGCAACCTGGCCATCCTCTCTAGGGGTCCCATAGTTTCGGATGTATTGTGTGATGGACAAACGCTTGACCAACTAGAGAGACAAGCAAAGCTCGCCCAGGTGAGCTTGCTGCAAGTCGGTCCTACAGACGACATGTCCGCCATGGATACAAAGCTGCAATCGTCAGAGCAGGTTGAGATGACCACATTTCAGAATTTTCAGAGAGCAAACAAGTCCTGGCATAGACCTACTCCGCATTATGAGCGTCTGTAATGACATGAAAAGCAATTCTGAAAAGATTGAACCTCGAAGAACAGAGAAAACTGCAACAGAAATCTTGGTTGTTAACGACGTGGGTCTCAATTACTTGATATCTATCTTGGATAATTTACCGGCCCATCCAACCACCATCAACGGTGAGAATTTCACCGCTGACGTACCTACATCCAGCCCCTGCTAGAAACACCGTGGCCCCCTCAAAATCCTGTGGAGAGCCCCATCGACCGCTGGGAATACGCTCCAAGATACTTGCAGCACGCTTCTCGTCATTGATCAGTGCCTCATTCATGTCCGTAGCAATATAACCTGGTGCAATGGCATTGACATTAATGCCGTCAGCAGCCCACTGATTACTGAGAGATTTTGTCAACTGCGCCACGCCACCCTTTGCAGCGGCATAGGCTGGAACGTTAAGACCGCCCTGGAAGGAGACAAGACTCGCTACATTAATGATAGCTCCCCGTCTGCCGGTGGCATCTGGTGCTCGGGTACGCATATAGGCACCAAAGTCACGGCAGAGCGTCCAAACAGTCCTCAGGTTGACTTGCAGCACCTAGAGAAATAGAGATCAGCGGATAATCACGGGAGGGAACTCTCATCCTAGGTTGGTTACCTCATCCCAATCATTCATAGGGAATTCGTGAGCAGGATGTCGTCTTTGGATGCCAGCACATGTGATCAGGATATCAACATCGTGACCATCTTGAAGAATCTTCTTTGTCAAAGCGGACACGCTCTCTTGATCAGCAAGATCGGCGGTATAGACGATGGCCTTACGGCCAAGTGATTCGATCAGGCTCTTTGTTTCAAGATTACTCTCGTTTCTTTGGACAAGGATGATGTCTGATCCGGCGCGAGCAAGGGCGAGGGCCATGGCCTGGCCGATACCACGGGTACCCCCAGTGACAACGGCGAGGTGGCCATCGAGTGAAAAGAGTTTCTCCAAGTAACTGGCCATGACGACTGATGCTGTCTGTGATCAGTTACCGAGGGATGAGAGGATCGAAGAGTCTTCCCAATCAAGTAATGTATCGAGGGCCAAAACTCCATCAGTAGCTGTCCGATTACGGCTTCAGCCATCCGGTCCCGTCAGCGAGGCTATCCCCCCTTGAGACAGCAGACCCGGCCCCTATCCATGGGTTCCACCACGCTATGGAGGCATCATGTGTGAAGTGAACTAAGGCAGGCCCTGAGCTTTAGTCAAAAGTGAACCCCCACGCCAAGCTTCTTCATCATCTGTTTTGATGATGTACATATGATTCAGTCAGGCAGCGGTGGATGTTATGAATTTTCATTTAACCCCGCAAGTCTGGCATTTTGCCCCACACGTCTCCTCACGTCCGCGACGCACCCATTTGTCGTCGTCACACCCGAGGTGGACGCCGGCTGGGGCAAAGGAGGTTATCCCCGGCTTATTTCTCTAAATCCCACTAACGCTGCTGGTCTCGCTGGCCGTGGGATACTCGGTTACAGCGGTGAAGGTTGGGCAGCTTGGACCCTCTTGGCGAAGGATGAGCTGGGGTCGACCCTGGTTAAGCCATTTTCCCGGGGAAAGTAATTCCACCACTACCTCAGGTGCTTGGATCTCGTCGTACGATGCTGAGGCTTTTTTGGGGTTGTTTTGCGTTTGCCTTCTTTTCAACGAGTCCGGCAACAGCCAGAGCGCCCTAGTATAAGCTTGTTGTCATCAATAGGAGGGAATCTGCCTGTAGTATCTAATGGATGCAACAGCTTCTGCCCCAGAGGAAGTGATTGACAGCCTTTTTCAAATAATGCCAGAATATCTGAATTTGGTTTCAAACACATGCCGCTGACTAACCAGGGCAACAGATGCCTTGGAGACTAGCTAGTCCAAGTCATTCCACATGCTACAACAACGTAACACTGCCTTGCCTTCAGATCGGCCGAAACCGGAGCGGCAGTAGGGACATTATCAAATAGAGAACAAAGCTAACGAAACCGGTGTGTTACGGCACGGCAATAAGCTGACTGCGAGTTTCTGCCCTTGACAACCAGCCCTTCAGTGTGGAGAATTCTGGCCTGTGGAGGAGGATGTGGAGAAGAACCCGGGGTTTCTCCAAAGCGTGGGGGTTGATTTCGTTGGGGAATCCTGCAGCTCGCACTTTCCCCCCCTTTTCTCTTCTGTTGAAGAGTGTCATTACCCCAAAACCACCACCTTGCTCGCAACCCTCAGAGACTCATACTTATCTGCTCAGGTTCTACCCCAATTTCACAAGTCCTCAACTTCACAGTCGCCGTCCACTTGCTGTTGGTAGTCTCGACTCCTATTTCCCCGCTTTTCATACATCACCCCTCTTTACTCCAAGAAAGCCAACAGAAAAGCAATGGCAGAAAAGCAGGACATTGTGTCCGAGGAGGCTGAAAATGCCCAGGGATTCGACAAGATTCAAGCGCTCGATGGCATCATTATGCCAGAAGAGCTCGCCGCTCTTTCTGATGAGGATCGCGAGAAATTAGGGAAAAAGGCGACGTTGAAGATGGACATCGTTATCATGCCCGTATTGGTCATCATGTACATCCTTAACTACCTGGATCGTCAGAACATTGCAAGTGCCAAACTCGCCAACATTGAGCAGGACCTCAACATGTCACCAGTTCAGTACCAGACGGCTGTCAGCATTCTGTTTTGCAGTTACAGTATGGGCCCTCTCATCATTCTTTGACTCTCTCCCAATTGCTAATATCATTTAGTTCTCTTTCAAGTACCCTCGAATATGATCGCGAGTCGGATAAAGTGGCCCGGAGTCTACATTTGCCTCAGCATGGCGCTATGGGGAGCCATCTCTGCCGTCATGGCGTCGATTCATAACTTCGCTGGACTTATTGTCGCTCGTATTTTTCTCGGAGCTGTCGAGGCTGTGTTCTTCCCCGGAGCCATATACTTCCTCTCTCTCTTTTACAGCCGAAAGCAATTTGCCCTTCGCATGGCGATTTTGTATAGCGGTTCGCAACTCGGAAATGCTTTTGGAGGCCTGTTTGCTATCGGAATCCTGAAGCTTGACGGGGTGCATGGGATATCTGGATGGCGATGGGTATGTCTATATTTGGTCTTCTGTTTTATTTGCGTCTGATATTCTCCGAACTAACTATGTCTTATTCTAGCTGTTCCTCGTCGAAGGTGTTATGACTGTTGGCCTCGCGATCGTTTTCGCGCTCATTCTCCCTAACTCAAAGAATAAGATTCTTGGGGTCTCCAAGCTCGAGATATTGTGGATTCAGTGGAACTTCAACCAAGACTCTGGTCAATCAGAAGAAACTCACGAGATGACTGCCATGCAAGGCCTCCAGGCTGCTGTCAGGGACCCAAAGACCTGGCTTTTCATTGGTATTCTCTACTGCGTAAGTAACCTCGTTATTTTGAGAAAAGCTAGTCTTAGGGTTCTCTAACTCACTTATTTCTTTAGACCTACATTGTTGGCGCTGTCTCCAACTTCTTCCCTTCGGTTGTTGGAGGCCTGGGCTATGACCGAAATAAGACCTATCTACTAACAGCTCCCCCATTCCTTCTCTGCGTCATCACCATGCTTATCAACGGCTTCCATTCCGATCGAGCCAGCGAACGCTTTTATCACGTCACTATCGCTCTCTGCGTCACGCTGGTAGCTAATATCATTGCGGTGTCCACGCTTAATATCGCAGCTCGCTATGTGGCCATGATGCTTCTGCCAGGCTCCTTTTACGCCTCAACCATTGTGACTCTTTCTTGGATCACTGGATCGCTCTCACAGCCTACAGCCAAGCGAGCCAGTGCGATTGCTTTCATTAACGCGATTTGCAACACGCCCAACATTTGGTGCAGCTACCTCTACTCTGGCGGCCCTCGCTATGTGACCGCCTTCGCAGTAAACGCTGCTGCTACTGGTTTGGCTATCGCGTTTGCCATTGCAGCAAGAATCCACCTCAAACGCCTCAATAACAAGCTAGAAAGGGGCGAAGATGCCGGTAGACATGGTCCTACAGCTGCTCAGGTTGCCTCGGGTTATCGTTACATGCTGTAGAAGATGGAATAGAAGGGTTATTCTTGATGTATCACCATAGATTAGCTTGATACTCAATAAAAACTCTTGGGTTCTTCGTACTTCTCCCGTCCTGAGTTCCCAGACCAAGAAAGGCCATTGCCTGACCCCCACTCCAGTCATGATTTGCTTGTAATCTTCAAGTAACTTACGCATGTGAGGCTCATTATTACCACTCTCCAGCGCGGAGATTTCCGTCCGCGAGGTTTCCCCAATTCATTTTTGGATCCAGTGTACCCGCTAGTAATAGCACGAAACCCTTCGCTTACCAAATCTAGAGAAGGCGACATGGCGTGGGTTGGGCATCGAATGCCGAAATCCAGTCCTTCCCCTCACAGGGGGCGTTAGTCTAAGTCAGCGACGCATGGATGATGCCGAATAAGTTTATCCACTCTGAAAATCCCGCTCTTGCAAATCAGGAATAGCATCGAACAGACTCGTGCGTGGGGGTCACTCGAGGCTGATATTGCGGGCGGTGCTTGAGCTAGATCGAGTGGAGATGGTGGAGTGCCGGAGGAGGAGGCTGGAGGCGGGTTGGGTGGAGGCGAACGTGTCATGGAAGGTCTTGGAGACATCTAAGAAAGCGTGGGGGTCACGGAGCATCTTAGCAGAGCATTCTTGGAATTAAAGATACCTTGTAAGCTTCCAGAGGAAGATGAAGGCCTCTGTATCAGTCCTTGCCACGGCTTCGCTCTGTGAATAGCAGCTATCTTTCTCACCATGTCGACCACAACTACAGCTACAATCCCAGCTTCTGTGCTTCATGGCGTGAGAGACCTAAGAACTGTCAGTGATCTCGGACCAGATATATTGAAGCCAGGCTCATTACTGACATACTTGCAGGAAACACGAACCATCAGCGCTCCAGCTGACGGTGAACTTCAAATATCCGTTCGTCGCACTGGGATTTGTGGCTCAGACCAGCATTACTACAATCACTTCCGCAATGGCGACATCCTCGTCCGTGAACCTATGGCGTTGGGTCATGAGTCCTCGGGAGTTGTGGAGGTAGTTGGTGCCGGTGTGACGGGATTCAAACCTGGTGACCAGGTCGCTCTTGAAGTTGGTATCCCTTGTGAGGAGTGCCGTCACTGTATCGCTGGTCGGTATAATATTTGCCCCAGCATGCGTTTCCGCAGCTCCGCAAAGGCCTTCCCTCACTTCCAGGGCACCCTCCAAGGACGTATCAATCACCCAGCTAAATGGTGCCACAAGCTCCCTGAGAATGTTACGTTAGACGAGGGAGCTCTTCTCGAACCACTGAGCGTGGCGATTCATGCCATTCGCAGATCCAAGGTTGAAAAAGGAGCCAACGTACTTGTTATTGGAGCAGGTGCCGTGGGACTCTTGACAGCGGCGGTACTACGGACTACAGGTGCCTCAAAAATCACCATTGCGGACATTGCTGGCAGCCGCGTCGAGTTTGCCAAGCAGAACGGATTTGCAGACCGAGGCTTTGAGGTGCCTCGGGCTCAGCCTGATGCTGTAGCTACTATCGAAGGCAAACTTGACCATGCCAAAGCCACGGCAGCTGCAGTGATGAAAGCTGGTAATGACGACGAGTCCCAGCAGTTTGATGCCGTGTTTGAATGCACCGGTGTAGAATCATGTGTCCAGACGGCAATTTATTCTACAGTGGCTGGAGGCAGGGTATTGCTCATTGGCATGGGCATCCCAATCCAAACGCTGCCCATGTCGGCTGCGGCTCTACGAGAAGTTGATCTCGTTGGAGTTTTCCGTTATGCTCAAACATACCAGTATGGGCTAGAAGTGCTGGCGAATAAAGCCAAGTACAACCTCCCAGATATCACAAAGTTGGCTACCCATCGCTTTTCAGGCTTTGATCATGTAGTTGGCGCCTTCTCCATGGCCGGTAAACCCCAGGATGAGAAGGGGAATTTGGTCATCAAAGTCATCATTGAGACGTAGATAGTTTATCTTCACTAATATATGATTTGTACAAATAAATCCCCATAAAAACCTTTTAAATGATACATCCCATGGATTGATATTGAGAAGGCTCCACCAGCTGACTTCTAAGCTTCAAGGCTACATGCGAGTAAAACGGTTCGTTGGGTACTGGAGTCCACAGAGATATGTCTTTGGCATAGAGGAATTTCAACTTTGACCCTTCATCTTATTTTAAGTAATACTGAAAGAATTGGTGATCATGATAAACGTAGACAAATGTATTATTTTGTAGCCATAATGTTTTGACGCCTATTTTTCAATCACTTGTAGGCAATCTCGGAATTACCACTCGCGAATACTACCGTCAGGCCCATGGAATACCTTGCATTGCCAGGCCTTGGTATCCTTGGCAATCTCTCTGACCTTGTCCTCATCAATCTCAATTCCAAGTCCATATTTGGTAGGGGCCTTGATGTAGCCGCCCTCTCCAATATCAAAGGTCTCAGGGTCCTTCAGGTATGTCAAGAGATCAATATTGTCTCCAGCCTCGGTGTTATAGTGCATCCCCAGACTCATCTCCAAAATTGTGAAATTAGGTGATGATAGGGCAATGTGAATGGAAGCAGCGAAAGCGACAGGGCCCAGAGGGCAATGGGGTGCAATGGCGACATCATAAGCTTCAGCCATTTGAGCAATGCGCTTCGTCTCGCTAATACCACCGGCATGGGCGATATCAGGCTGCAGGATGTCGACACTAGCATCTTCGAGGAATCTCTTGATGTCCCAGCGAGTATACAAACGCTCGCCAAAGGCGACAGGGATAGTAGTACGGTCAGCGAGCTGCTTGATCGCTTCAGGGTGTTCACACAACAGAGGCTCCTCGATGAAGAGCGGGCGGTGAGGTTCTAGAGCAGCAACAAGTTGCTTCGCCATGGCTTTGTGAAGACGGCCGTGGAAATCGAGACCGACATCAAGGCCGAGGGCCTTGACTTGCTTGATACGCTCGACTGTAGAATCAAGAACAGAGGGCGAATCTACCCAATTCAAGTCTTCTGTTGCGTTCATTTTTACGTGCTTGAGCCCTTGGGCAACACGAGCCTTGCTATAACAGAACAATGATTAATAAAATAATCACGTTTCATGACAACGATTACACGTACGCAGCACGCTCAACGTCTGATGGACGATCGCCGCCAATCCAGCAATATACCTGGACCTTGCTGCGGACCTTTCCGCCGAGCAGCTCGAAGACGGGAACCTTGAGGTTCTTTCCTATGTGATGAACAACATTAACAACACGTATTAAACCTGAGATCGAATCAATTGACGTACCTTTCAAGTCCCACAACGCAATATCAACACCAGAGAGAGCAGACATGAAGACGGGTCCTCCACGGTAGAAGCCGTGTCTCCAGAATGTTTGCCAAATGTGCTCAATGTCGCTAGAAAACCAATCGTCAGCTCAGCATCTGAAACAGAATCAGGTACCGTACTTTGCCTCCATTCCAATGAGACGAACAATCATCTCCTCGAGGCAGCCCTCGACAGCGAGGTCGTGGCCCTCAAGGGTGGCCTCGCCCCAACCAGACACTCCATTCTCGTCAGTGATCTTGACCATAAGCCATCTTGGCTTGACGCGGAAATACTCGACACTCTTGATAGGAGCCATGATTACGACGAAAGAACACTCTGGTGCGTATTGGGAGTGCTCGTAAGCAAGAATACCATCCACTCGACTTGAATAAATAAATACTGGCCGGGGGTAAGGACACGGCATGAGTCGGCTAACCTGCTCCGTCCTTCGGAATACCCCTCTTCTTCGAATGCCCCCTAAACTAACTTTCGGACACCGATCTAGCTTCAAGTCAGCAAAGAACGGACTATTCCCCGTGGGGCCACAGGCCGTCTCGGAGGTTGAATCAACTGACGTGACCCCCACGCTTTTCCCCTCACCTTTCTCACTCTCTCGAGTCCCCAATGTCTTCTCCACTCCCCACATTCAGTCTCTTGAGTCCCTCCACTGTGACCCCCACGATAGTTCCGTCAGCTTAGGAGATCGAGTTCTTCGTGGCCCCCCACGAATGCCATCGTGACTTGTTGAAGAAAAGGGGTGGCACGCAAGTCGACCCGAGAAATCGGCGGGCGCAACCATTGACAGGCATGGTTTCGGAGAATTCCACCAGCCTGGGAACAACAGTCCGACTTGGGAACAGCCCAGCAACTGTAACCCCCACGAACCACTTTCACGCCAAGGTCCGGTGGGGAAAGACGGTAGTCACTTTCGGGAAAGATGCGTTATTTGGAAAGTCACTTGATGCAAGGGGAATAGCTGTGGGTTCATGCCGCCTGGTGATGCTCCGCTACGTCGCTCAAACGCTTCGTATTTGTGGAGAGCGAAGAGTTGAGTCTCCATCTCATGCAAGAATACGGTCTTGCACAAGTGTAGCATATGTGACCCCCATCCCTCGTCGTTTCATTTTGTGTCAAGGGAATCAAAACTGTGCCCATTGAAGATCATTGCGCCCCCTCTCAGTGCTTACATTGGGACCCTGCACTATCCCTTCAAGCTGTCGCCTCCATTTCTTGACTCCCCGGCTAACAAGAAAAATCGAGGAACGGAAAGGAAGGCGAGTACGACCGGCTCAAGATGTCGTCCAAACATTTCATCAGTGACCCGACCAAGCTGGTCAACGATGCCCTGCACAGCTTGACCATCACAAACCCCACGGTCGCACTAGATGCCGACAACAAGATCATCTACCGTCGGCCGACAAATGGACCCAGCCAGGTCTCTCTCCTGTCTGGCGGGGGCTCTGGCCATGAACCATCCTTTGCTGGCATGGTCGGTCCTGGCATCCTCTCTGCTGCTGTAGCCGGGACCATCTTCGCCAGCCCTTCGGCAGAGCAGGTTCGCAATGGCGTCATATCTCGTGTTGACACCGAGAAGGGTGTCCTGGTTGTCGTGATGAACTACACCGGAGATGTCCTCAGTTTCGGTATGGCCGTGGAAAAGGCCAAGGCTGCTGGTGTGGAGTGCGAAATGGTTGTCGTCGGCGACGACGTTGGTGTCGGCCGCGCCAAGGGGGGCAAAGTTGGCCGTCGAGGCATCGCCGGTACTGTTCTTGTTATCAAGATTGCCGGTGCCCTTGCCGCGCAGGGAAAGCCACTTTCCGAGGTCGCCAAAATTGCCAGACTCACGGCCGAAAATTTGGTCAGTGTTGGAGCCAGTTTGGATCACGTCCATGTGCCGGGACGTGCTATTAGTACCGAGCACACCCTTGAGCCTGGTGAGGTGGAAATCGGCATGGGCATTCACAACGAGGATGGTTCAGGCAGAGCTAAGATCGATCTCCCCGATCTAGTCAAGAGAATGCTTTCCCAGCTTCTCGATCAGTCTGACAAAGACCGTGCCTTTGTTGACGTAAAGTCGAATCAAGCTGTTCTTCTGATCAACAATCTGGGCAGTGTGAGCGTCCTTGAGATGGGGGGCATCACCACTGAAGTCGTCTCACAACTTCAGTCCACCTACAACATCAAGCCGGCAAGAGTCCTGAGCGGCATGTACATGACGAGTCTGAACGGTCTTGGTTTCAGTATCAGCTTACTTAACACTGTGGACATCGGTGGTCCAAGCATGATCGAACTCCTGGACGCTCCAAGTGAAGCTCCTGGGTGGGCCGCTCCTATCCAGACGGCGACATGGGAGGCTGGAAATACGGCAGAAAGGACGGGTTCGTCGAAGTTAGATGAAGCCAAAAGGCCAAGCGGTCAGACAATGAGCGCCACGGAAGAGAAATCCGCTCTGATTTCTGCACTGGAGGCCGTCATTGCTGCTGAGCCTGAAGTTACCCAATACGACACTGTAGTGGGAGACGGTGATTGCGGTATAGGATTAAAGAGAGGAGCTGAAGGTGAGTCTTTACATCTAACCTCTTCATTGAAACGTGATCTAACACTCTGATCTACAGCTGTGCTTAAGCACATCAGTACGAGCCCCTTGACAGGAGATGTTCTGTCCGATCTTGCAGGCATTGTGCCCGTAATAGAGAACAACATGGACGGTACCTCTGGTGCTCTTTATGCTATTTTCCTAAACGCTCTAGTTCACGCCCTCCAGGCCCCCGCTCCTGGTGCTCTTACACCCCAAACATGGGCCACGGCCTTGCATAAGAGCTGTGACGCGCTATCTAAATATACACCAGCCCGTCCGGGTGATCGTACCTTAGTGGATGCACTCTATCCCTTCGTTGAGGTCCTAGGCAAGACGGGTAGCCTGGCCGAGGCTGCTAATGCGGCTCGAAAGGCGGCAGTGGAGACAAAGGGCATGCAAGCCAGCCTTGGTCGATCTGTCTATGTAGGTGGCAGCGGCTTCACACAAGTCCCGGATCCTGGAGCTTGGGGTCTGTCATGCTTCTTCCTTGGCCTTGCAGGTCTCCCGTCGAAGGAGTAAGTACGCATGGGATGAAAATCAACTAAATCGGAAGGGGAAGATAGAGTAATAGTAGTTGACTTGAAAGGCAACACAACAATGTGAAAATATTCCACCCATCCAGCAAGTTTGCTCAAGTGACCAATAGCTCGATCCTGATTCGCTCTACCTAAGCACACGACACATTACCGAGCAATGTCCTGGCGAATGAGGGGGTTCCCACCTCGGATGCTAGCGTTACATTCTGCATTCAGCCTCCGTCGAACATTTATTTTTATGCGGGGACAAAATGCGGGGAGGACAAAGGGACTCGGGCGTGGGGGTTCAAAATTCTCATGGATTGTAGTTCACGGACGGGGCAAATATTACGTTGCTTCATGGAAAGTCTCCACAGCATGAGTCAAGCATAGCCGAAATGTATGGAGACCATTCTCTCCTCGTGACAATACTCGGTCTGATTTCCCTTAGCCGGAACCAGAGAAACGTGGGGGTCATCCTCGAGGTAAACTTCCGTGTTCAGGATGGCACGCCGAGTCCACTTGGTGCCATACTAGACATGGACCGACCGACATCGGTCTAAGGCCGCTAAAGAAGGGGCCAATGGAAGGGTTTAAGATGCTGTGGCCGTTGCTTTGGCCCAGCTGAGTGAACGTATCCTGAACACTATCCTAATCTGCTTTCTCTGCCCTCTTCCACTCAACCTTGGCAGCGTATATACACACAATTCCTTCACAATATGGCCATATCCAGATCTACTGAGCCGCGTAAGCCGCTCGAAAACGGCCTCTATGTCCCCACGGTCGCATTCTTCACCGCTGAGGATGAAATTGATGTAGAGACCACTATTGCCCACACCACATTTCTCCTCGAAGCTGGAGTTGCTGGTATTCTAGCACATGGATCCAACGGTGAGGCCGTCCACCTCGACCACACCGAGCGTCAACTTGTGACGAGTGCTACGCGGAAAGCCTTTGACCGCGCTGGAAAGTCTCACCTCCCCCTTATCGTCGGCTGTGGCGCCCAATCAACACGAGAAACCATCCAGCTCTGCAAGGAGGCCGCAGAGTCAGGTGGTAGCCATGTCATGATTCTCCCCCCTGCATACTACGGCGGCCTCCTGACCACCGACCTCATCAAGCAGCACTTCATCGCCGTTGCCGACGCCAGCCCACTTCCCGTACTCATCTACAACTTTCCAGCTGCCTGCAGTGGCCTGGACCTGAGCTCAGATGTCATTCTTGACCTTGCTCAACACCCCAACATCGTTGGCGTTAAGCTGACCTGCGGCAACACTGGTAAGCTGGCACGAGTGGTAGCCGGCACCGCTGGTACCAACTTCCGAACATTCGGTGGCAGCTGTGACTTCACCATTCAGACCCTCGCTGCCGGCGGTAACGGTGTGATTGCCGGCACGGGCAACCTCGCCCCCAGGGCCTGTATTCATCTCTTCAAGCTCTGGGAGCAGGGCAAGCTGGAGGAGGCGGCCGTGTACCAGGGTATTGTTGCTCGGGGTGACTGGGCTGCCATCAAGGGCGGATTCGTCTCTGTCAAGGCTGCCCTGCAAAGATATCGCGGCTATGGTGGTCAGCCCAGGCGGCCATGTGCTTTACTTGAGGGTAAAGCATTAGAGGAGCAAATAGGAGGCTTTGCCGAGTTGGTCGAGGCGGAGAAGAAATTACTTAAATAATTAGGTTACTATGGAAATTCTTAGAAACAGAAATAAGGCTAAAGAAATAAGAAGCTTTTTAACTACCACCGTTTCCGTAGTACTATGTAAAGTGATAGCTCTGGCAAATGGCTGTCAGAAAAACAGGGCACCTCCACAGAATTATCGTGGCAGTCGTCTTATAAGAATGCTTCCTATTGTGTAATAATAGGAGATAATATTGCCTACTCACGAATACATTAATATTAACTATCAATTGTCTATCAATGTCGTGGCCGCTATTAAAAAGTTAGGGTTTAAATAAATGTGTAGTCGCTGGCATTCTGAGACCTATTTGCCTTCAGTTGTCACTACATAACTCCTAGGTACCTACGTGACAAGATATAATCTATAGACATCAAAATCAAGGGCTCTAATTTGGGAAATTTAAGTTCAACAATTTGATTAGCTACCTTATTAAAGCATAGAGATCGCGATGATATGGTGAGGTTGAGTGTGATGTTCTGGTGTAATCGGTACAGGGTAGGGAGTTATCACGACGCGACATCTAACAACAACAATGCTTATTGCTCGACGCGGTTGGATCAGGCCGGATCAAACAGGGGTTAGTCCCACTGCTATTCGGTTGTTTAGCCAATGACCGAGCACGGCTTAGATTTGCTGCCATCAGAACTTTGCGTGTCTAGTTGCTGACAGATTGGCCACTTGAAGAGCCTCTGGCAAACGACCATCCTAGATTATTCGATCCAAGGCAACGGGAGACTGGGATAACAAAGACCGAACTTTGTCTCTAGGCTCAAAATGCCCCCGATGTCTCCATGTATACAGTGTAGTCAGCGACATCTCCTGTGTGATGGACAGCAGCCGCATTGCGGATCTTGCCAAGCATCTAACATAATATGTGAGATGCCACAGCGCGGAAGCCGCGGATCGAAGAAGGGATACCTTAAGGCACTGAGGAGTAGGCTATCCCACATTGAAGGAATGCTAGAGCGCCGAATGAGGGACCAGCAACAGGATTTTCCGATAGCCGAGGGTAGCGGCCATGAGATAAATCATACATCTCTTTCACATGCTCCAGCTTCACAGGCTATCACGCCTCATCAGTTTCGCGACAGAGCCCTAATTGCGGATGGATCCGCAACAGAGACCATTGCACAGATGAATCCACCAATGGATGCTTGGCTGGACTCCAGCCAGTTTCATCAACCGTCTCTTTCCTCGATATATCCCACGAATTTCGGGAACGGCGTGGATCTGCCGTCACACGTGCAAGCTGAATTGTATGTCCACTGATCCGCTTTGAAAGCATGGAAAGAAGATTCAATCTAACTTATCTCATCTAACAGAAATCAACTGTACTTTGATCGACTTCACCCGTCCATACCCCTGGTTCATCAGAGGCGATTTATGTGCCGGACAAAATCAGATGAGACACTGTCTTCATTTAAATGCCTACAGTATGCCATGTGGACTCTATCCACCTTGTTCTCTGCTCAGTTTCGTGACTTAACCGAAACTATTTATTTTGAGGCCAAGCAGCTGTTAGATGGCCTCATAGCTTGTTATGATCGGGACAGTTCTGGAGATACTCAGCTCGTGCAAGCGTCAGTACTTGTAGCCATCTGCGAGTCTGTCCGTGCCCGCCACCAGCAAGCATGGATGAGCGCTGGGCGTAGCTTCCGCTTAGTACAAGGCATGCGTTTCCATGAGATCGACAAACCCCGGATCGATGGTTCAATTTCATCCCATCTAGACGCCACGGAGACCGAAGAGAGACGTCGCACTTTCTGGGTAGCATACCTCCTTGATCATCTATTTAGTATGCGCAATGATTGGCCGGTAACACTCAGCGAGCATGTGGTAATGACTTCAGACACATCCTATTCCCAACTCGGTCGTGTTTCACATATAACTGACCAAATCTGTCTTCGAACATTAGGTTTGCACCCGAATGCCAGCACCAGAGGAGGCCTTTCAAAGCGGCCACAACACTCTTGGTCCCTTTTTATCTGAAGCAGTAGTAGCCCCTGGGCCTGCTACTCCATTTAATGAGTGTCTGATATTGGCTACTATTTGTGGGCGCAGTCTCTTACATTGCCAGCAACACAAAATCTCGCTGGCTTATGGTGGTCTTACAGTAGACTGGGCCGCTCAGAATCAACGACTTGACGAAACACTTAAGGCGCGACTCGAAGCCTTCTCTGAATCTTATGGATCCCCAACAACTAAGATGAACGGCCCGTTGTCTGATTTTGTAGGTATCCTTGGTCAGACCACAGTGGTCTATATGTGCAAGGGGATAATGGAAACGCTGTATTCTGCCACCAACTTGGGGACATCTGATAACGGCAAAGAGGAAATACAATTGAGAGCCTCGGACGCTATTGCTGCTATCATCTCACTACTTCAGCCCCTCCGCGAAATTCATTTTTCCAAGGTGAGAGTTATTTAGTTTGCGGCCGGATTTCCGAGTTTCTCCTGTGTATTATGAGGCTGATTTGACTTCATAGATACACCCACTTATGCCTCTTGTCCTGTTCTTCTGTGCTGAATTCTTGTATAACAATAGAACGAACCATGGATCGTTTCGGGAGCGCATACAGGGACTGATGGCTGCTCTGAGTGAGCTCCAGAACGTTAACGACCCTGAAAAGACCTACCTGGATCTGCTACCGCGGTCATGTATTTCTTCCACTTCTGAATGGCTAGAAAAAGGCACTAGTGGAATGAATGATAGATAGCACTGAAGTAAAGACGTTTTAAAGGGAGAGCGATATCAGTGGTTTGCCATCTTGATCACTTTGGAATTAACTAACATCATCTATTTGACTCTATACGACAGCCTCTACGTTGGCATGATGCATTCATAAATAGTCCATGTTAATTTCAAGTCAACCTATTTGTTGTGACTGAACTTTCTAGAAATGCCCTTAAACTAAGCAACGAAAAATGGGTGCTTTAGATTCAAACATATCAAAATATGCCTAAAAAAGGGAAAGGGTGTTGTTCGTAGTTTTTTAAACTTCGCTGTCCCAGCCTCTACAATATTTCGAATAAGAGGCATTGAGTTTTAGAACACAACAACTAAAAGAGGCATGGGGGTTTAGAACACAATAGCCGTATCAACCTACATGACAAGAACATTGACTTGGGCGAGAAGTGATGTCCACCTCTCTTGAGACGTTCGACTCCAAATCCTCCTCAGGCATTCCAGACCCTCGAGGATGTTAATAAATCCATTCCTTGACTGATGCCGGAGAAGTATTTGTTCAAAAAACTCTTTGTGCTCGTTCAAGATGCTGGCGGAAGCCGCGATGAAGCATGCCCAGACCAGAACCCTTTCGCCAGGCGCTCCTTGAGGAAACGCTTCTAACGTTTCTTTGAAGTGTTGGACTCGAATAATGGAGGTCATGTTTCCAAGTTCCTCAGAAGCGTGATCATCCGTACGGTAGTCGAACTGTGCTATGTATAGATCTAGAGCTTGTTGCACCAAGTCTCTCACCAACATCATTGTTGGACTATGCTCAGGGTAATCCAGTAACCTATGAGTGAGGGAGTTGAATAGCTGCTCCTTGTGGGTTTGTGACGATATGAACTCGATTCCTCTACTCTCGTTGAGGAGTGGTGCTGCATAAACACGGATTCTAGCAGCAATGTGAGCAAGAGTCAAGAAACCAGATATCCCCTGGAATAAAACATACTTGTGGTTTTGGTTTTTGATGAAGTCTGAAGCATAGACTCGTGGAAGCTTGTCTTCACCGCCCATTGCCTCTATTGCGGATTCTAGCATCCTAGACAACAACAGAAAGTCTGAGCCCCCGGTGACCATCACTCCAACAAATAGGATGAGGATGGTTATTGAAACGGAAATCTTTATATTTACATCCCCACTGTTCAACCCTGGTTGGCTGCGGAGGCCCAGGATTACTCGATTGTACATCTCGTTTGGGTCTCGTAGGTCGTTCCGGGTGGCTGAGAGTTCGCATTTTGTTCTCCTATGGGCATGCGTGGATGTATTCAATTCCAGATGGTAAAATGCTACCGTTATAACCGCGTCCATAACTAAGTTGTCTGTTTGAGCGAGTGGTAGCACCAAATGACGCCATTCATTGTGAGTTCCGTCGATGGCAGTCATTTCAGGAGCGATGTTATCTGAGACTTCACCATTCCGAGTTGTCAGTCTTGGTCACGGTATCAGTTTATGAAACACTCACAGTATTTGCACATTATTCGTTTCCATAATGGAGTAGGTTCGGTGGGGATAAGAGGGATACCCCCGATCTCATTAAAGCTGGCTAAAGCCGTCTCATACCTCTCAAATTCCACCCCAGTCCCAACGATGCTGTAGGTAGATAAGCCTTCATGGACGTCTTGTGGTGAGCTGTTACTTGTAAGACGAGAAACCTCTCCGTTGTATAGGGAAAGGGTTGGCAGCACGTCTTCAGCACTCCCAAACCCATTTAGTATTACTGGCGGGAATATCTGGTCAAAATTCCCTTCCGAGGCGAAGACGAGATCTTGTGCACGAAATGTCTTTGAACTCCTCTGACGACCTCTCCCTGGCGCTTCTGAGGCAGTAGATACAGAAATTGGAGCACCGTATGGGAAGCGTAGCTTGAGCCCTAGCCCAGTACATTGTAAACCTCGGGCAGCACACTTCTGGCAAGTAGGTTCTGTGCGATCACAATGGATGCGGCGCCGAGAACATGGGTAACATCCTGAGTTCACAGTCACTACAAGGCCCTATGCAATATATTGCAATCGGTCCCCGGATAGCCTTCGGGCTCACCTTTAGTTTTGGGTATATAGGGCCGTTTCTTCGAGGACATCTGATGTCAGTTATGCGACAGTTCGCCGTTCAACCAGACGCCCAGTATCCCGTTTTGCCGAGGAGAGTTGAGAAAACAATGACGCCCGCCAGATTTCCACTGTTTAGATGAGATGGAAATACGGCAGGTCGACAGAGAAAGTCCTGAATCCTGTTAAAAGGTAGACAGATCTAGGATCAGCCAGGCTGAATAGAAGCCGAGAAGCGGGGTTTTTGCAATACGTGACCATTGACCCCAGATCTTCTCCACAAGCAGGTCATGACATGTTCGTTATCTGCTTCACTAGTCTAGATTTGGTTTAATTTGGAGAGCAGCTGTTATCAACTCGCCACTGGCCAATCGCCCACGGTTCCAGATCAAGTCAAGAGTGGAGAGTCAGGTTCTCGGCTGTCACCCGAGTCCGATTCGGACGTTTAGATCGGGCTCAATGTGGAAGGAAAGCGGAGAGGCCATCCATTCTACGTGGCCTGGTCCATCTGACTCCATTCTGGATGATATAAAATGTACCGTGCGTAGACGCAACTCTTAGGTTTTTGTTACTTCCAACCTGCCTCTCTGTATTGAATAATCCAGCTACTTTCTGATGCCAGCGACCATACTAGCTTTTGAAATGGGCAGTTTCTCTTCCATCAGGGGATTCTTAATGCCCACTCTTTCGAATTATGGCCCTTTCGTTTTCCTGATTCTTTTCAGTACAATCGTTGTTCTGCTACTTCTTCGGGCAGCACTGGTAAGAATTGTTTTTTGTTTCTTGTCTAGCATGACTCGAGGCTGATTATTTGAATCTTAGAGTCGAGGGATTAATAAACGACTGGAATCATGCTTGGAAAAGCCGAAGCTTGATAGTTCAGTGGTGGTGGCTCCAACTATAAATCCTCTGGAGGAGTTTCGATGGGAAAATGAGCAGCAGGACAAGATTCGCGCCTTTAAGCCAATCTACCACATCACAATGGGTAATTATAAACTCACAAAATCGTATCCGCGGCCTTTTTATGTAGACTGACAACGAGGATATAGCTGTCAGATCTGATACGCCATCAGAACTCATCACGATTGATTGTGAATATCTCAATAGGCTCCGTCTCAGAAGAGACATTCTTCAATCCCAGAATGACACAGTTCATGGATGCACCTTAATGGGAGAAGATTCAGTTGAGGAGCTATACACCTATCTTATCACTGATTATCTACCGAGCCGCTATCCAACCATGTTCAAGCTGTCGTATGATAAATCCACGTTTTTCAACCTGGTCACTGGAGAAAACTATCCCACCACCCCACCGAGCGATCCGAAGGCTGCGCTGAAAATCCTCGGCACCACAGTTGAGGAGGACCTCTTCCTGCTCAAGAACACGCCGGATGGCCACCAGTGCGTTGCTTTCGTGTGCTGTTTTCCATCGGGATGGAACCCGTCCTCAAAACTGGGGGCACACATGACAAAGATTCACACAACAGTCCCTTCATATGAGAAGATTGGACCTAGCATTGAGAGGTTCTTCTCAAGGTTGCAAGTGGGCAAAGGCGTCAAGCGTAGCAATGTGAGTGTGACACGAAGATAATGAGTTGATAAACTGCTTATCAATAACGTGAACAGTGGACCCTTCAAACACATGACAAGCTTTTCAATGTCAAAGGCAACCATATCAGACCTGGCGAAGAGGCTGAGGAGGAAGATATCGAGGTCGACAAGGTTAGCATAATCAAATCTGGTTTATTCTTGGAACAAAATGGCTTACTTGGAAACAGACATTCGTGCGCGTCGAATTGCAAACTCTGACACGAATGCCCAAGACTCAAGCTGTACTATTTTCCTTCAAGACGTATCTTTATCCGATCCAAGAAATTAAAGCTGAGGGTCTAGGTGCTGAGTTTGCTGATGCCATTGAAGGATTACAAAAGGGTAATGCCCCGGGCATGTGGAGGTACAAAGGCGCAATCAGATGGGGCAAGAGTGTGTGCGAGTACCTTCGAGCATAAGGCCTTCTTCTCGCGTTTTATGGTTGCATTTTTACTGTGCGCGAGGCTGTGCCTCTTCCAGTTTCGCTCATGTGGTGGTGGACGAAGGACGAATTCACAATATCGTGTTCTTTGCTAGGGATTGATCGGGGTAGAGATATTCGAGTACAAGATATAAGGAACTATACGTTCGTTTTTCCCCTTTCGCCCACCAAATATTTCAAGACGTGATGGGAGGTCCCTTAGGTTGGTTCTACCGCAGTGATAGACTGGCTGCGGCGTTCCGCATGATCTCTGTTCATCTGCTCGATAGCCTCGCCCAAGAGCCTTTTGAATTCATGGTACTTCTCTGGTTTACAGCAGTAGAAGTATATCTGCGGTTCTTCCGAATATGCGAGATTGTTTCCATCCCGCTTCCCAGCAGCACTGATCCAAGAAGTGTCATAAACCACAACGCCTGAGTCATCCGTGAAAGAGATATCATCAAGATCGTACCCTTCATCATCACTCTCAGTGTCGCTAGGCTCGCGGTCGCGGGTATCAAACAGATACTCAGGCTCCGTGTAAACGCGTGGAAGCTTCTCGCCGTACAACTGCTCGATCACGCCATCCATCAAATCTGCCTTTGTAACGCCCGTAGCATTCTCTAGCGTGACATTGGCCTCGGCCTCGTCGGGGTGGCAGCACGCGCATCCCAGTCCATGAATGACATCCATAAATGTTATTGAGAACTTCTTCACAGGCGGGTCTGTTAAGAATTCCGGTATCATGTTGTCGGCAACAACAGAGCTTCGTAAACGACGGAAAACATCTCGCCAGTAGGTCTGGAAAACTTCAGGTGAAGACGCATCGAAAGGTGGGCTAGCGCCAAGGGACTCTTTCGTGGTGTTCTCGATAGCCTCGATAACTTGTTTCCATTTCTCGGTTGTGGGTATATCTTCTTCCATCTCTTCCGGAGACTCGGGCTCTTCGGTTTGAATCTGCTCCTCTACCCCGTTTCCTACTGGTACCCGTTCTATCTTCTGGCTAAAGAGTCGCCTTTGGATGGAAAAAGGAGTGGCGGAGTAACTGGATCGCGCCGTTGAATTTCGCCAATCAGGAATAAGTGTTAATTGTCGGGAACGGCTTGGGCGAGGGCGGAAAGCCACACATTGCTTTATCAGTCCTCCCCTGATCGATGATCGCTGGAGTATGTTGGACATCTGCTCGCGCGGTTGGTTGATGTATGATGAAAACTATTGAAATTTTCTTCTGGGGTATGTTTTGGTTTCTGTGCGGAGTTTTTGGTTCGATGAGTCAGACCGTGCCTGAGGCGACTGCTGACATTGCTGCGGTCATGTCCCTGACTTCAGTAGAGCTTGGCCCAAATAAGGAGTAAGCAACATGTGATTACCAAAAGTGTAAAAGATTGGAGGGGGCGCGAGGTGTTATGACGGGAAATCCTAATGGACTTTGTCTCTATCATGGCAAGACCTAAAACACGTGCAAAACAAAAGGCTCTGTTCCTGTTTGCCAACTCAGTCGTCTTCAGTGACTGAAATCTAGAAAGTTTTGTTCTAAAACTTTTTATAAATTGGCAGGATTAATATAAGAGTAATGAATATGTCGCTAGATCTAGACGGAGTTGGAATTGTCTGCACAAGACCAAGCAGCTGAGCCCCCTGATGCCTTATACGAGTTGATGATGCTAACGACGGATCCATATGTACCGCCGATCATCAAGAATGTTCCTGAAATAATAACAAATGAAGACCAGCAGACCATAACGTACCACTTTGCCGTCCGGTCTTGCTTGTCCTTGCTCCAATTGTCATATAGCCACATGCAACCCATCGGTTGGAAAGACATGAGTGTTCCCAAAAGAGCACCGATCAAGGATACAAGGTCGCCGAATACGGGGATAGCACTGGCGACGATGTATGCAATAACCGTGGTACCAAAAGTACAGCCTAACCATGTACCCCAGTGAACAGCGCTGTTGGAGACCAAATGCTTGGATCCACGCATGAGACGAAGAAAGATGTACTTGCTGGGGAGCTATGATTATAAGGTTAGTGAGCGAATTATTGATTGAATTTACCAGCCAGAGCTTACATGGATGACGATGGTTGTGGTGGCAGCCAAGCCTGGCAGTGCCAATCCGTAGCAGATTTTCTTCATCAAGGGGCCAGCCGAGCCCAGAGCTGGTGATGCCACATACGAGCCACAGAAGTAATAAACCACGCAGCCAATAGCGAGATATGTAGCAGTGACTCCAACCTGACAGATGACGAGTGCTCTGGTGTACAGTCGAGGATCACGCATTTCAGCAGCGATGGGGAAGAAGGCGGGAGTACCAGCGTAGGCGAAGACGAGAGAGGATAGGGCAGTGGCTGCTTCTGTGAATGACGGATGGTTGATGATCTTGTAGTCTGATTTCCAATGGCCCTCTTGGGGTGCAGCCGAGGGTCGATCCTGGACTCCAACGGCGACAGTCACGATGAAGACTGAGACAAAGAAGTCAGCCATCAGATCGGATGGTGAGCAGTAGTGAGAAGTCTAGTACTTACTGGACGAAAGAATGCTTGCAAGGCCAACCCAGGCAATCCAACTGATCCGGCCCAGGGTCCGAATGCTGGCAAGACAAAGTCCGATAATGGCGGCAACGGCGACGAAGACTGCAGTGCATGTTCCGTGGTGCGAGATAGCATTTAAGCCAATGGAAATACCAAGCATGCCCGACCCAGACACAAATACCCAATCTAAGGGGAAGTCAGCACAAGACAGTATAACATCACCACTTGGGAAGGAACTCACAGATGCAGAAAGCTGCTCCAAGTATTTCACGGCCGGCCCGACCAAAAATCAAACCGCCAGCATCGTCGATGCCGTAAACCTCTCGATGCCGTAGTTTGAACACGCCAACAATATAGTTCGACCAAGTTGTGATCCCCGCAATGGTACACATACAGATGACCCCAGGGACAATTCCAAGTGTATTAAAGGCAGACGGGATCGAAAGCACACCGAGGCCGATCATCGTCTTCATCATCAAGGCAACCGTGCCCATCCATCCGACCTAGTAAACACATAGTTAGTTTGTCGAATCATACACCTAAGGGTCTGTACAACATACGTTTCGATAATTGGGGCCCTCTTCTGTGATCTCGCCAAATACCGCATCGTGATCGCCGGCCGGCTTTTGGTTGTCGCCAGCCAACGAAGCTGGAACATCAGAGACCTCGAGGTCTTCGTTCGGCCTCGACTTCTTCGAAATGGCCATATTGGTTTGGTAGAAGGGCTAGCCTGGGAATGAGACGGTGGCGGTGTTGAAAAGATTTGGTCTTCCCTGTTATAGCCAGAACGTGTGATTCGGACTGCTCGAGGATGGTATCAGGGTATGAATTCGAAACGGTATAGACTGGTTAAAGGGTTATAGCGTTACTTGGGAGAGAGAATGTAACTACTCGAGGATAGGGAGCTCACCATATTTATAGGTGATTGAGGACTTTCCCCGGCAATTCGGAGTACGTCGAAGGTTCGTCTGGACGGCTAAGTACAGATTTCAATGGGGACTGGGGAAGGGCGTGTGGAACTAGTGTAGTAAGAGTAATGACTCGAGATACGGTCGAAATCAGACTTGACAGTCAGTTATTTCCATTATCAAATCTCCACCCCTACTGATACGGCGTAGAGAGCATTGGGGTATGAGTCTCCGGGGCCGGTTGGTTTCCATCTCTTCCGCACGGCCCCTACGATAAGCATAGAGGAGCCCGAGATTGGGCCAGTTACAAAAATGGCGCGAGTTCTAGCCCCGAGTTGTTCTGCCCTCACATCGCCATCCCCGCAGCTTTTGTTTTGCAATGGTTGAGTGACGCACCAGGGCTCAGGGGTTCTCGGCGCGTTACGAGAAATAGGTGACTAGCTTTGCATGAACAGTTCAAAAATTAGGACAAAGTGGGAGGCGACGGCAGCGACGGGTAGCCGATTTTATGTTTTGTCATCTTCATCAGCTAGTCAGCCCCAGGGCTTCTAAAGCGAGTCGAGGGACTTGGGAGAACATGATATTGCATTTCCTCCTCTTCAATCTTACACCTGCCCATCTAAATGACCCAATATCAGTCTGTACCCTTGGCTCAGGTACTCCATCACCACGACCGATACCTGGGGTAAAGACTCTCAGCTGAGTGCGGGGATGCCGAAAAAGGTTGCTGGTTAACAATCTCTTACGTATTAGCTTTCACCTCTTGAGGTATCTCCAAATCGGTGGCACAAAGCATGGTGTGGAGGAAGGTCGAGGCGATGTGTTGGGTCCACGGTGATGGAACCTTTCAAGCAACTGACCCGCTTCGACCACGCAGCACAGGCCATCAGCTAATTAAATACCTCAGCGCCACTGGTCGGTTGGCAGATGCCATCCATCGGTTGGTGGCCTGACGGGAATGATTCATAATCCGGCTGCCTTGTGAAGCAGTTGGGGTAACTGGCCTCTGTGTGCTTTGCCTGAAGGCCTCCTATGCAGCCACCATCTCCTGGTTTCTCCAAATCTACTCGATTAGGATATCTGATATTGTTCAGCCACCAACCATTACCCCGAGGCCAAGTTCGGCAGCCACCGATTCGCACGGGAGCCCGATCTTAGTGGATTGCTGGGCCGATCAAAAACCGTAGGCTTCTAACTTGAAAATCATCTACCAAGTAGCCCAGCAAATCAGCGTCGTCTAACCCATACCCGGAGTCATATACTTGTCCTACAGCTCCATTTTTTCCAAGGTGCCATCAGCAAATTTTCTTCTGACGGGTTCCATCCCGAGACCGTCAACGGGAATTCTCCCGGTGTCTGGGATCAGGGCTAGGAGAGTCTCAAAGAGGAAGCAGCTGCTCGTCAGTCGGCGAGACCCCCGAAGATTTTCATTTTGTTACGTTTCGAAACACCAAAATGTCCATCATTGCCAAGTTCCCCGGATCCCCAGAGAGCGCAATTACCAACAGTCATAACGTGCAGCAACAAAGGTATCCTCCCCCACAAACCTGGGGGCGGATATTGTAATTTGCTGTTTGATGGATCTTATTGCGTAACATAATCCATTATGTTTGTAAGAAGACAATGATGTGCTAGGTTCGAGATCCGTGGTCAGGTTCTCACTCGGAGAGTGGACAGACTGCCATCTGGGTCACGCCATATGCCCTAGTTAGCCCAAGGTTCCCTGGGCATCCGTTCAGATAACACTGCTCCAAAAAGCAGATTGACTTAATTGTGAGCAATTCAGTTTATTTTTGAATTCTTGTAGCGCCAATCTTTTGAGTAGATGAAAAGGAGCATCCAGAGTAGTCACCGCCAGTACTAAATGTAATCTGTCCATTAACCAGGAGATTTGTTTATAAAGAAAAGGGTGCCTAAAAAGGAGTATTATAAATTACATAATCTCTTACTGTTTGATTAAGAAACCAATTTTTTCTCAACTTACAAATAATAGAGCTCGAAACTTTACGCAACTCACTAAACGTCGCCTCCCCGCAAACACTAGGCTGTAGGTTTACAGTAGAATTATCTAGAAACTTGAGTCTGTCCCAGGGTCTAAAACTTATCACTGCGTTGTATTCAGTAATTCCTTGCTTACCCTTGCAGTAAGTACAGGCAAGCAAATATCATTTCAGTAAACATAGCCATACGAAGAAAGTCGAAAGTGATGACCTTTTGCATCGTTTTCTAAGCAACATAGGCTAAACAAAACGGTAATTTCTAAATATAATGGTGCTAACATCGACCTACACGAGATCGAACCTTCGGGCAAGAATCCAAGTTCCGTAATGTAGAAGTAACTATGCCCACCATTCCAATGATCCAGCATCCTGGTTTAGTGCCCAATCTACCAAGAGCTCCGGGTTCTCTTCAACTTTTGCCAGGCAAGCCAGCAGCCATTGCCACTGCGCCTCAGACTCTGAAAAGTGATCCATCCAGAGGGGAATTATTCCATCCTCTATTATGTCGTCTGCAAGAACAGGATTGGCATGCTTCATTCTCCCCCATAGTTCCCGAAATTGTGCGGCCTGTGTCCGTAATTCCGCGACCTTGCCGTGTTCTAGGAGACCAAAATCGCTCTTTTTCTCCCCAAGTATACCTTCTATCTCATCTTTATATCCAGTGAACTCCTCAAAGTAATCAAATCGCCAGTGGATAGATTGAAGTCGGGTCTCAATGACCTTACGATGAGAAAGATGGACCATCCGAAACCAGACTAACAGAGCTTCAGTCAAAGCCTCACGTCCCTGCTGCCGCTCGACGCAATTATTGCACCGCAGGTCCTTGAGAGGCATCGTTCTTCTTTCCCACTCAGTTTGGTCCTCGTTCCTGGGCCAATAATTCCTCAATTCGCCGTTTTGGTCGTGAACCAGTGTCCGCTTCACATAGAGAGGGCCAATCCGAAATGCATAAGTCTCCTTCCACTGCTCACATCCAGGGCAGCGGATCATGTACAGTGTCCAAGGCTCATGGGCCTTATCCCATCGGCAGGGTCGATACACGCGAGGTGGAAACGGCGGCGGTTTGCACTGCAGCGCATCTCCGAGCCGGGGGAAATAGCGATGAAAACTTGAATCCAGTAAAAGCTGCCGGCTTCGGACAATGGGCACTTCTCGAGTGCCACCCTCCCAGTCCCTCCCTGATCGCGGTAGATATGGTGTGAGTGCTCTCTCCTTGAATCGACACTCATTGCATCGACGCTTTCGACGACCATATCCGCAGCGTTCCTCGTCAGGTGCGGGCCAGGCCTCACCACTCGCCACTATGATCTTCTTCTCCTCTAGTTTTGCCAGTTTTGTCAGCTGCCTGGCTTTACGCCCTGAGTTTTTCCCGTGTAGAGAAGGGACCCAGGACGTCGTGAGGCTAGCAGCAGGCCATCCCGGTGATGGCTTCCGATTGCGAAGCCGCAAAAGAGAGCGGTTATCAAAGTGACTGTGGGGGAGTAATTTCAAACAGCTGGTACATGCCCACCGCTGGCCTTCCCAGGGGCCAAGGGTTCGGTGTAGCTCGATATTGCCATGGAACGTTTCATAGAAAAGCGAGGTGCCACCTCCATATTGCTCAAGGCATTCTATCACCAGCAGTCGCTCCGCAAATTCATTCCTCCCGGGCCGAATCAAGTTCCGAAACATCCGACAGGTCTGACTGAGAGATACGAGGCCGACGGGATCAACTTGCTGGATTATTTTGACCTGGATTTCTCGTGGCACCTGATCCTGGAGGGGCGCATTATGTGTTGCGACATTGTCTATCATCGTGATGGGCTAGATTGATGGTTTTGATGGACAGAGTGTTTGAAAACAGAGAGATTTCTTGGAGATTGTTGTGGTTATTATATCATTTTCGACCTGGACTGCGGCAGTGCACGGGTTCGCCGTGGCGCGAAGGAGTCATATTATTCTACCGTATCAGAGGCCCAGATGCGCAACGGCGTTTCCTTTCATAAGTTCACGAATTTCTCCATAATAATTAGCCCCTCTTTTCAAACCTTGTATCTTTGTCCCTTTATTCTTCTAAGATTTACGGAGCAACTCCATTAGACGGTTGTACTTGGCTAGGAAAGATCACTGTACTTGTTATAAAATCCACGTTCAAAAATGTATCTTTAGGCGAATCTACTATACCTTATAAGTTAGCGTAGAAACCTATGTATCTGCAGACTTATTGAGACACTGTGTTGTCGTTCCGAGGTCGAAAGTCGTGCACGGCATGTTGACTTGTCAAAGGGCGTAAACTAAGCTTGAAATTAATTAAATGACAATGCTATTATTGTTCTTCGCTCGATGTATGGTAAGAGATTTTAGCTAGCTTTCTTACTGCTTACCGGGGGAGGCATTCGTCTTATCCTTCCCTTTCTCTATTCTAGATTTCGCCTAAAGTGGCTTTGATTTACGAAAGATGAATGCCGGGAAAAGAAAGAAAAGAAAGTTGTGTACATACATGCGTGTTTTTTCCATCGGCGGGTTTTCTTTTAGAATAATAATACAGCATCAACAACTCATTGCATACTGGGATCTCTTATGTTCTGTGGAGCACTGGAAATGAAAGAGCTTATGCTGGTGGATTGGATCTCCCAGCCGAAGAATTTGGCAAAACTTCAGAGTAGTGGAAACGGGCTATCATGCAAGCTTTAATAATTAAGACGGGGTGCGAGAAATTCTCGGATCTCTCAAAGAATATCCAATAATCAGCAGGTAAAGTAGGACTGTTGGAGAAATGTGAGACAGGACGCACTTTGCGAAGGCTGGATATCTTGCACTATTATTGTTCTCTTTGACTCCCCTGCTTGTGTCAGCTTACGACTTTGTGAACACGCTTGGGGGCAAATCATCCAGCCCCTGGAAATACTGTCGTTTACTGTGCATTATCATTGGCTGATGATTATTCACCAATCGGATGAGTAGGAATCCGTGAGGTTCTCCACAGACCTCTACTCACTCTCCTCAAACATCATCACAAGGCAGCCATGCGGTGTAGCACAAATCGCCGGCAAGTCTCACAGCGTACATCAATCACTAGCAAAGCGGCCTGAATTCACTCGACATAATGCGTAAGCTCCACGCCAAGTCCAGACTGGGCTGCAAAGTATGCAAGGTACGCCGGGTCAAGTGCGACGAGACCCGACCTTCATGCAAGCGATGCTCGCAAACCGGGCGAACGTGCTCCTTTCTCGCTGACGTCCCCGTACTCCCTCCATCGATTCCATCTCCGCCAAACTCCTCCAGCACCGAGTCAGTCCCCAGCGCCACCCCATCAGTGGTGCTCGAGCCCTTGCCAAATGTCAGAGGCCCAGGGAGCGCCCACTACAAACCTGCCCATAGCTCGCTGGAAGAGCGGTATGGCTCGCTACATTTGCGTCTTCTTTACCTTTTTGAGCACCAGCCTTCCGAACACATGAGATTAACACACCCGGGCCTGGATGACTTGCTGCAAATGATGATCAAGGAGGCGTTCAGGACACCCTACGTCATGGACCAAGTACTGGCCTACAGCGCGGCCCTTGAGAGCGTGCGTGATCAAAATGATAGAGAGGCTCAGAAGTTATATGCCATTGAAGCCACCAGGCTCCAGACGCGGGCGCTGACCTTGTACAACAATGCCAATCCCCAGGCCTCGGCGGACACGTGCCTCCCAATGTTCATATTTACCTCCCTGTTGGCTCACCACACTCTCTTTGACGTCCTCAGCGATTCCAAGAAGGACCTGGGTGCTGTCATTAACGGACTGGCTCGTTCTATACCCGTTCACCGCGGGCTCATGGCCGTTGCAGCAGCCTGTTGGTCGATGTTTTCTCCAGAGCTTCAGAAGCAGTTTCTTCAGACTTGTCTGCGCGAGCCTTTAGATATAAACATCACCTCGGATGACGAGTGCGATAGCCTCAAGACTCGCCTCAAAAATAGCGACTTGAGCGTCTCCTCTATCACAATACATCTTGAAGCCGTCGAGCTATTACAAGGCCTGTTCGACAATGAGCGCAACGCAGCATCTCTTAAGCAAGGCAACTTGGCACCTCTGCAAGACTGGTTGGTAGGAGTGTCACCTGAGTTTGTATCATGCATCCAGCAGAGACGACCCGAGTCGCTTATCATTCTCGCCTTCTACGGTGTTATGCTCCATCGTGCCTCTGATTACTGGTTCGTGGGAGATCTGGGGAAACGACTCATCCATCTCATAAATGGCCAGCTTGGTCCAGCCTGGGAGGATTGGCTCGCATGGCCAAATGGAATGGTGGAATATAACAAGGAGGCCGGAGAGTACGCTTAGGCCTCTTCCTAAGTTCAATGTTTCATAATTATCATAACATTCCCCTCGAACCCAGCCGGAGAATCCGAGGGAGGGAGCTCGCGCCCAGGCGGATGCGATTGGCCACCAGCTAGCGCTGATGACAGTCCCACATGAGATCTGCGACTGAGAATATGATGATGTATTAGCGGTAACATGAAGTATATTAGTTCCTTCAAGTCTCTTTCCCTGGAAACTCAAAATTCTTTTCTACTCTATAAAATACGGCTATTTACCCTCATTTTCAAACGGATTGTACTAGGGAAAATCGAATCCTACACCTACAGCCAGCACTTCAACAGTTAAGCCGTTACACTTGAGAAAGAAGACCGAGTATCGAGACAATCATGGCTACTGCCATAACTATATCATTAAGCTCCCTGGGACTAATAGTACTAGCTCGTTGGGGATGCTGCCTCGCCGCAAACACGGCATTTTTCTTTCGACGTTCTGGAGTGCGTCGATATCTGGAAGTCAAGCCCAACCCCGGTGCCGGCGCCAAGGAATCGTGGGCGCTCATCACAGGCTCAGGAGCTGGTCTCGGCCGCGCTCTCGCCTTTGAACTCGCCGGCTGGGGCTTCAATATAGTTCTGCACGGTTCCAACGCAGCCAAACTCGAAGCTGTAAAGGCGGAGCTGCGAGCAGCTCACCCCTCCCGCTCCGTCCGGACATTGGTCCTCGATGCCCGGATAGGCGGGCAGCTCCACGGGGCCGATCTGGAGGCAAAGCTGAACGCAGCTGTCAAGAGCTTGGATGATATTCATATCCGCATCCTGATTAACAACGTGGGGATGCCTCAAGCCCGACCCGAGGTTCGACCGCCGTTTGACGCATTAGATACGTTCACCTATGACGAGCTATTGATCAATGTGGCGGGGAACGCAGTCTTTCCGATGCTCCTCACGCGTGCATTATACCCGCAATTGATCAGAAACCAGCCGGCGCTCGTCATCAACATGGGTTCCTTGGCGGCCGAGGGGTTCCCCTTGTTCCCGTCGTATGGGCCGTCCAAGGCATTCCTGATGGCTTCCACGGCCGAGCTGAGGCTGGAAAACAGGATAGAGGACCGAGACATCGAGGTTCTGGGAATCGATGTAGTAGGAGTAACAGGCACAGACACGATCAAGGACGACCCGAACTTGATGCTTCCCGACGCGCCAACGTATGCCAAGTATGTCGTGAGAAGTATCGGGTGTGGACATGCACGTGTAACACCCTATCTCCCGCACGCGATCTTCCTCTGGGTCATTCGGACGCTTCCGTCGTGGATTAGCGATACAGTCAAGGCGAATATGCTCAAGGGATTGAGAGTGGAAGCTGTTGCCAAATTGAAGACTGCAAACTCCTCTCAATAACTGCTAGGATATAGGAACACAGGTTAGAAGATAGAGGGGAAACTTTGTTTACAAATAAGAATGTAGATATTTTCATAATTTATCGTCAAACATGTACACGCAGCTACTGGTCGTTTATGGAGCCATCAGCGGCTAGATGCAAAGTATCGCTACTCAATGCTAGAGATAGTTCAAATCCCCAAGAGTCTCGCAGCCTTTTCCAGTGTATCGAGCTATCGCAGAAATAGAGTCCCTATTACAGTTCGCTTTTCTGCTTTCGCTCGTCCGCTGCCTTCTTCAGCTGCGCCAGGTACTCATTCTGCTTCGTTCTCCTTTCCTCCGCTCGGTCAGACTCTGCAAACATTTCATCCAGCTCTGCTTTGGATTCCTCCGCAGATTGGGGCTCTTCTCCCGGCGCCACCCAGCTGTACGGGATATTCTCCGTTATCAGAGACCTGAAGATGGGCTTCCACTGTTGGTCTCCGGCCAGCTTCCCCGCGGGGATGCTGCGGCCAGCTTGAACGCGGCCGTCTGGGAATGCACTGTCCCAGGCATTTCGGATTCCGGTATCTGACTTGGACATGGGGACCCAAGCCATCGGAGTAGGCGGGTGGATTTTCAGATAGGATACCTTGCGGTCGCGGTCTCGTCGCCACTTCTTGTATCTCTTTGTTGCATCAGCCTCCTGCTCGGGAGTGAGGACGAGCTTGAAACCAGCACCTCCCGGCTCAGCTTTGTTACCAGTCTCAGCCTCGCCAAATGGGTGTGTTGCGATCAAGGGCGCCAAGAAGGTGGTATCACTAGCATCTTCCCATCGTTCAGGCTTTCCAGGTGCACGTTCAAGATCACTCCAGTGGCGATGGAGGGCCTTTACTCGGCTGTGGATGGAGAATGGCTCGTCAGCAATTGGTTTGCTAGGGGATTCTCGGTTTGCGGCCGCGAGAATGGTTTGGCGAATGTCCGTCTCCTCCCAGACCCTCCAGCACATATCCGTCCGAGTTTCCAAGCTACGGATCATGTCTGAGAATAACTGATAGTCATCCTCGGACAGCGTAGTTGGAGTCAGCTGGCGCAAGACCTGCGTGATGTATACCACTGTTGAGAGTGTTAGCATGAGGGGAGACAAGTGAGCTGCCAACTGAAAACTTACCCTCTCTGAGAACTGGATCCTGTTCGGGAAGGAAATCCCGCCATGGATTAATCTTGGCCAGATTGGCCTTGGTGACTTCGGGGCTGGGCGTATCGCGCATATATGCAAGCTCCTCGCTAACAGCCGTGCCAGCGGCATTGAGCATGCTCAACAGAGAGGAAATAATAACACCCCAGAAAACATATCTGAAGATTCGACCTTCCGTGAAAGAGACTATCATGTTAGTTCCGGTCTTGTCTTTGTCATCAACGTCTCCCAGTTCCTTGCGTTCCTTGTCATACTGACGCTGTGCTTTCTCGTGTTCTTCCAGGGTGAAGTATTCGAGCAGAGAATACAGCATGTCCAGGGCTAGGTCAAATGCAAACCAGTCCAACATGAACTTGTTCAGCATTTGGACTTCCGGAGACTGCAGGGCCTCTCCCAAAGGCCCGTACATGTCAGGCTCTAGACCCATCTCAAACATGACGCGATCCAAGGGGTCCATGAAGTATTTCCCAAAGAATTTCTCTACACCCCATAGCAAAGCCTGCAGGACAAAGAGTATCTGCCGAAGACTGGTTATCGTCCGGTAGGTGGTGCTCTCTAGGACCCGGCCAATGAGCCCATCATCCTCGAGGGATTTGCGCACGGCGCGGAAAATCCAAACAACCATGACGGCGGTACCGTACAGCGGATGCAGGAAATATATCGGCGAAGGTAGTTGCTGATGCAGAACGGCTGCAAAAGTCCCTACCTTAGCTCTGGGGGAAGAGACGCTTAAAAAGGGGCTTCTCAGCGTGAACGAGCGTGAATCGAGGCTTGTTGCCTAATTTTTCTTTCTCAGTGGGCCATTTTAGGCTCTCTAGCTTTCTTATTGGCTGATAAACGACCGGCACCAAAGACGATTAGACGCCAAGAAATTCACATACGAAGGATTCAACCATCAAACAGCCAGACTTCATTCAATAAGTATCAAGGGTATTTGGCCACCTCAATGGCTAAGTTGGTTGAGGCTTTATCATCAATACTGTAAATTGGTTGGGATACTTAAGGTACAGAAAGCTTCCAGTAAATATCTTGCCCAAGTAACTACCGGTATCCCGGTGGACGATTACTAAAAGAAAGCTAGTTTAGCTAGGTACCCATGTTAGAATCACTGATTACGGTAGCAGACAGCGAGGCCATAGACCATTCATCATATAGCTTGCCAACGACGAGATGGGTCAAGGAAAGCTGTCAAGACCCTTCATACAAGAACAGTTATGCTCTCAGCATACTTAGATGGTATGATCGAGACCTCCAGCTAACTAAGTTGGCTACGAAACATGTCACGACTAAGAAGAAGAAAAAGTATTTAGATATGTTTTTGTCCCACTCATGGTGCTTTGTAACCCCGGCGCTGCACTTGTATTCATCTAAGATTATCGTTTGTTTGTTTCAGCCAAGCTCTTAAGGCTAATTTAATAAACTTATTCTTCATTTCAAAGCTAAATTAATCATATACTATGCATTTTAGATATCTTTATTGGCGTCGCAAGATAATGTGATAGAATGTACCTAGGGTAGGTGACTTGCGGGCAAGAGGGTAGGTGTGGGTTAGAATAACAGAGACTGTAAATATATTTTTCTAATGCGGGTGATCAATAATCTTATCAAGGATCAGTTAATATTATTATTAAAAGGACTAGTCATTACAACGAAATAAAACGTTTTGTTAAGTAACTGCCACAATACTTCTATCCAGGCGACTTTGCAGTCCCTGTTTCAATGATGGCCACTTACGGGCCAACAACCTACCATAGTAAAGCAAAGAGGATTTGCACAGAGACTTTTGAATCAGAATTCAATTCAATTACTCGCCCCATACTGCGGTTCAAATCAAGTTGTCAGACCGCCAGGGCGGCTTGAAAAGTCCCCAGTTAACTAGAAGGGAAAACAAATTTACATTCTCAAGTACTGTACCCCTTGGCTCGGCCAGAAAAAGAAGACGAAACAAACCCTCCGGCTCATTGATGTTTTCTATCATCCCTTTCCCCCCTGTCACCGAGCTGAAAAGGAGCTTGAACCACACACAAGTGGTTCCCTTGAATCTAGTTGCATAACACAACATCAAGATTCACTCACGCATCATAAGCGACCAAGCGTTGGTTCGGGAATTCTTGCAGAGTTAGTTGATGGGTGGGTGTTTTCTCCGATTTTCGCCCGGAGCATGAACAATACTACATTGGACTGGACCTTTCCCCTCCCCGTTGTGACTTCGGGTAGCAGGATATTAGGATACAGGCCTACTTCATGTGGGCATGGTGCAGGAGATCAACTTGGTGAGCTCTCCAACTGGTCCCGTCCTACAGCAGAGACCCCATGAAGACCCGGAGAATTTTCACTCAAAAACTCCGTTTAGGAAACAACCGCCCGGCCTTGATTTGGTAGCCAAGTATTTGGGAGGAAGCGTCCAGTCCATTAGGTCACCAACCACATATTGTCACATTAAATTAAGCTGGTCCGATTGGTCTAGGCTGATTCATAAGCGGAACGGCATGGGCAGAGCTGTGGTTGAAGGGAAGCGGCATGACTGGTCAGTTGCGGGGAAAAGACGGCGCGCTATCTGCATCGGGTGTTCGTGATGTGTGTGAGGGGCAAGGACAACGGAGAGAGCTGTCCTGTTAGAACGTAAGAGGGAATAAAAACCCGACAGTTTCACCCTAGGCATTCATTGGTCTGGCAAGCTGGGGTAAAGGCTTCAGAGTTCTCCGCGTTTCCCCAGCATATCGTGCATAATTTCCCCACATCCACTCAAGAATCCACTGCAAGGCGGGCAACCAGCCAGTAAAATGCTTTGCGAGTCATTCATGTAAGCCAGGATATGACTAGATAGTGGCACGGTGCGTGGGGAGCTTTCAATATGGTTTGTCTCAAATATTTATAAAATGCTTGATTCCCCCGAGTGATTTTCTTCGCATATCTTCATACGAGAGACATAGCATCGACGTTCCATTGACACTTGTGTTTGCCCTGTTTCCCCATCCGCTCGCAATCTTTCTTCTTTTGTTCACTATGGCTTCGCAAGACCTTGCTAAGAAGCATCAAGTCGAGCACACAGAGGATGCCAATAAAAACAGCCTCGATGTCGGGAGCCAGATCGAAAAGAAGTTGCAAGATGAGATGCCCGATTTTGACGACTCCATCGAGGAGACAGCGCCATCCAAAGCTGTATGGCTCATCACCTTCACGGTCGCCATGGGTGGCTTCCTTTTCGGTATGATCCTTCCATTTATTCCTCGTGACGACCTGGTGCTAAACAGTTGTTCGTCTTAAGGCTACGAAACGGGTGTCATTTCAGCCGTCCTTGTCACCCTCGGCGACGATCTCGGCCATCCTTTAACCACGTCCGAGTCTGAACTCATAACATCTCTTACGTCAGGAGGTGCCCTCGTTGGTGCTGTTATTGCAGGCTTAATGGCCGACAAGTTTGGTCGAAAGGCTGGTATCTACGTCGGTTGCGCTCTGTTCCTCGTTGGTTCCGTGATCTGGGCATCCGCCTTCAGCATTGCACAAATGTCGGTTGCTCGTTTCACGGTAGGCTTGGGAGTGGGCTCTGCTGCAATGATTATCGTGAGTTTATGCGTTACGGGTAGCTTGAGTTCGGAATCAAGGACTAACTTGACCAAGCCTCTATACATCGGTGAACTTGCCCCAGCAAAGCATCGCGGCCGAATGATTGCCTTCGATAACATGAGCGTCACACTTGGACAACTGGTCTCCTACGCTCTTGGCGCTGCCTTTACAAACGTGCCCAATGGCTGGCGTTACATGGTTGCCGTTGGCGGCGTGCCGCCGATTATTCTCGCCATTCTTCTTCCCTGGTGCCCCGAGTCCCCGCGACAGCTATTCTCTCATGGCAAGATCGAGGAGGGAACAAAGGTTATTGCTAGGGTTTACCCCAACGCAACAGAAGCTCAAGTCAAAGCCAAGGTTGATCGCATTCTGTGGAATATCGAGGCTGAGGCTGAGATTGTGGCGAACAAATCACTGCTGTGGCAATTCAAGCAGTTGCATTGTGTTCCCTCTAATCTTCGCGCTCTTATCTGTGCCTGTGCAGTTATGGCTAGTAAGTATAACTGACATATTTCAAGTGGGCTTTTTCTAACGCTGGAAATAGTTTCTCAACTCGGCGGGTTCAATACCTTGATGTATTATTCCGGGACACTCTTCTCCCTTGTCGGATTTGACAAGCCGACAGCGGTTTCTATCGTTGTTGGCGGAACCAACTTTGTCTTCACGATTCTAAACATGTTCATCATCGACAAGGTCGGCCGACGTAGAATCCTCCTTGTCACAGTTCTAGGAATGGTGAGTCTGCTCTCTATAATCCATGATTGCCTAAATTCTGACAATAAATAGGCAATTAGCATGATCGTTGCTGCGGTTGCTTTCCACTGGATTCCCATCTCTCGCGACCTCGTCCTTGAGAGCGCCTCCGTTAATTGGGCTGGTATTTTGGTGTTGGTCACCATCATATTTTATGTCGCCTTCTTTGCCTCTGGTGTTGCAACCATTGGTTGGGTCGGAACTGAATTATTGCCTCTTGAGGTTCGAGCTCTGGGAACCATGATGAACACCGTCACTTGCTGGGGATGCAACATCATTATCGCCTCTACCTTCTTGTCAATGATGAAGGGCATGACTCCTAGCGGTGCCTTCGGCTTCTATGCTGGGATCTGTTTCTTTGGCTGGATTTTTGTCATCATTTGCTATCCTGAAGTGAAGGGTCTACCTCTTGAGGAAGTCAGTCAAGTATTTGAGCATGGATTTGGCGTCCGACGAGCAGCCCAGATCCAAAAGGCCAGGAAGTTGACACAGACAGCTGCCTGATTAGGGCAAAGTAGTCCATTTAGCCACAGGAAGAGGAACCGGTAGCGGCAATCCAATCTGACTTGCCTCCTAGAAGAAGCTATGTTGTCAATTTTAGCAATAGGAAGATTCATCATGTGACTGGCTACCAGAGTAATATTTCCAGGTGACTTTGCAGTCCTTGTTGTTTTGGACCAACTGACTAAGACTAGGATACTCTCTCATTCTCGAGAGGTTAATCCTCATGCAAATTATACTCGCTTGCAGACTCATGACGAGCTATCGGATAGTGTTCCCAACCGCCAGCTCTCTCGGCAACATGTTTTGCAAGCGCGTACGCCGCTCTTGAATCGCTCTCTTCTTCACTTTCTATCTTCCAAACACAGTCCCAAGGGCTCTGAGGAGACGTGTATCTGGGGTGATTCTCAAAGTAAGTCAACTGATCCATGCAGCTTAGCTCCAGATCCGGGTAGCCTTCACGTAGACTGTTGAATATATCCTCCCAATTCCCTCCGTCGACACGAAGCTTCACATCGCCGAGTGAGATTCTGCGAAGATGGGGAGTTGCGTCCGCCGCTGAAGGTGATGGTTGTAGTAACGCTTCGAGGGACGAAACGCTTAACCATACTCTTTCCAGAGAGAGCACACGCAAACCTCGAGAGTCTGGAGCCTTTTTCCAATGGAATCTGTCAAGATCTAGAAAATTCGTCCCCACTATATGGAGGGATAGAAGATTCGGGCAAGACCCCGCAAACTCCCAAAGTTCATCCTGATGCTCCTGGTTGCTGCATTCCCTCTGCATGTTGCTGTACGGAACTGAATTGTAAATGTGCACATCCCCATCTAGTTCACGGTAGTCGCCTGGACTGTCGAAAAACAGATGCTCACGGTCGCCTGAAATCCCAGAGGCATCCATGATGCAAATCTCGAGATGTAGGATCTGGTTGCGCGCGTCTTGTCCTAGGCCTTCACAGATTTGGCCTACATTATGGGTGCATGGGAGATGAAGTCTTAAATCAGTAAGTTGACTGCACATCGGTGACGAGAGGGCTTTCTTGAAGAACGATAATGAAGCATTGACAACTTCCATGTCATAGAAGTCCGCTGACCCATTCCAACCATTATCAAACGTGGCGCCAGATTGGGGAAAGATGAGCGTAAATGACTCAATTTGGGGAAGATTATTCCAGATGGTTTCCAGAAGGTCTATATCTTGGGAGCCCACGAAAGGCTTTTCGGGGGGAGCATCAGGCATTGCGGCAAAATTGTGCGAGTTGCCGTTGAGAGGTTCGTCTTTGTAGTCCTCCACCTCCTCCACATCGTGGTCGGCGCCTTGGGCATAAGTATAGCGCCTGGTGAAGGCTAACGCCGCTTCAATGCAAGGGATGACCAGTTTCTTGGCGGGGAAAGACGGGCGCATAACCTTTGCGAGTCTTTCCATGGTCTGGCGTGAACCAACGTCAATTCTCAGTGTAGACCATTTCTGGAGGAAGGGATCGACAGTAGCAAGCCATTCCCGCGAGACTAAGCGGAGCTTGCATAACATTCTGAGATCCGCTTCGTCCCGGTAGAACTTTGTGGTAACTGTTCGAAACCGCCCAACATCCGCGCGATCTTTAAACGGCCCTCTCATGTGGTCTTTAATCGGCCGAGGCGGCCGGAGCGGCATGAAGTCGTCCCAGTCTACTCCATAACGCTGGAATGATACTCCTCCTGGAAAACCTTCATTGTCTGTATACACGAAGTGCGATACAATCTCGTATCTGATCTCCGCGGGAAGCATGTTGCCAGAATAAGCTGCAGTTTGGACCTAGCAAGTCGCTCGCTCGGGGAGAGAAAACAATTTTGGCGTAAGCAGAGATGAAACCAGGGCACGAGTCTCCATTTATAGTTTTGGACCTCTGGCTGGTGGTTTAGGCCCCCAATCAGCTTTCAGCCCTGCCTAATCTTGGCAAAACGCGCTGTTAATCTTTTCTTTCCTTTTTCGGACAAGGATGCAAAACCTTGCTTCTTTGAACATCATATAAATTCGAAAGTATAGGAAAACCCTTTGGGTGAGCATGGTGCCTCAACTTTAATATTAGGAAGCTCAAATTATGGTGATGACAAATCAGGATGTAACATGACATTGTACATCCATTTGATGGCTTCGGAGCGGGATTGCCAGGTAGGCATCGACGTATCAAAAGGTAATTTCTGGTGGCAATGGCTTTTATAGACGCCCCTGCGGTAAAACGCTATCGCTATTGCATGAATGTATTTCGAATCGAAAAAAGTGAAAGGCCTCAAATCTGTTAGTTGTCAAATAGGTTGCTCTAGCCTATACGGGAAGTTGATTAAACGAGCCGTGGGTAGATCTTCTCAACAATTAGACATCGATCATACTTCGTAATACTGGTGTAGAACTCTCGACTGCTAAATGAGAATATAAAGAAGGTTAATTCAAGTAGCAAAGTTCACTTTAAGGTGAATTGGAGGAACGACTCCAATCCTGGTTGATGGAAGAAACAAGCAGGGAGCACTAGCCGTTTGAACTCTCTCTTCGCCCACACTTAACCGACCAATCTGTCAAGTAAAGTTCCTGGAATTCCTTCTCCAAGCCGTTGAGCGAACTCACTTGAGCCCTTGAGGAAACATACCTGTAAGCCGGTATCCACCTTGCTTCCACTTTCAAAGGTTTGGCTCACCTCGACAGCCCATCCATCGGCCTTGACTTCCTCCAGAGGGACGGCAAGGTTTCTGAAGAGCTCTAAACATATGATCCAAACGTAATCGTCGCTCTTTTATCAGAAAACGAATGCTGAGGACGGGGCACTTTCCTGGTTTAGTCTAGTTAGATATGGCGAAAAGTGGAACGATGACCTCTCGGTGATTTGATGTTAATTCTCTCATCGAAACCGGCTGTTTGCCATCTTCCCCTTATTCCAATTCCATTGAGACGTTGACCGGACATCTTTCCCCTTTACACATATCCGTCCCCTCTCCGTCTTCTCCGGCTCGTTCTTCTCCCTCCTTACCCCGCTACCCCGGATATTTTCTTTCCCGCTTGCTACGACAACCCCCGTACGCTAGAGGTAGTCTGCGGGTAATGATAGCAATACCTTGTGTCTGTTGCATTGAACCCACAGGCTGTGAGGTAGTATTCCACTTCCCCTAGTCTGGATTCGGACCTTGTTCGGCTTGGAACGGTCATCATATCACTCATTTATCCAAAGTATACCCGAACCGAAAGACATGGAGACTGATTATCCCCTGACTGCTCGGGGTATATATTCGATGCTTGAGGATGGCTTGTCTACTTTCTTGTCTAATCCCTTCATATACTTCTCTACAACTGTCGTTGATCTAGTCATGGCCTCGTTTTCAACGATGAAGAAGAGTCTTTTTAACATTTGGCCCAGCCTGCTGCTTGTTCCAATTATTTCTGCAGACGCTTCGTTCCAGCCTGCCATTCCTTGCCAAGATCTAGCACGCAGCCTTCACTTGAATAATGCGACTATATATTTTGCAGAGCTAGTATCATCCGGCTCAAATGTCACTTTCCCAGACCAAGACGAGACTTGTACAACCACGTCGGTGGTGACTACCTCAGACATTTGCCGGCTGTCGTTCTCTATTGCAACAAGCACAATCAGCTCTGTCAGCCTGGAGGCATGGCTTCCTCTCAACTGGACAGGCCGTTTCTTGGCCACGGGCAACGGGGGGCTCAATGGTTGCATCAAGTATCAAGATTTGGCATACGGGACTTCTCAAGGTTTCGCTACCATTGGAACAAATAATGGCCACAACGGGACATCAGGCGAACCACTCTACAACAACCCCGGATCGATCGAGGACTACGTATACCGATCTATTTACCTTGAGGCAACTGTCGGGAAACAGATTGTTAATACTTTCTATGACAGACCTCACTCTAAGTCGTACTATCTGGGATGTTCGACTGGCGGCAGACAAGGGTTCAAGGCGGCTCAGGACTTTCCGGAGCAGTTTGACGGTATTCTTGCTGGCGCACCGGCCTTTTCCATGACATCTCTGTTTTATGCGAGCGCCCAGCCCTACCTTTATACCGGAAAACCGGGAGCTCCAACATTCTTGACAGAGGATGAGTGGCGCCTTGTAGGGGAGGACATGATTAAGCAGTGCGACAAACTTGACGGTGTGCTGGATGGAATTCTGGAAGACCCTGAGCTCTGCCAATATCGGCCCGAGTCTTTGATATGTGCAAAGAATCAGACCACTGGTTGCCTAACTGGGGCGCAGGTAGAGACTGTGCGCTCTGTTTTCTCACCGACATACGGGCCAGATGGCAAGTTCATTTATCCGCGGATTCAGCCTGCAAAGGACATGCCGTACGCTTACTACCTTTCCGGTGAGCCTTTCGCCTACAGCACCGACTGGTATCGCTACGTTGTGTACAAGGACCCTTCTTGGGATCCAGCGACTCTGAGTCCCGCAGATTGGCCGCCGCTCTTGGAGACCGACACACACAATGTGGCGACTTGGAAGGGGGATCTGTCGCACGCGCGAGATGCCGGAACCAAGATCCTTCACTACCATGGCCTCGAGGACACGGTCATTACCAGCGAGAATTCGGCACGCTACTACAACCATGTGTCGCGCACGATGGAGCTGACGTCGGCCGAGTTGGATGAGTTCTATCGGTACTTCCGCATTTCCGGGATGAACCACTGCCGAGGGGGAAACGGGGCGTCTATAATCGGCTCCAGTGGGGATAATCTTGATGAATATAAGCCTGACAGCAATGCGCTGGCAGCTCTGGTCCGCTGGGTGGAGGATGGTGTTGCCCCTGATTCGCTTCTGGGAAAGAAAAAGGAAGCCAGCTCATCCCAAGTAGTGATGTCTCGAAGGCACTGCAAGTATCCTAAACGAAATACCTACAAGGGTTTTGGGGACGTCAACTCGGCGGATAGTTGGCAATGCTTGTAAATACGCAGACAATGAGTATCGACGCTGCATGAACATGAACAGCTGGCAAGCCTAATAATTGTCTACGCCCACCATGACAGAAAATTGGAATTGTTGCTTTTGTCCTTCCGTAATAATGCAGCGTGTACTTTGACGAGAGAGGTTCAGTCAACTAACTCTTCTCTGGGCTGGAAAATGACATTTCTTTGTTCTACATTGGTCTAAGTTTGTGCTAAAAAAAGTAGTTGAGAATCACGTTCACGATCATTACTCGAATCTACATACACGGTGGACGTTATAAAATAGTTATGATGAAAGGATCTAAGGGTACATATTTTATATACCAGAGCAACCTATCTTAATTGAACTCAAGTGTTTCGTTAGCAAATTGATATGCCAACTTTTCACCTGGAGTGGATGCCAAGTTGGGGTCAAATGGGCCGCAACCCATCGCACGTTTTCCTTCTGGAGACAGGTCCGCGACTGAGCCGGCATCTATATGCTCCGACTCTCCAATACCTCCCGGAAAGTCGGGTGGTGGCCGCAAGTTTAAAAAGTTTTCCCTTTGACGTTTCAGATAGGTGGCGTTGACATTGCATAAGGGGAACGAGGGGATATAGAAGACGCTGGCATCTTCCGTGCCTTGATGCTCGGCCTCAACCATGTGCGCAGTGTCGCAATGCCAAAATACAGCATCACCCGGACGTACGGTCGGGATAGTTACGAAGCCTCGTGGGCTGATATGGGAATGGAGGCTTGGAAGAAGCTCTTGGCCGGCACCCATAGCAGCCCCATGGAAAATGGGAGACTTGTTGTCCAGAGACCATCGGTCACCAGTCTCTGTCACAAAGGGCCGCAGAAGTGTATAGGCTGTTGAGGCTTTGAGGTCAGGGAAAACCCGAAGAGATCCATTTGTTGGGGCACAGTTCGAGAGTGAAAGCCAACCCTACGAGGTCAGTTAAACCTGCCACCAAGAGTAATATCTCGGTGTGATTCTTACCTGATACGACCTGAACGCAGAACAACCCCCGGGTCCGTTGTACATATCAACAGTGGCATTGAGCCTGGGGCTAACATTGAAAGCATTGTGATCCTCCCAATGGCCTTCTAAGATTTCCGTATAGCATTTGCGGTATTCTTGATCTTCCCATCGCTCTAACGATCCTCCATCGAGATGAGGACCCAGGTTGAAAGACTTGTCTCCGGGCTGGTGTCATAGGAGTCAGCACAGGTATGAATCAATACAGTGTGTTTAACAAACCATCCTCATCCTTAAGCGATCACAGTAGGCTACGGCTTCAGACAACACCACCTTGTCATGGTCCTGCTTATCCCAAACAAGGTTCAGTGCTGTCTGTGCTAAAAGCATGTTCTGATGTGCCCGGGCCTCAAGTTGGGCCTTGCTCCAATAGATCTCGTATACCTGGCGATCATTGGCCGGGAAACCTTTGGTTGAAGGGTTCTTCTTGATGTACTCGCGAACAGACTGCTTCCATTCGAGTGCCTGTCTCTCCGACACTAACCCTCGAATCACAATCGTGCCGCGGTCTTTGAGCAGGGCTTTTGATTTTTCGGGAAGTCGACCGCCATTTTCGACAATTGAGCTGAAGTCGACCTCTGGAATGATTGAATGGCTGAGCTCATTGACGCTGGGGATTGTCTCCTCGTCCAGGTGCTTGAGAAGACGCAGCCAGCTATCAAGTATTGCCTCCCCATTCTGGCCTACCAGCTGCTGCTTCAAGCTGCCGAAGCGAGGGGGGAGCTCGAAGTTATTCGTGGACAGAGAAGCGAATGCATCTCCAATAGAGCCCTCGGACCTGTTCCCAAGTGCCATAGAGGCCAGGCCTCGCACGCTACTGTGTGCATATCGAATGGCTGGGCATCCTAGTGTCCTTATTGCAGGTCTGACGCAGGCCATATTGTAATGCTTGAGTTTAGTAAAAGTACATGATGCTTTGATCAGGAAAAATTCGACAATGATCCGATGTCAAACGGCTAGCCTGCATATATCAAGTGCTAGATAAAAGAATCAGCGGAAACGGAGCTACCCAAAATGGTGACGCCGTCAACCTCTCCACTTCTTCTTGCAAGGGTCGCGTTTATCAGATGTAACGTCACAGAAGCTGGCTTATGTTTGATTGTGTATGATTGGGTCTAAGATCTTGGACCAGCCGAGGGATAAGGGCGCTTGGGGGTTTCCATTGTTTTTGCGTGAAAGTGTGGATTTCCTCTATAAAACCTTCCCACCAGGGGTTAAAGCAACTCTTTCGGTAGGTGCGTAGATAAATTTTATTTCAATGGCCCTTTAAGAAGAAAGCCGGGAGTCTGTCCTCTTCGATTGTTGCAAACAAGAGTTCCCGAAAACCAACCATACCACTGGAGATGGCTTCTCGGCTTTTTCAGGCCTATAATAGCGCTCTTACTCGTAGGCCACTATTGACCCAGAGCGTCACTGCCGCTGTAAGTTGCTAGTTGACTCTCTCAAACGTACACTGTCCCCCCTAACCGTATGCTACAGTCTCTCTATGCCGTTGGCGATGTGATCGCTCAAGGCGTTTCTGCGAGTGCTCAAATTGAGAAATCAAAATGGGATTGGGAGAGAACCCTGCGAATGACAGCTATTGGAGGGTTTGCGCTAGGCCCGACCATGGCCGTATGGTATGTGATTTCTCTCTAGCTATATTTGTTGCAATCATGAATATTCACATCTCTCAAATTAGGTACCGACTGTTGCAAAGGAGAATCCAACTGTCCACCCACACACGTAGCGTGCTTGCTCGAGTTCTGGCCGACCAAGCCATCTTCGCCCCTGGGTCGATTGTAGGACTGTACTATCTGACGGAGCTTCTTCAGCCTTCCACGGGCACCATTCAAAAAAGATTGTCAGCGGCTCAGCAAAGTGTTGAGAATTCTTTCACCCAGGTGTTACTCAAAAATTACACTCTGTGGCCTGGTAAGTACATCAAAACAACACGTCTAAACTAGCATGGTCCCTGACTTGATCCTTTACAGCGGTGTCCTACCTGAACTTTTTTTACGTTCCTCTTCAGTATCGATTACTTGTTTCCAACACCGTCGCTATATTTTGGAGTGCCTACCTTTCATTTACAGTGAACCGGGTTGAGTCGGGTGAGGAGGGCTTCCAACAGCCGTAAAATTATTCAAGTCACTTGAAGCATAGATCAGTTCCCTGAGTGGCAGACGCCAAGAGGGGCGGTGAGAGGGCGGAATGTCCGTTTTACTATCCCCGCACAATGGTAGGACCGACCCCCCTAGAGGACAGTATCAGCGAGGGGTGAGATTGGTAGATCCGAAACCTAAACCTTGTCGATTGAATTCTACCGTGATCTCCGAATGTATAAGTGACTCAGGGCTTTGTTGGATAGGTCATAATTCATTGTCCGCCTGGTATTCCAAAATGATATTAGTCGTTTTTCTGCCATAACCATGGAGACTACGATCAAGACTCGTTGTTTCAGAATTTACGAATTGAAAGCGCCATATTCGGGACTATTCTGGCTGTTAATTGGCGGTTTTTCAAGTAAACTACCTCTTATAGTAGCTTAAACTTCTTGAAATTGTATAAGAAGCTTGTCTTGCCTCCAAGGTTGGGGTAAAAATATATATCGGCCTGATTCTTAACTCACGCTGGACCCTATCGGTCCCTCTCATTTTCCGATTCCATATTGCTGAGGGGTATTTCATAAGTTGTCGCCATCGATTCGACAAAGAAACCCTTTATGAGGACAAGTAGAAGTCCTAGAGGCAGACTAAGTTCATGCTGAACCCGAGTCCTCTTCGTAGAGGGACGTCCTTTTTATCCCGCAGAGCGCCGCAGAGCGGGTAGCCTCTCAAGGTATAGTCATCTCCATTCCACTGTACGACGTCAGCACTTATAATAGCCATCTGTTGATACCTTGAACACTTACTTGTGTAGTATATTGTGTCATGTAGTTTTGGTATGGCGTAGTATTAACATTCTCATCTTACTATACCTTCCATCGGGTCCATTCGACAGCGCATGCTCCGGGTGAAGCATTAGGAGTAGGCTAACATTGAGCAACATGATATCTAGGATTAGAGAACTTGGCTGCTTCTGGAGCATCTGTGAAAACCTGATCAAATCTATCTTTGCAATAAATAAATTTCTTACTAGTCGCATCATATCGGAGAATGCCAAACATGGGCTTCGCGTTGGGGAAGTATAATTAGTATCATTACTTGGCTCGCGAACCATGATTGGGGATGACGGGTGCTATGCCCCCTGGGACTCTATCTGGGGATGGCATAGCATCGGTCCCCTTTGATCAGTGGGTTCTAAATACGGCCGAATGTGAGTATGCTATATGCTAGGTAGCTTCCTATATGTAGGTGTTCATCCGTTGTCATAATTGACTCAAGGCAATAATAGGGCTACGGTAAAACTCTTTGATTACGCTGAAAGGAGTCTCTCAAGTTGGCTCATCATTTATAATTTTCCAATCCGAGCTCTTCGGTCATATCCAAGCCACCTTGGTCCGTTCGCTTTGCATATCTCAGATAGGTGTATCAACACATCTTTTAATAGAGTCACATGATAAGTTTAAATGCATGCTATCAAGTTATCTTACAAAGGCTGTTCTCATAATGAACCGAGACGTATGGATGGCACCCCGCATTGGGCACACACCATTGGGCGTTGTCTACATGTAAGGCAGTGTGCCATCTATATTGCCTCTGTCCAATAAATTGGCGCATTTATTGGCATGGAGCACCTGAAATTCTTTCTGCACTCCAATCAGCTGCTGAGGAGGGCCACCGCAACTTGGGTGCGTCATTGGGCATTTTGTTGGGCTCACTCTCATGCACTGCCTTCAAGCCACAGGGGTCCCTGCGATGATCCGTGACATAAGCCAGTGATTTTCAGCCAAACGTGAATTGTCATCCAACAGCTTCCTCTCCCCGCACTTCGCAATAGGAGTCTGCCGTACTACTTTTCTTTACTCTAGGTTGCCGCAATGGCTTCCCTCGTCTCAACGTCTCTTAGTAGGGTTCGTACCACGCCCGATACTACTGGACGAGCGGTTGAAGAGGCCATTCAAACCTTCAAACACGCATTGAAAAGCAATGGTCTTAAAAGCGAACTTGAAGAATTTGAACAGGAGGACAGGATCCCCTCTGTAGATGCTGTTTTGACATTTACAGCCCAGCTGGATTCAGCGAACGCATTCAGACGGGGACGTAGCATTGCTACGCGACTGCATCCTGTTCTCGAGTCAGTTCGGCAGTATACCGCAATCGTTGATACCTTCGTCTCATCCGATCCCAAGATCCCCGCCCTCATTTGGGGCAGCATCAAGACCACTTTGAAGGTAGGTGCAATGGAACATGAAACCTACTACTGATGAAATATACTAAACCTATAGTTTGTATCGAACTATATTTCGTACTTCGAACCATTCACAGCGCTCTTTATCAAGATAAAAGCATACTGTCCAGTCTTTGACGAATATCGAGTCCTATATCCCACGTCCAAAGAACTCAAGAAAGCTCTTTGTGACTTCCACGCCTCGATTATTCGCTGCTGCACCCATATTGTGCAGGTAATCCAACAGTCGGGTATGTCCTAATTTAATCACATAGCCAAGAATGTTTCCGCTTACATTTGCCGAAGGTATTCAAAAGCTTTGGCAAGCTTTTCGGTCTTTTGAAGAAGAATTTGATGGCGACAAGCAGGAAATGCAGAGGCAAGGCGACGTCGTAAGGGTCCAGATAGACCTAGCGAAAGCTAAAGCAGATCATCAGTATCAACAGATGCAAGCAGAAGAACAGAAGCTTTTGAAACGGAAACTTGGAAAACTCGGCTCCAGTTCAAGGAATCAAAATGCCAGGCTTGATGAAATACGCCTGCAGCAAGCTAAGAGAGAATCTGGTGAGTTGCTTTGGTTCCCGATGTCTGGAATTCTTCCTTAACCAATGGTTCAGAGAGCGAAATACAAAACTTGCTCAAGGGATTATCATCATTCGACCATTTCGCTCCTTTTCGCGAGGCATGCAAACGGCGATGCCCGACGACGACCGAATGGCTATTTTCAACTTCTGAATTTATCCGATGGGAAGGTTCTTCCAATGTAATATGGGTTACTGGCAAAAGTAAGAGTTCAAAGCCTAATAAGAATGGATAATGGTATACTAAGAATGAATTTCTAGTTGGATCCGGGAAAACCATCACCAGGTTAGAACCCCCCATCACCTTTCTTTTCCCCATCATGTGCTAACTAACCCCCGGTTATAGTGCAAGCTCGATCCAGCATATACTAGCCAACAAATCCGAAAGAGATTTCGTCACTTACCATTTCTTTCAGTACGGAAATGCACGGTCACTCAAAGTAGGAACTATGATACGTTCGGTCATTAGGCAATCCCTTAAGCTCATCACGCTATCTCAAGATCTAATTGACGGATTGAAGAAGATGGAAACTGAAAAGTTTTCCTCTCAGAGTGATCTGATTGCCTTTCTTGGGCAAATCATTGGACTATCGGAACGGTTCTACATATTCCTAGATGGTGTAGATGAGTGTGAGTTTGCCCAACAACACATGCTTTTCGATACCCTTCTCTCTCTTGTGCATAGTCACAAATCGACAATCAGGATTTTCATCTCTGGTCGGGAAGCCTTAGCAGGTGAATTGAGCAAGAGGTTTCCTAGCCTAGAGCAGATATCGGTGACATCTGGTGAAGCGAAGTCTGATTTGGGGCTATACGTCGAAAGTATGATCCTGGACCGATGCGAGAAAGGAATATTGGCGACTGGAGACCAAGGTCTTCTCGAGGAGATCCAACAAGTACTGACTGAACATGCGGACGGAATGTAAGTAATAACTACTATTCCATGCAATATGACTATGCTGATTCATCCAAGGTTTCTCTGGGTAACATTTCTCCTGGACGACCTATGCGCACAGTATTGTGACGACGATATCCGGAAATGTCTCAAAACCTTACCCAAAAATCTCAAGGATACATTCAATCGTGTGCTCTCACGAATAGTAGCGCAAGATAGAGATGGCCTTGTCAAAAAAGTCATTCCTTGGCTAGCTGTGGCGGCAAGACCTCTCACTCTCGATGAGCTCTGCGACGCCCTCTCTATTGAAGTTGGTCAGAAACACGCGGAACGTGGGAGGAGGGTCAACGATAAGGAACGCATCCTCCTCTGGTGCGAAAATCTGGTCCATGTTGACGAGGAGGACGAATCTGTCCAGTTTGCACATCATACAATTTTTCAGTTCATCACGGAAGGCTGTTCAGATGCAAGATTTGCCGATTTTCACGTTCGCTTGGACGAGGCAGACCATCTGACAGGAGAAAGGTGCATGACATATCTTCACTATGGCGACTTTCAGCAAGCTGTGGCTCGACGAGAGCAGACTCGTCTTCTCCAGCCTAGGTCGATAGGACTTGTTGCCATTGGTAGTCATGGGAAGCGCTCAAAACTTGCCAGGCTCGTGATGGATCGGAACTCAGGCAATCAAACTAATGCTTGCAAGTACAACCTTAGCACACCTCAGAGTTATCAAAAGATCCGCACGGAGACACCTATGGTATCCTTGCAAGCCTCATACCCATTCTTAAAATACGCAGTAGAGAATTGGTTTTTTCATACCGCCCTGTTCGAGGAGGGAAGATCCTGCACGTGGAATCTACTGCAAGGGATGATCATCGAAGGTCACGATTTAGCAGTGGAACCTTGGATCGAAATCGATCTACCTCTGATAAAGTCTTCGGGCAATTCGCAACCAGTTCTACTGCAGATAGGAGTATGGGCCCTACGCCATCAACACTATGCGTTGGTCGCAATATGCTTGAAAAAATTAGTAACCTGGGTGCCACGGGAGACGTGGGCTGTCCGCGGCATAGTGGAATGGATAGCTATTCCTGCCTTCTCCGGGAATGCGAAAATGTTGAACATCGTGCTAGACATCTTGTTGGATGCCGCAACAGAATATAGAATTTTCCGGGAATTACCCCACCAGTTGCTGGGAGTAGCACCAAAAAGCGGCCGCGTGGAAGTGTTATCATCGCTCATCACTGCCATAGGGGATGTATACGCTGTTCGAGATCATGGCCGTGAAGCTCTCCAAACTGCCGCTGAAGAAGGCCATCTCGGTATTTTGGAGTATCTTGTCAATCTTCAAGTTGATATACATACTGCTGCCGGCGTCGACGGCCTCACAGCTCTCCAAGCTGCCTCACTTGGAGGCCACCTTGAGATTGTAAAATGTCTACTGGCTCGAAGGGCTGATATAAATGCCGCTCCCAGTCCACACGGCCTTACATCTCTCCAGGCTGCCTCACTTGGAGGCCACCTTGAGATTGTAAAGTTTTTAGTGGCTCGAAAGGCTGATATAAATGCCGCTCCCACTTCATATGGCTCTACAGCTCTCCAGGCTGCCTCCCTGGGGGGGCATCTTGAGATTGTAAGGTTTTTAGTAGCTCGAAAGGCTAATATAAATGCCGCTCCCAGTCCACACGGCCTCACCGCTCTCCAAGCTGCCTCACTTGGAGGCCACCTTGAGATTGTAAAATTTCTACTGGCTCGAAGGGCTAGTATAAATACTGCTCTGAGTCTACACGGCCTAACAGCTCTCCAGGCTGCCTCCCTAGGGGGGTACCTTGAGATTGTAAAGTTATTAGTTAGTCAAAAAGCCGATGTTGCGTATCGTAGCCTGAATAGTGGGAAAACAGCTCTAGATTATGCTCACGACGGAGGTCATTTTCGAGTAGTTGAACTTTTGGCTATCTATAGCTGTTAATATATCTTATCGGCTTATTAATTAATTAATAAGCTGCTAATCTACTAAGATAAACCTTCCTTTAGATTATATAACTAATAGCTTTTTCCCTTAGATATTAATTAATTATTTACTTTATCTTACTTACTTTACTTCTATCTAATATAGCTATATTCTACTGTCAACCCATAATAACACACCGGTGGTCTCCACTTTGTTTGATGCCATGGAACTTTGCATTGGCGGTGAGTACAGCAAAACCCCAGTCGATGCTGTGGACATGTGAGGAGTAAACCAACGACGATGTCTGGAGGGCTATAAGTCCAGCTGTCCTGGAAGAGCACGCGTCAACTTTGTGCAAATGAGGAGGCCATTTGCCAAAATGTGTATTGATGGAATGGGCTGTATCGAGTAGCGGGCGAGGAATATAACATTTTCTTTGCTCACAAAAGAGTTTCCAAATAAATCAGGTGCATAATATATCACCATATACATTATAAACCAGACGGGCCATCGATTGTTAAGGTTAATATCCTCCATGGATTCCCTTATCTATCTTGCAATTACGCTCGTCAAATCTCTTATCCCATAGGTCTCGGCTACCAAGTTATCGCCACGGATATGCCAGGATATTGTAGTCCAAGTACCCCATCGAACATCAAAACACTGTATCTGAAAAGCATAACGAGTGATCTCGTCCAGGTTGATTACCAACGTGCCTATATATCACCTACTACGTATTCAAGCCCGAGGTTTCAGTCAGAGCGTCCGATAATAATAGCCGGATTCGTTCGGCATTGACAATTCAGTGAGGGAAACAGTCATAGAAGAGCTAAAACCCAAACAAAAGTTGACACTGGTTATAAAAAGCCTTCTTGCTATTACTGATATTGATGCTGAGTTGCTCGCAACCATAGTCTCGACACGGCTGCTTGGCTAAAGATTGACAAAGTTTCGGACCACATGTCTAAAGATACGTGAGAGAGAGTGAGTATAAAGTTCAACAGCAATGGAAGATGCCAGAGCTCGACATTTCAACACAATGACATGTCTGAAGATCGCAGGACAACTACGCTGACTCAGCTGCTAACGAAACTCCAAGACACTCCCCAAGGCAGCAACTCGAGCAATGAAGTTTCTTAGGAAATTAGAGGCGTTCTGGGTCTTTAGATAGGTCACTTCGTGGCCACCACGGACACGGTGATTCTCCGGTTAGGTTTGGGACGAGCCATGGGGGAACATTACACCTCAGCCGAGCAGGGGCTATAGTTGTGGTAAGCTGTGCTCGCTGCTACGAAACTTCACACTCGATGTTGCATTATTCCATCTCACCTGTGAACTACAGGGGCGCAGGGCTTTCTACATCCCGGGCTTGATGTATGATGCAGCCTTTCTGGAGGGTGCAAACGTTTGCTCGAAATATGGACAGATTTTAGACGCTTTCTCCGGGTTGCGCCAACTTCTTTATTTCAAACGCTCGAGGAAATAGAGGTCGGGCTAGATAAGGTTCCGCTGCCAATATCCAATAAGTAGAAATTATGGTAGCGATGAGAAACGAGGATGGGTCCTAGTGTATGTTGACGAGAGCTTCAATTTAGATGCGTGTATAACGAGCAACTTAGGATTGGTTGTGAATTGCATCTAGCCATGTGCTGTCAAATTCCAGGCTGCTTTATACATCGCCTCTCTAAGTGTCTTTAAGTAACCTATTCAGCAGGGGCTAAGATCATTATATTTAATAGGTGTTATAAGTAGAACTCAGTATTATATAAAAAATTGGATGGAGATTATAGTAAGGTTAATATAAATAAATGTTCATACCTAATAGGGTGATTAGTATGTTTGTTATACTAAAACTATTGTATCACAGATAAGCGTTTCTTGAAATCATATCTCTCTCACTGCTGCTCATCAAGAAACTCAACGCAGTGCGAGATTCGTCGGAACAAGAAAGGTACAAAAAGAATGAAGTAATATTTTTGTTGCAACCAACTAACAATTGGCCTTTTCCAGGATCCCTAGCGAAGAGTACCTCTTATCAGCCAAGGCTCCGTTCATTAAACGCATCGGGGGTCTATTGATAGGCGAAACGCTCGGAAAACCGATAAAATGGAAAGTTTTCCTGAAATTGATTCCATAATACGAAATAAAATTGTTGAACGAAAGCAGAACCCCGGTCCCTCTCCTCGCCGCTTCTTTCGCACTCTTCCTTCTTCCACTCAGGGGTAACTGGACGGCGTCGGAATTCCAGATATTTTGTTTTTCTGAGACAGTATTTAGCCGATTCTACGACCAATGGAGAGCGCGTTAAGTGCACTCAAAGCATCCTGGCTGTCCTTCTTCTTGGGGCTGGCCTTGGGTGACGGAGGAGGCTTGCCCTTGGGGGTCGAAGGCTCGGAACGTCGTCTAAGGCCAAGTCTGCGACCGACAGAAAGTGCGTTAAGCGCAGTCAAATCATCCTGGGTGTCCTTTTTCTTAGGGCTAGCCTTATGTGACGGGGGAGGCTTGCCTTTCCCCTTGGGGGTCGAGGGTTCGGAACGGAGCTTCAAGCGTCGTTGTCGTGTTTTATTACCGAGAAGCCTGTGACCGTGGCCGCGGGTTTCAGTTTTCGTGGCCGGCGGGTGTAACTACTTGTTACATGACTGCCACGCCGAGTTTCGAGGTCTCGTGGCCGAGTCAAAACATTGGAGCCGGCTCTTCTCCCAAACCCGTCCATGGGTCGCGAGGGAGGAAGTCCACGGGCTCCCAGGTCCAACTCGGCTCTCTCTGCCAGTTCGAGATCGTCGATCACTCCGTCGGATCCCAAGGCGACCCCCTGGCCAGCCAGCCCGAGCACAGCAGCAGCGACGCTTATTTGCTTTATAGAGACCATGTTGAAGTCGGTTGAGAGTAAAAATGATGTAGATAATTTAGTGGGTAATTTCCAGAAGCAGAAGCGGTTGACTTGTTCTAGGGATGTTGTTGGTCTTGCTTTGATAAGGCAACAGAACTTGGAGGAGGGAAAGACGGGCCTTATATACATTTTCGAGAAATATTTAATACCTAACTTGAGATAGCAGATATCTTTATTTAGGGCTCTGTCCGATGTATGCTCGGTATCCAAGCAAATATCGGACATTCTCGTATGCCCAATGATACATGCTCCTGAGGATGATTACAGGCCAACTCGGAAAGAATTACCGGCCAAAATACCCCACATTTTTTGAAAGGACTGGGCATATGAGCCAATGCAAGTGTTGGAATCAGTTCCACCCGCTCAACGAGCAGGGATTCAGCTCGCCGAACGACGCTTTTCTCAGCGCAAGGACCGTCGATTATATTGCCCGGTTTGCCTTCAAGAACCCAAGTGCCAAACTGCGCCAAATCTCAAACATAATTGTTGAATCAAATGAATTAGGTAGCCCAACGTTGGCTTGTCGTGTCTCTCAATGCATATTCGCAGCCTCTACAGTATCTCACGTTCAATCCCAGCGATGTCTTCCGATGGGTGCTCAGATCCATTCAAGTAATATTCCCTAACGTCGCATAGCTCGACCGTTGTAGCAGGCAGTCACTCATCAACCTTCTAGGAAGGCCACAATATACAAGAACACCCACCTCATCGCAAATGGGGCTATTATTAGGTACCTCACGTCTCATGTAAGACTGTTGGGTTAGCTCTGTCAAAGCCCGAGCATAGAAAGCCACATGAAGGGCCGACCTCGCATTTCGATGAATGTAACGCAATACCACCGAAATATAACATACATGTAGATTCGAGCATTGCTTTATTGCAGATATTCTAGCCTGACCATCTTCTAGTAATAAAATATTCTTGAAATACGTTACTCTGATATCAAGATAAGTGCCTAGCTCTTTGAACGTTGAAGTAACTAACAATCATTGAGCAATTAGTTGACCTTCCCATCTACCAAGCGATTCTGTACCTTTTGTATCAAAAGCAAAGTACATGTAGGCGCCTCGATGTCTACTATAAATGAGAATCTGGAGTGTATAAATTAGTTTTCATAATGAGGAGCCTACGAAGAGCGCTAGTTATACTTACTAAGGTAGAACTTGTCCTCGTCGTCCTCTTCATCTTCATCACAATACTATAGGGTAAGCTATTTGGTTCCTCGAACCCCATCGAGTGGTCACGTGAGCTGCGTTCTGAAAAACGGGTCTGACTGTGCTCATTGTCAGAATTGGTAATTTCATCTCCGAGTGAACCAGGATTCTACCACCTCGACCTTTCAGAGATGAATCAAGGCCCCAAAAGGCGGATGAGAGGGGCATGTGAGCAATGCGCAAGAAAAAAACGAAAGGTACGGTCTTGTCTTTTGCCGAAATATTACCCCAAAAAGAAGAACTGAGAGCCTGCTCTAAATCTTGAAGTTGCAGTGTGATCGGAAACATCCCCGATGCTCGCAGTGCATCAGGCATAACGAAACATGCCAGCCCCGTACTTTCAAAAATTCAACACAATCAGCCTTCGTCCAATGCCAATCTAAAATCAGTCCTCCTGGCGTCTTGCTAGGGCAACAATTCGAGACGAGGCCCAACCCCCTTGGGCCAGTATCGACTCCGCGTTATGAGCCTGCTCCGGACGCTACAATTTCAACAACAGAGGACTCAACCACATTTCCTGAGCTTATTTCTGATGAACAATGTGAAGAACCATCAGGAATATCATCTTTCTCCGCGACTATCGGTTTAAACCCGCATGAGCATGGTGATGTCTCTGCAGACCCGTTGGGGCCAAGCATGGATCTCGAAGCTCTACAGCAATTTCTAAATAGCAACGCCTCATTTTCCATTCTACCACAAGAACATGATACCTCGGTCTCTTCGTCAAACAAAGCATTGCAAACCAGGATGGGACAGTTAAATCCCACCTTCGCGCCCAGGAGCTATAACCTGGTGCCCTGGCCAGACGATATGCTTGCATCCTCCGAGAGGCGTTTTCTCTGGAGGTATTTTATATCCATAATTGAATCCGAGTATCTATGCGCGGATTGGGAGGATGTTGGACACTTTTACAACTTCCAACACCCATACACCACCACTCTACCAGGCATGGCACTGTCCAATGCCGCCCTTCGAGGTGCCATCCTTTGTTTCAGTGCTTCGCAGTACGAGCTAAAGCACAAGCAAAAGGCTTTTGACCGAACGAAAATGATGGCATGTTCACAGGCCGTCCAATCTATGCGGCATCAGATAGTAACGGGAGCCGATGATGAGCAAAGCCTGCTCTCCATGATCTTTGCAGCCAGCATCTTGCATTATTTTGGTCCCGAGAGGCACAATTATCTTCGGATAGCATCCAACCTCGTGCCTAGATTCCTCTCAAAGTGGAAACCTCATTTAAACACCCCTACCACGTACCCGGAAGTCTCTCTCACAGAGTTTCGATGGGGTTTAATCACCTCTCTGTGTTCCCTGCAGCAACCGGGGCCTCCCCTTGATGACTTGACCTACCGGATGATTGAAATGAGCGAAAGAGAAATCAATCAAAAGTTTTCACAGGCCTTTGAAAGTTGGGTCAGTCACCCCATATTCATGTTCTCTCCCCGCTTGATCAACCCACTGCTTCGCATCGGACGGCTGCTTGAAAAACAACTACTACGACTTCACAACCCAGCTCCCCAAGGCCAAGACCTGTCATGGGAAACTGAGGTGGCAGAGGTCGAAGAGATGTTACTTTGCGCGCGTGAATGCGACGTCAACGTATTGCAGTCTGCCCCGGGGTGTGGCGATCCGGCCAATGTGCTGGCCCTGAATGAAGCAATGTATGCGGCATGTGCGATCCTTCTATACGCCCGGATCCACGGAGTCCCTTTTACTGCACCGTTTGTCCGCCGACAGACCCAATTGGTCGTGGATGAGATTTCGAAAATAGACGTCAAGTCCCGGGTCTCCTACGCCATTGTCTTCCCCCTGTTCGTTGCCGGTTGCGAGGCTGTAGAGCCACAGGCGCGAATGGCCATCAGAGAAAGACTACAAAACCCGCAGGGGGTTTCATATGATCGTGGAGATATGGTTGGTTCATTGGATCATATATGGGAGATTAGGGACTTACGTCCAGGTCTCTTGTGGCCCCAATGGGTTGCTGAACGTAAGTGTAACTGTTCTGATTCCCTTCCCACTTGAATTATCGAGCTTGATCAAACTAATAATATTTTTCTAGTTGAGCCACGCTATCGAGTTAGCTGTCTTATGTAGAAAGATCTGCATAGGATATCATGAATATTGATTTACTGCATATCACAGCGGCGTTAAACTTTTGAAAATATACAATAGGCCTGGATTAATGGCGACGAGTATGGATCCTTCACCCCAGCTAATGCTACCATTTCATCTCAAACATCAGAGGGTAGTACATTCCCTCAAATTTCGTCTATTTAATATACTGTCTTCTACTAGAGCCTCGGGGCCTCGCTCTTGCAGCAAGATCCGTTCGTAAGCTTCGAGGTCACATCCTTGTCGCTGGGCACATCCAATGCCGGATTTGCCGTGAAGAAGTCCACAGGCACAATATTGAGCTCCAGAATTTCCACAGGCCTAAACACCAATCGTCAGTAACGGATCAAACAAAAACTGACTCTTTGGGGGAAAGATAAGACTTACATAACTGGCCAATCCTCAACACGGGGATTATGTGTAAGGCCAAAGCTACTCCAAACAACGACATCTTCCTGGAGCAGGTCGTCATTTCGGGCCACCATGTCCGCGACACCACCACTCTCCCTCTTACTGGACAGAGGATATTCTCCAGCTGCGTACAGCTCCCCATCTCGATATTTCGTCACCCAGAGATGGTGTGTGGCGAAAGCGCAACGCTGTGCCTGGATGCTATTGGGGTCGGCGAGGACTTTTTGCGTTGGTGGAGGATTGATCTTATATCCGACTGGTCTGCCGGACACAGGGTTCCTCTTGTCCAGGTTTTGAATCTTGAATATACGATTGTTCTCTGGGCACGCATCCGCGGATGTGGACGTGGACAGGATCGTATCTTTGACTTGGTAGAAATTGCCGTTGGGATTGGTCCGAGCATCTCGGCGGACAGGGAGGGACTCATTCTGCACGACTGTGTTTTTATGCCCATCTATGGCTGGGTCAATTCGGACGCAGAAGATGTGCTGGTGATTCTGTGCGAGGGCTCCTGGGTTGACCACGTTGCCCCAGGGGCTGGTCTTGCCTGGGTCGATGTTGACGACGGAGACAATGCCAGTGGCTCGTGTTTCTACTGATATAGCACCAGCTTGGTCAAATTTGTACTAATCATTTTTCGTTTGTTAGTCAAGGACATCTTTCATATGTAGGTGGGAAGGTGTTCCAACAACTTACGTTAAAAATGTACTCGTAGTTGGCGAGGGTGATGATGAATTGGACTATCAATTCTCGGCGTCGAGTAGACACAGCACGACCCGTCATCCAATTGGTATGCTTCCAGCCAATGCCGTTGTCTTGTTCGTGAAGGCAGATGACATGCTTCGCTTTCTCTCCCGCTCCATCTGCGCCCACAAGCACACCGTCAAAGTACTACAAGATGTTAGCTGGGTGTGAAGATTTGGGCAACTATCTCATACCTTGATCACACCCAAGCAGTCGCATCCTAAAGTGAGGTTATTCACCGCATGTCCAATGCCGCCGTCCCCAAAATCAAAAGCCTGTTTGCGATGGAAGGGCGGTCTAGGATCAGCGTAAGGAACAGTCTAGCGAAATGGTGGTTAGTTTTATTTGGTCGAAGACATCAGAATAAAATTCAATTATTACCATTTCGCTCAAGGACAGGCGGTATAGCACACTTCTTCCATCATAATAGACGTCATGGATCACGGCGCCTTCACGAGGGTTGAAGCTGACCCTGAATCGCCATTTCTGCCACTCAAC